CGCGGCGCATCAACCACCAAGGGGATTCGGGAGCGAAAAGCGATTAGGACCAAGATAGGAGTCTAGGAAAGTAAGCTTTTAAACATTCAATTGGTAAGAGAGAAGTGCTTACGGGAAACATCCATTGCAAGGCGAGAGGTGCTCTCCAAGCCCACTCGTTATCCTTCTTATTGTATGCATAGGTGGCACCAGCGACAATGATGCTACCAATAGACCAAGACATTTGTAGAGTAGCAGTGCATGCACCTCGGAGGGAAAGAGGAACGACTTCACTGGCGTATGCTGGGGCGTTTGCGATAAAAAATCCCCAAGGAACACCTTCAAACGCTTGTCCAATGGTAAGAACAGCGAGCGAATCGGCCTAAGATACCATTACAGTCAGCTAATGGGCAACAATATAGTGACACACATGACTTACAAAGAAAGAGATGAAGATTGTAGCATTCATCAAGACCAAAGCCAGAATGGTGGTCCAACGATATCCGAGACGGTTGGTAACGGGACCAGCCAAGAAAACACCAACAAAGGCACCACATTGACCGGCTTGAAAGAGTGCACTTTGCCATTTCGTTTCGATAGAGCGTGTTCCATCTGAATCAAGAACTCCGTATCGTTTTTGGAAAGCCGTGAGTGCAACAAAGTTACCATTCAAAAACATATCAAATGATTCCATGACCTGATGTGCATTAGCTAAAGTTCTGCCAGATGTCATAATGATTATCAAGGACTCACGATAGTGAAACAAAAGAGGAATGCCCAAAAGCAAGCGGTTGGGTGCATTTTAGCTGCCTCCCACATGCCCATCTCATGCTCACGATTTTCAACATCCATAGCATTGGAAATGAGTTCCTTATTGGGTACCTCCTCGGTATGACCGATTTCGTGATCCTTGAGGTCATCAAGGTCGACCTTCTCGTCGCGCATATTTGTCCCCGTCGACACCATTTTGTAGGTTCCCACTACGTTGTTACGTCTTTTCGGACTATTGTACTGAAGTTGAGGATAAAAAAGCTCGGTAGCTTCAGCTAGATGAGAAAAGGATACAGTGGAATTTTACCACCACGTATAAAAAATGGCTATTTGACGATACCAATTGAGCGCTGTCACACAAAAGGAATGAAGACAAAAAAAATTTACAAAATACAATGGGGATTTGGTCCGTTATATTTTGTCTTCCAGTGCACGTTAGACTATATCCTTATTGGTGGTAAAATCCACACTGCATGGGGTACTGCCCCAGTCTCGATAGCTTCATTACGAGAAGCATCAACTTTGATCCATGTAGGCACCAGTGGAAAAGGCCTGAGTTTCATAAAATGTAGGCGCGCGAATCAGAAATAGCTTCATGCCATAGATAGCTTCTTTACCATCCTATGTTCCCCGCGCCCCGTACTATGACATTAGTTCTCCCCAATGATACTAACCCTTTGAGATCGTTGAGATCAATTTCCCCGCGCTCCACATAAATCCGGAGTTAACTTTTCCCAGTCACATTCTCCGTGTGCTATTCTTGCGAGCAACATGCGGTGTGTTCCCCCGGCCGGTATTAGGAAACGAGTGAAATAGTTGAGGCTAAAAGTTGAGGTATGGAAAACAAGATTTGACATTATTGCATTTCTAACAAACGCATCTATGGAAATATCTGGAAGTAACAACGCCACCTTTTCTTCAAAAAAGGGGAAAGATCGACAATTGAATGTTGTTTTGACCATTCCATCGGACTCGCACGGGAGAAATAGAGGCCGCGCTTCAACGTTAGCTCGCTTTCCTATTCCATGGTATGAAACAAAGTATGACCACATGACTCTTGGAGCAGCAGCTGTTGTGTGTATTTAGTATTTACTACCAGATTTCAGATAAGGCCCTGGTGGACGCAAGCTCGAAGCGATCGAGTTGGTACTTGAACGGTGTCGATGCGGAACACTTGGGGCCAAGCCTTTCAAGCGTTATAGCTGGTTTTTAACGGGAAGGCGCAAAGCTTTTTTTAACGATCCAAAAGTTTTTCACGCACGAAGGGCAATTGATGATTTCCTGCGATTCCGGGAGGCCCGGTATCATTCATGTATGCGTGAGATGCCTCGGTATGGAATACGAGGGTGTGTCATAATGCAAGCTGACGATAGGTACCACCTAGTAGGTTACTGTAGGTAGGTTTTCCACGTCTTTGACAATATCCACTGAGACAACGTGTTCGCCTCAAAAACCCCGGAGAATATTACTTTTGTGGAACAGTGGAACAGTGGGGGATGGGGGCCGGGGGGCTGGGATGTATTCTGCATTACTTTTCCATTCCATCAAGAACATCGCCGAGTGTCCTATCTCTAGTTTTTGAATCCAGCAGGGTTGATGATAATCTGATATTTTCACAGCATTGAAAAACAAAAAAACAACCTGTGCACAAGACCAATTTCTCAATTTCTGGACTGTGGAGTACTCTTGGCATTGTCTTAAAGCACGTGAACTTGTGAAGCATGGGAAACCATACAATCTTTGCTAATGTTTGCCGACGGACATTTGAATTTATCGAATCGAAATATCTACCGCAAAGTTCAGCCCAACTATATTTCAATACCGTTTCGGCAGACGAAAAACCAAGAATGCAATTGAATAAAGTTACGCCCACTCTAGAACTAACTCGATCTTTCAAAAGCCTAGATAAGCTTAAGTGATCAATCTCGTCACTCATTGATCAATTGATGCCAACCTAATTTCTTGGCTGCTTGACTGACCTGACGGAACCGAGACGAAATGATTGGACACTTCTTTCTACCATGCAATGAATGGTCGAGGGACATTGAAAGAAACTTCAAGATGCGTTCAAAATGTTAATTCTTCCTATCGATCTAAATATTTGAGGGCATACATTTTATCGACATCGTGCGGAATTGATAGGTTACTCATTAGCTCAAGATCTTCGTGGAATAGAGGTCGTCGCCCTTAGGTGAAACTTCGGCCAATTCTGCAGGGAGCCCTGAGTACTCGGATTCGAACACCCATATGTTGTGCAGCCGACGAAACTTCTCCTGCATGCATCGTACCATATTCTTAAGTACACATACAATGCAATCTTTATGCTCAAACCACCAAAGAAACCTGGTAAAGCTAAGTAAGCTTCTATTGCGTCCAAGCTAATTTCTATATCCATAAAGCTTCAAAATCGAGAGATTTAATGACCTATTTAAGATGATTCTGCGGCTAATTGTCAACATTTGTGTGGATGAGGGGCTTAGCAATCTTTCATACCGTAGGTAAATCGCGAATTCGGTTGGGAATTTCACATTATCGGCTACTCATTCTATGAATTGCTTTGATCCATTCACATCAAATGGCTCTTGCCTCTTCCATTTATGCCCTAAGAAATTTGGACAAATCCTAGTAATGTTCCAAATCTCACCAGCAAAATGATATCTGTTTGGTAGATTTCTCTTTCGATTCCACCGCTTCAAATCCTTCCAAGAATGTGTCATTTGTTTATAAAAGGTCGAGGATTCGTCGCTAGTTGTCGCCTTGCTAAACCAGTGATAAGTGAACCCAAGAGATTGTAGCTTGTGTTAGTGTAAGAAAATTGCCCACTTTCATGGGTGCGCTTTTGTCTAGCATACTCTAAATCTTTCCGAAATTCTTCTATGATCCAATTCTTACCTCTGCGTTCAATGACCTATTCCAAATCATTCTCCCAACTCTCGGCACTTGCTGTGTGACTTGGCAAACTACCAGTCGTTGTACTACTTGCATTACCAATACATTTCGGACATTCTGATTCAAACATCGGGTGATGATTAATATCTAGGGGGTTAAGGAAGAACAAGAGGATCAAAATTTTATAACAGAATTGAGCTAGAAACATTTACTTGCAATTAAGCAAGAATGATAACCATCTCGGTCTCATTTTCATGACTTCCCTCTTTGTTTTCCGCAACGATGTTTGTGGAAAAGGGTCAGCTTGCTGTATTAAATATTGTTTTAAAGTGAAGGTTATGGAGGAACCAGATATTAAAGTACGTTCTTCGTTGAGGTAATTCTGTTCTGCAAACGAAATATTGACGTGTATGACTTCAGGATGACAACTTCACAACTGAAGATCGTGTTGATGCAATTCTCCTGCATATAGTAACCCACACGAGGCATAACCACTTAAAAAACTGTCTGACCTCCTATAAATCAATTAGTATATTTTCCGTGGATCTCCAATAACTACACAAAGACTCACCATCAACAATGAAATCACTTCCATTGATATAACTCCCAGCTCTACTGCATAAGAGTACTAGAGCTCCGCTCAATTCTTCTGGCCTACCCATCCTACCCATAGGATTTCTTGAATTCCAAATATTTCTGGCCTCTTCTAATCCAGCACCTTCATTAAGAACGGTATCCATATATCCAGGAGAAATAGTATTAGTACGGATACCATACCTAGACCACTCAGCTGCGAGACATGATTTCATATGAATTAAAGAGGATTTAGAGACGTTGTAGGCAACTTGGGGCTGAGGATAGTTTACGGTATGGGCGGATATAGCTAAGGAAGTCAGCAATGGACACCAAAATGCGCATTAACTTTCAAAGAGTTGTAGGAGACGAACATGCAATAAAAACAATTGAACCACCTGATTTTTGATCAATCATTTTCCTATTCTCGATATTAGTATCTTCACTCCATCACTGATCCAAAAAAAAAAAAAAAAAAAAAAAAAAAAAAAAAACATACTTGGCAACAGCCTGAGCACATAAAAATGCACCTGTTGTGTTAATCTCTAAAGTACGTCTCCATTCCTCCGCACTTATCTCGAGAGCATGTACACATCCTACAACACCTGCATAGCAACATAAGATATCGATAGTTCCTAACTCTGTTGCCGTCTCTTGAACTGCTTGATTCACATTTTCCGTGTTTGTGACGTCGACCGACTTTAATAAGATTTTGGCATCAGGAAAGTCTGCTTTTAAGGAGGATATGGAAGGGGATTCGGGATTCGGATTGATATCAAATAGGGCTACTCCATTAAGACCATGCTCGAGAAGGGCACGAGTTCCTTGTAAAGCTAAAGTCCCTGCTCCTCCACTGACTGGATTGAACCATTAGATGAGTTATAAGAAAGAATTTAGGAAGGAGCGTGTACTGATGGCATTTCCATTGACCGCAAATCTTTCGGTAGCAGGGTTCAAGCTTGGTAGATTATATTTGGTATCAAGAGAAGTGAATGGTGATTTGCTCGAGCTGCTTGCCAGTTGCATCTGAGGTAATGTCCGATTGACTAAGGCATTTCGATCATAGTCACTACCTTCCATGATAAATATATTGCGAGGGAAATGATTTGAGCTTTGGATATGCTTGAGGATTGAGGACGGATATATTCAAGTGGATTTCTATATGTTCCTCTCGACGATTGAAAATTCGTGGACATGTGTGTGGGGTTCGTGTTTGGGTTAAACGGTCAGCCGAAAGTGAGCCAAGACGTTGTGAAGTTCTTATATGGCAAGTATGATCAAGGGTATGAATATCTCCTCGTCCTACATGAATACTAGGTAGCACACTCTACATGACTAATCCTCAATGCAGCAAGTCACGGGGCCGCCACTACCTCCCATAAAGTATGTATGATATATGAGACCGATAGGTTGACATGCAAAGCTAAACAAATAACTTATTTTGGTAATTGAATATTGGTGAGAACATTCAATGATCGTTCCTTGAACTATTACTCGATCAGTACTTTGGCTAGTTTCACGATAGCGGTATGAAAGAATAACCGGCATGAATTCAAGGACGAAATGCTCATAAGTCGGACTCTCCACCAAACCGATCGAATGAAACTGCTAGGCCAACTCGAAATGAAGAGTCAAGAAGTAGGGGAAATCATTTTCGCGTTCAGTGGAATGCCATTGTCGTTTCGAGATCAAATCGTCATGTTTCAGGGAAAGGTACTGCCGCCAAGAGAGCAGCCCTTCAACCACGTAGATGTGAATGGATTGGTTATCAGCAGGAGGAAGGATAAACGGGACACTCAATCTAGTCACCGGGCATTGTTGAGGTTTGGATGTGGTCTTTTTCTGATGCCAGACAAGTAATCTCACCCATACCTGGCCAAATTGTGTTCTCCCAGAATTAGTTGGTAAACACTTTGACAAGCGGGGTCAAATGAGGGGTAGGTAAAATGGGAAAGAAAACACCTCTGCCCCATATTTGAACTCCAACTTGGTAATTATATGAAGGGCAAGCAAACAATCAAGAACTATGGCGGCTTGTTCCCAGCACAACAGGTGACAAGTGGTTCCAATGCTTAATGGTCTGTCATGTTATCTGGTTTCTAGTCTGAAACATATGCGAAGTTTCCCTTGACTCACTTAGCTTCTGCCTTGGAATCCAATTATTTAGAGGATGCTATAGCTTCGACACTTTTTGATCTTGAACAAATCCACGTGGGTGGTATTTGAACGAGGCCAACACTCCAGTGCATGCTTTCGTGATAATGCAGCAGATTGAACATGAAATCCCTTCCAAGTGGCTCTACTGATCATTTGACAACACAATCCAGTATAATGCAGTATAATCACGTATCCTCCACACAATCATTAACTAATAATCTGATTGATAATGGTGAAAAAAACTTGGAAGTGTACTGGCCGATCTTTGATGTGGTGGGACTTTCTTAGGAGTCCATCTTAAGAGATAAAAATATATATGGATGGATGGATGTAGTCGAAAATGCGAAACAGCAAGAGAAGATCACCGGTGGATCTAAACACAGAAGCGCATGTACGCTGCTTACAGTGGCACTCAGTATATGAGATAGCTGAATGAATGTTCACAATGGTGACAAGTATTAAGCGGATACTACTGAGTACCTAGTATTGGTATATGCTATGCTGATATTAGGGGATTGAGGGATTGAAAAGTGTACATAGGTACCTACTATGTAAGATCTTAGGGAGTAGGCACTCATCACACCACATATCAACATCCTAAATAATTCTTCTAGGGCCTTGCATCACTAAAAGAATAGGTCCACGGTGGTCATTTATTTTTATTTGCGGGCCGTGCCACCTTTCATCCATTCCATAACACACCATAACACACTATAATAAGTGCACCCAAGCTCTAATGAATAATTCTTCCCATCTCCCCATTTTTTATTACCTATGTAGGTATCATTAGCTACCTACTCACAGATACCAACGATAAGAGTCACACCCGTCAAAAATTAAACTTTAACCGGACCTTTGGACCCGTTTCTCGGCCAGGATCTGGTTCGATGTCGAATTTGACAGTATCTAAATATCTTGCAAATACACCAATACCAATACATCATTCATACCATCCATTCATACCTGCGAGACATCCTCATAAATCTCCGTGCCAATGCTGTGCCCAGCAAAAATTTGCTGATTTCGCCATCCTTACTCCCTACACCGTTTGTTGTTCGTTGTCCGTTGAATCAAAAACATTTTACATCCAATAGGCATACCATCCATACCATACCATACTGTCTTGCTTGTGTACCCGCACAAAAATTTCAAACCCCATTCGTTGTTGCATATGCAAAAAGCCTGTCAGCTCCATTCCATCATATTACCCGCAGAAGAATAATCCTATCCAAAACCACCAGATGTTCACCGTTCAATCGTTTTGCCCGTCGTTTTAATATCCGCCACACTGCGAAGATTATCCCATAGGCTCAGATGCCCTATTGATTTGGGTGCTATTGGGGCTCCGGAAGTTCGAATGGCGGGTTCGAATGATATCCATAAAGTAAGGCGTAGGCCAAAATTTACAAATGGCGAATTAGAAGATGAGAAGGTTCATAAATCACGACCGGGTCGCCATGAAGGGGAAGTCGTCACATCAGTTGAGCCTGATATCTCTGAAGTGCGCAGGAAGCGTCTAGAAAAACTCGAAGGGAATTCGACAAATCGATCGACCCGCAATAGTGCAGCTACCGAAAATATGCCCGCAGAACCGAGTATGACGGTCGATGCGACAAAGTCGTCATCGAGTCATCGACGAAGAAGGCGACATCATACTTCTGAAGACGGTGCAGGACATCATTCACGATCGAAGACAAATGAAAGAGAAGAGAAACCGAGAAGCGATTATGTTTATGCCGCCACGCGGGAAGGTGATAGTAAAACCAAGCCACATGGGATATCTGTAACGGAAAGGAGACGCCGGGAAGAAGAGGATGACTCTAGTGATGAATCTGAAGACGAGGACAAATCTCCATTAGAATCCATGGACTCAAAATTGAAGAAAAAGACCAAGGATGTGGTTAGGGAGCAGCCAAAAAGGTCAAATTCGACGAGTAGTAGGATGAAGAAAGAGGATAAAGACAAACTTTCTACAAAGGGCTCAGCAGACACTGGAACGTTAGGATCAAAAAGTACATCGCGCAAACCTAAAGTCACTACCGGTGATTCCGTCTCACGCCCTCCACTTTCGAGGTATGCATTTTGGCTTTGCGCATCTCACATCACAAGGTTAGGCTAATTTTATTTGTAGGAGCGCGACGACTTGGATTACCACAGAACCTCGGCCGGCATTGAGAAGAAATAGTATGACCGATAAGCCAAAAGTACCTCCATCTATAGCGAATACAAGCACCTCACATACTTCACAACGCCGCAGTAGCTTTCTAGGAAGTTTCTTCTCGTCTGGACCTCCTCCCCCTCCTCCCCCTCCTCCTGAACCGGAAAAGCTGTAAGTTATTAGGACAAATCATGCGCAAATAACACACATTAACCATCACAGTGTTGAATGCCTAACATGTCTATCTGATGATATCCCCAAGTCCAAATGTGCCAAATTACGATGTGGTCATCGGATGTGTCATTCCTGCCTAAGACGAATATTTAAACTCTCAGTTAAAGATCCGGCACATATGCCACCGAAGTGTTGTACAGCCGAACATATCCCATTGAAACATGTCGAAAAATTATTTGATATCCCGTTCAAGAAACTTTGGAATAAGAAATATCACGAATACACTACGAAGAATCGAATATACTGTCCAGCGAAGCGATGTGGAGAATGGATCAAGCCCGAGAATATTCACAAGGAAAATGGAAGGAAATATGGGATTTGTGGGAGTTGTAAGACGAAAGTCTGCGCATTGTGTAATGGGAAATGGCATGGATCGAAAGAGTGCCCGAAAGATGAGGAAACAAATAAATTACTTGAAACTGCGAAACAAGCTGGATGGCAACGATGTTATAATTGTAGGACTATGGTTGAGTTGAAGGAAGGGTGTAACCATATGACTTGGTAAGTGAAGGGATTTTCACTGGGGTAGAATGGCCAACAACTAACATATTGTCTTGAAGTCATTGCACTGCACAATTTTGTATGATCTGCGGATTGAAATGGAAGTCATGCCATTGTCCATGGTTTAACTACGAACCCCTTGAAGCCGATCAATTAAATGACATGCAGGTTCCTCAACCCGTTGCAGGCAGGAACCCGACACCACCTGTGCGAGGCGCTCGAGATAGAGCAAGAAGACAACCACCTATCGATTTCGACGAAGAGATCAATCAAAGGCGACGCCAAGAACGCGAAGATGAAAGACTAGCTCGACAGCTACAAAATTGGGGTTTTGAGGATACGCCAAGAAATGACCGGGATACAGATTATAATGGTGGGATTGGCGATGTTGAGGGGGTCGGCAACGGAGCAGGCCATTTCATGAATCAAGATTATATCCGCGAAGCTAGCAATGTTCTAGCTCATCCTGGTGGGGTAATGAACTTTGGGCTTGGAGTTACCAATTTTCTTACTGGGGTTTTGAGGCCACGGGGGGCGAGTGTGGCAAATCCAACCGTGGGTGAAATGTCCGCAGTTCCTCCAGTGGCTCCTATGGACGAGCCTCAACCTAGTGTACCAGGTCTTATAAGAAGACACACCACTCGAGATGCTACAAGAGCTAATGGTCCTACACGGAGAGCATCGGATATTGTGGTGCCAAGGAGGACGAGAACTGATTATGCAGTCGAAGCAGCTATTCATGCGCCGGATTCGAGGAGTCCTAGTTCTACATCCAAAACAAAGAAGGAAAAGGAGAAGAAGACGAAGTCATCAATACTTGCTGGGCTTGGGAGTGGAAAGAACAGAGTGGATGCATGGAGGAGTTATGTTGCACCTGGAGCTCCACCTGCAGAACCAGTATCTTGATTTGCTTCTTATATCACTCATGGATGAGGATCGCTTACGTTCAACAGAGGAATGACTGGTTATGGATGAGGTTTTATGGTTGAAGAAGAAGCTCTCCATGCAAATTTCAGCGTTGATGATACGATAACCACGTTCTACAGGAGGTATGAATGGGGGGAAAGGCGGCTTTTGGATACGGTAGAATGGAGGTACACGGTAGATATGGCTAAGGCTATAGCTATGTCGGTCATCTGGAGCAATAACTTGGATCAATACCCGGCCGGTGGATTTAGGAGTTCAACAATGTCCTTGGATGACTATTTAACGATATATGATCTATACCAATTTACGAATGATTTCTTTTTTCGCCAAAGGGTGAACTTGATTAAACTTACATAGAACAAAAAGCAACGATTTTTTTATACCCATCATCATACTTCTGGTACTCATATCCGAGTGATGTAAAGTTTAGCTTCGAATTGTGTCAGTATTTTACATTGCCGTTCCAGCCATTCCAGTATCTTATCAACATCTCATGTGCATTAACTCTTCTTAGACTATAAAAATACTCCAATTAGGTTACTCTAGTAATAACATATTACGAACGTTTATTTATTGATTTGTTGGAGGGGATGGTGATTTGGAACTTAGGGTTTGGAGTTTGGGGATTGGGACTGAGGAGTGTGAGGTGTGAGGTGTGGGGAGAGCTAGTGGGAGGAGTAAATAAGTGAGAGAAAAATAGATTCACTGAGGTGTTAATACATTATTGTTTGTTAAATGTTTCTCCATCGATAAAATAATGTGTATTCTGGATTACAAAATCTAGATGGAAAACACTAGCACGAATATGCATCGCACATTAGATAGAAGAGGCACAGTCAAAAGTCCGAGAAAATTCAAGATAATAAAGATAGATTTCTGATTTAAAAGTATATATCCATGCCATCATAAATAAAGACTCCGTAGCTATGCAATTATTCCCATAAATAGGGCTTCTCCAAATCTATTTATAGTCATAAGCATTAATCTTTCTTAACTGGCCGCATAAGATCATGTTGAGATATCTCTTCAGAACCCTCTGCGCTCGTTCCATCTAATCCTATACCCATACCAGCTACATCCTTAGTGAGAATAGGAATATTAGGGTCTACTGTTCCCACTCCACTTCCCGTATCTTTATCAATTCCTTCTAATGGTGCAGGACTAGCAACCAGAGGCTCTTTTCCCAGAAACTTGGCGATTTCCTTTTTATCGGTTCCTTTTTCGATAGGACTACTAGCTTGACTTTTATATGCATTTGAGCCTTTTCCCACTATCTTCTCCGTCCAGTTCCACCCAGAAGTTACAGGTTTGGCCTCTTCCTCATCACTATCATCTGCACTATCAACCCAATCCCTATCAGTCCACCCGGCACTCTCATACCCATCCTGTTTGCTCCTTGACCAGCTCGCACTTCTCGATGGTACTGATGGCGGTCCCTTGGAAGAACTAGAAGTTGCAAGTGCAGGAACCAAATCTTGAGCTTCTCTGGCCTCTGAATCTGTACGATCATGTCGAATGAGACGTTCACGATTAGCATCTCTCGTTGCATTTTCCTCATCCACTGAAGAGTTCACTTCTTGTCCCTCTGAGCCTGGCGCCTCTCCTGTAGCTTTAGCTCTTTCTAGACCAGCACTATCTTCATCTTTTCTTCTCGTAATTGCAGCGTCGGAGAAATGTGTATCGCAAAGATGTTTCACTACCGGCCAGCCATATGCATTCGCAAACATTCTTCTCACGATCATGTTATTATGTGCATCAGGTTCCAAGCTCACAAGAACCTTTCGCCAGCTTAGATCCCGATGATAAGCTCTAGCAATCTTCTCTTCAACCTTCATTGCTGAAGAATCCACTACAACATTTGGCGGACGAGAAGGGTTTGTATTTTTGGGGTCATCATAATCCAGGGCTGAAAGTTGGCTGTCGGTATGAGAGGCTGGTACTGGTGAGGGAGGCTCGGAGAAGGAGGAGTTTCGCCTTCGAAGCGTAGTAGATCTTTTCTTGAGAGGTGGCGGTGGAATATCCGAGGGATGATACACGCGATCATGGAAAATTGTTCGAGCACGGGAGCTCGGATCAATCAAGAATTCTACAGATGGTAAAGGTGGCTTGAGGAGATCACCTGCTGATTCGAAGAAGGTTGTTTTGGGAGGTGCTGATAGAAGACTTGTATCTTGAGATTCAATATCTCCTGCTGAAACGTTTGGACGATCCCCAGTAGTCGGGGATGGTAGGGAGGAGGGCGTCGAAGAACCGCTATCGTTAATGATATTTATGGTCTGACTTCTTTTATATATTTTCGAATGTTTTGGTTGGTGAGCATGAGATTTCGGAGAAGGGTTAGTGCGAAAGAAGCCTACCAGACTTGCGAGGAGTCCGTTATTGTTGGATGTAAGTTCTGTGGATGTTGGGGTCGGGCTTGAGCTTCCAATCTCACTGCTATGTCTATTTTTTACAGAAGATAAGGTAGAATGCCCTGGTACTTCCAGGTTTTTTATGCTTCGTCTATCATCATACATAACATTTGCTGGAGGTTGTGGTACTTCTGTTTCATTTCTTTGCAATGTGCTAGGACGAGCACCTCCCCCAATATCATCCATATCGCTAACTTCTCCATCAAACCAAGGTGCCTGTTTCTTTGAGGGCGAACTAGAGTTTGCTCCTGTGAGTTCAGCCCAACTCCATTCCGCCATAGTACCAACAAGACCATTTTCCCTCCTAGCCTTCTCAACTCGACCAAGGCTTTGCCAATCAAGGAAGAGTAAACAGCTAGTTCTCAAAGGTACAATTCCATCATTAACAACATTTGAGTATACTGTGCGATGTCGAAACTTTTTAAGAACAGTATGAGCCGGACCAGTGGGTAAAATTCGTAACAGTGGCTTTGCTTCCGGTGCAGTTTCTCCATCCAGTTTCTTATGTGCACTTTCTCCAATATTTCCAACAATTGCACCCCATCCACTTCTTGCAATTGTAGGTGCTCTCCATGTCAATCCAAGATCTTGACCTGTGCGACCGACTAATCCAAAATCCAAAGCAAATTTGACATAGAGAGGATTCTCATTGCTAAGACCTAAGAATGGTGAAGCAAGAGCGATGAAGTTTATTGGTTTGATTATATCAAAAAATTGAGGTGAATGCTTTTGAATGTATGCAACAGCGTATGTTTGTACCAATCCGCCAAGAGAATGAGCAATGAAACTGATGCTGGTGAAATGGTAAGGAAGATCAATATCTTGAGGCGCTTTTATTATGCTGCTGTGCTCATGTGCTGGTTTCCCGGAATCATTCATCATATTGGATGATTCGGGCTTTAGAGCATGGGAAAGAGCTTCGCCTGCTGACTTCTTGAGGGTTGGTCGGTATGGTTGATCTGGGTATGTCATTGTAAGAACATATTTGGCAAGTCTTTTACCCAGATATTTTATTCCTCTTTCTGTTCGAACGGCATTTCCAGAAAATCCTCGCACGATGACTTCCTCCTCATCATCCGATTCATCATCTGTTTCTCCCTGTTTCTCCGGACGTTCTTCAATGCCCCCCTCCCCATTTGATACCCCGTTATCCGATTCACGTTGATGTTCGGTTTGGCCGGATGCCCTTTTTTGCCTGTCCTCTTGTTTCTTTTTCGCTTTTCGGGCCTTCGCATCGACCTTGGCTTGCTTGGCTGCCGCATCTATGCTTTCTTTCAGGAATAGCATATCAGCTCCCAGATTACTGTGCAATCCGTGTGTCAAAACCACTAAATGTATGTTTTTCCTCCGTTTCTTGCGTGGCTTTTCTTCAACGTGACCTTTCCCGGTGGCGTCATCAACTGGCGCATCCTTATTATTTCCTTTAGACCTTTCCTCCTCCGCTGCCTCATCTCTTCCATCCAATTTCGGCGTATTCCACAAGCTTGCAGTATCATCCACCTTTAATCGTATAGCCCTGGAATAGACACCTTTTGGTAATGCCGCATGATGGCCCTCTTTCGCCCTCTGACTCTGCTGATGGTCATGGACTTGGCCAGGCACTGGTGCGGTTCCTCCTAACATTGAACCTGAAGAAAATCCCAGCGATAGACTTTTCTCGTCCCGACCAAGCAGAATTTCGTAATGAACGGCCGCAGAATTGGAAAATACGACCTGCGATGTCACTTCAATAATCCAAGCAACACTTTTCACATCTGAATCATCTCTGCCAGGGGATCTCCCATCTCGATTCGCTTTTCCCGCTGTCTTCCGCACATCTTCTGGGACAACAAGTTCTGTCGAGAAAGAACCACCGGCTTTTAAATTTGGTTCAAATTCAGGGACACCATCTCGTCGAGGGTTTTCGAACTTGACATTGGGATTGAATGTGGACGGATAAGCTGCAGCGTAAAGAGTGTAAGGGCCGTGAACAAAAGCAGCTCGGAGTGCTACGGCCGAAGTATTCTTGATCTTCAAATGAAGTCTTGCGGGAGAAGGAAGAATGCGATCGTGGGCCGGTGTATATGTAACTGTATAACGGACAACTTCTCCTATCTTCACACTCCCAGCTTGATACAAAAGTAACATTTTATTGATTTATGGTGGGTCGTGAGCGTATCAGGGCACCGCATTAAGGAAGAGAGAAGTAAGGTATAATATCTAAAATGTAGAGATGTAGAACATGAAGTTGGTAATTAATGTTATTGTATTTCTAAAGACATTTTGTATTTCTCTGTGAATAAATCAATCAATACATAGTATGAATAAGAGTAGGAGTAGGAGTAGAATAAATGTAGGAAGTTATTATCAAAAAAGGAGAAATGGTCCCCCTTCAACCAAAGAAATCTTTGTGCACGAGCTCAGATTGATCATGAACCTTGACTTGACTTTGAACCTCCCTTATCTTATCGAAACATCAACAATGACGATGTGGTGGCGCATTACAAAGTTATTTGTAAGTGATCATGGGGATTTATGTTTAATATTAATTATAATTATAATGCCATGTATAAGTTAGATTGTTAGTTATTAAAAGGCAGTCTTCAACATCATTTCATTACACACTCTTGTATAGGTCTCGTAGAATACCTTGTATTCAAACCGAGGCATATATGACCTTCGAAGATACAACCAACAGTTACAATGCTGTCCCTCTGCAGGTCTGCTGCTTATCGTTGGGTCTAGACTAATAAATGGTTTCATGGGAATCTCCAACACACAATGAAACATCACCATACGAAGCCAATAACAAGCACAAGAATCACCTACACCATTCCTCTAGCCAACCACTCGCATGGAATCTCTATGAGTATTTGATCTGATGGTGTTGAAGATGCATTGATGAGGATGCAAACCTTACTCGGATGTCCCGAAATATCCATCATTTGGCTCCTGGGTATTTGAAGGAAAGACTTGAACTCTTGGTTCTCACTTGTATTGTTCATTGAACAATGTGTTGAAATGATTACATGAATCATTTCTCAACGTTACCATCATCACTTCCTGAAGATACATACTATTTATTCGCACATTATTCTGTCCCAGTGGACGAAACCCCACACCGGAAATCTAAGAAGTTCTTTCAATGGTTAGCTCTCACGAGTATACTTTTCCGGAAAGTTCGGAGTACTGGCTATAGGTAGACAGTATGCATGCTCATGAAAGATTTTTTGATAATTCTTCCTTCTGGTTAACCATGTTCCAAATCAGCTCCATCTTGTTAACTTCAATATTGAATATTGTTCCTTTTTTATGTTCATTTTGACCGTCTCCCGAATGGAATCATGGCATACATGCTTTTCAAAGTAATATGATTGGCAATTTGCTAATTTTGACTTGTCAATGCGCGACTCATTCCTAGATTTCCCTCTGATTGATAACGAACAAAGTGCATCTTATAGATTATGGATACTATTATCTGCATTTAGATAAGTAGTCATATGAGCCAATAACTGCTATGATGTTGCCTTGGTCTTGATATGTTTCAATATTAAATGCTATGGTATAACCTTAAAGGTAAAGCGATCATCGCCGGTGTACACCCAAGGCACGTAGGTTTCTCTACCTCATGCGCGTGGTGTTAACTACCTACCACGTCGATGTCTTGACTTTGAATTGGAGTCCAAATATCATGGCCTATGTAGGCTGTGGTCCTGCCTTCATTTGGGATAATTTAAATGTAGAATCAAGCGGTTCGTCAGGAATTCGAAGCGATTCGTTATGCATTTTGCGCAGCTCTTTTCTTTGCAGTCTCTCTTGCTTTTGTCAATCTTTCACGTTTGGCTCTTAGTTTTGAGAGATTCGATTCTAGGCTCTTGATCTTTCTCTACATTTTGTATGGTTGGATTTGAATTTTGGTCATTTCAATCTGTTCCTGGATGGCATCGTCGAGACCCCAACACAAGGGAGCATTTACATGTCAGGGGTACTCAACAAACTTTACTCAGTCTTCACTGAAATGATTTGCTGCAGTGCAAATCATTTGCTACGCATCAAATAGTCACTTATTGCCAAAGACTCATTCCTAGTATTGAACATAATTAAAGATTAACAACTAGACCTACACATCATCTCCCTCTACTCCATAGGACTTTAAATTTCCACGGCTTGATGATGTTGCTGAGGAAGAACTCTTCCTCCTCTCACATCCATAGGTTCATAGTCCAAAATGTGATGATGTTGCTGAGGAAGGACTCTATCTCCTCTCACATTCCTAGGTTCATAGTCCAAATTCTCAAAAGCAAATTTTGCAAGGTCCATACCACACCTATCAATGACCCAGCTAGCCATCATATCCATACCTGCACAAGCACCACCTGCAGTCCAAATATTTCCATCAATAACCCATTGAGCATCAATAGTCCAATTAACACTGGGAAAATGTTTCTTAGCAAATTCAAAGAAGCAATGATTGACCGTTGCTTTCTTTCCATCGAGGATCCCCGTTTGCGCAACAGTTATTGCACCAATGCAAGTCGTGAAAAGGCCTTTTCCTGCTTCGACATGGGCACGGATGAAGCTCTTGAAAGACTCGGGAAGACGATAAGTTGGTATTGGACCACCGATAATGAGGTAATCGAGTGGTGGGCAATCTGTCAAGGTGGTTGTAGGCACCATCTTGAATCCAGCGGAGGTTTCGACAGGTTCCTGTATCTGACATTAGATAGCGCTCTGGCCTTTTATTTATTGATCCTCTTACCATGGTTTCATTGATATGAAAGAAACTTATATCAATTGCGTGGTCGATCAAGCGATCAATCCCTGGTGTGTCAAGAGATTGGCAAGCTTCCATCATTGCTTTGGACTATGTATGGGATTAGCTTAACGGAAAATTTACCAAAGGAGGTCTACATGACTTACACAAGAGCCCAAAACATCCAAGGGCATGGCTACATCAACAGTTTGATAAGGAATCATAAGAATACCGAAGTTGATTGGAGCCATGATTAGCGACTTATTTTTTTGGCGAGTTCAGGGTGATATGAGATTTAATAGGTAAAACGAATTTTAGCCGTGGAAGTAATGCAAAGAATAGAATTCTTGAATCTTTCTTAATGTTAATAAGAGGATTTTCTTTAAATAAATAATAAATGTGATCAAGATACAACGGATGTTCCTAGGGATTTCCGGATATACGTGAGGATATAGGAAATATAAACAACTTCCGGTGTGCAGAATTCGTGTTTTTTTTTACGTAGGTAATCATTTTTCCATGGAGTAAAATCCTGCTCATTGCCTTTAAATTCATCGGGCATATGCGGGTGCTGATAATTTGATGCTTTTTCTTTTGCCCCCGAAAACCTCGTTTAACCCGGGCCTCTAGCTATTTAAAGCAATGAAGTTTAGTTATTGGTCAGTTTGATAGGATGACCTATAAGTTGATCATCTCAATGTATGGGAGAGAAGATTAGTTTGTTTATCTTCAATATCTTCCGGGTGGCTGATTTGTACCTGCCGTACTACTTGGCGGTAGTTTTTCCGCTCACTTCACTCGGCGTTCTCTCACACAGCGAAATGTACGCACCTGAGGCACATGATTAAGTCTTTCAAATAATCTCGGAATTTTTCGTGTCCCATGCAAAATCTCATCTAATATGCGAGGAAAGGCCGTGAACTCCAACTCGTAAATCAGCACGAACCGTTAGAGACATGAATTTATACCCCACCTCTCATATCTTTATACACCACTCAAATTCCTTCATTCCTCAATATCGCATAGTCTATTACCAGAAAAAAGAAATAACACAGTGGTGGAAAAACCACTTTCTTTCTATGAATCTCCAAAATTTCATGCATTGACGCAAAATCATCCTGTCAAGTCCCGGCTCCATCATCCTCTCACCAACCATATGCATCTTTATCCAAACCATCGTCACTTATCCTCTGCTTTAACCAGACTTTAGAGTATTTCCCATCTGAATTTCACACGCTTTTCCTTTATCGCTGTATACGTCCAGATAATTCAGACACTTCCAGGCATGTGAAATCCTGTCGATTGCATAGAGCGAATCTGCTACCATTTCACTATCTCCCTTCTTCAGCTCAAAATAAACATAAGTGTCACCTGGCGCACCATAAGAAGGTACACAAATCCAAGAGGAGTCAACAATTTTGCCTCCTACATGTTTTGACCCGTCAGTTATAGGTAGGATGCACGGATAAAGAAGGCAATAGTTACCTCGGGATTTGATGTTTGCTACTAAACCCGGTGCGCATTCATCTTGAGAAAGAGTGAAATCCACATTTGGTGTATTATCGGTGTTTCCCCACTGAATTTGATGTTAATCTAGATATATTCCCTAGTGGAGAAGTTCACTTACTCCCGCCAAGTTGATTCTAAAGGCACCATGGTTTCCAAACTCAGAAGTGTATTGACAGCAATTTGTGTATGCCGCCACATCACTTGTCCATATTAGGTTTCCCTTCCTGCCACGCTCATTTAAAGTTGTGGCCGGGGTGGACAGAGCTTTTGTTACCAGTGGGTTAGTAATGGTACTAGCTGCTGGGAAGGCGCAAGCTGAACTGGGGAATGATATGGTAAGTAATCCGAGAAAAGAGACCAAATATCTGGGAGAAAATAGCTTGCCATTGGAGGCCATGCTAAGAACAAAATGAGAATAAGATCTAGTGAAGAACCTCGGTATAACGTTATTATGATGATGAAGTCCTGAGAGTAATGGCAGGTTTTGAATCAGGTGTGGATAATACTTATTTGATTTGATTAGAATGACTTAACAACGATGAAGAAAGTGGTGGTGTATAAATTAAATTTTACTTTCCCTGAGCTTTCTAATGTTCAGGTTATATCATTCTCGTTGACTTCTGCCTACGATGTTAGAGGCTTATGTGAGCTACTTGAAGAAAAAGGCTTTAGTATTGCACTTGGTAAGGCCAGCTAGTCCTCGCCAACTTGGCCACATCTCAAATTTACTAGCCTAGCTCTTTCTAGTGAGGCCAGCTTCTATCAGTAGGCATTCCTATATCACAAATATCTCTAGTTTCGTGTCTTTTTAATGAGGAGAAGTCAATAAGGTTTAGATATGCAATTCTTAAGCCTGCCCTCGGGGGAAGCGTGCTAGTGATGTGGGGTGCAAAGAAGAGCCAAAGTTCCAGAAGTGTAGCTCAAATATAGAGAACTTCCTCCATTTCATCGTTCTTTTTCCGGCTTTAGTGATGCATCGGAGTGAGATCCCGCAAAGTCATGCCCATCTGTACATGTCAAAAGAAAACACAAACCGCTCAGGTGGACGGGAGCATGCAGTGAGCGAAAATAATAGCGCATAAGCTTTGAGCACTTCGAGAATATTTCTACCTGGAATAATCACAAATTCCACCGACTCCTAGCGTTTAAATGTGCGGGGTACGAACGAGAGTTGGGATTTTTAATATCAACCTATGAAAATTGAGGCTAATTGTTGGTAGCATGGGATTGTTTCAAATCCTGGAGAGGATCATGGTAGGCGCGGAAATTTCGCGGCTTACTCTCATATGATTTTACTCGTACAAGTGATTACTAATGTTTGGCATACTTATTGAACACTAAGCCAAGGTTCAATGTATGTACTGGTTGCGAGTAGTCAAGCCATTGAATCTAGCCGAAAGTTCAAAGGCTCAGGACATACTCTGTCTTCCTCTTTTGTCTCCAACCCCCATACTAGACTCTAATCTCTCCAGAAAATTCAGGTACCGCAATAATTTGGTCTTATCTTCCATGTGATATTTCTGTTTCTAACGCCTCATACAGCCAACAAAGTCTAACAGTTGTAGTGACTGGATGAATTTCCATACGTCTGTTTCTCAACTATCTCCATCTCTTTCCACAGTAGCTAGAGCTTTTTATTCTAAGAATCTTAGTCTTCATCTGTATGTTGGAAGACCACAAAGATGCTCAGATTTTCAGATCGGGGCTTGAAAATTGAGGTTACAATCACATAAAATGGTATGAGTGAAAATACTCAGTCCTAAAATTGGACCACTGCTAGGAGACACTTCGGCGAAGTCATGGCTAAAAATTCCTTTATGAGCGATATAGATTTTCCAAATATGGAGCTCTTCTTTTCTATTTGATAAAACCTTATTCTACTGTTTCTTTTATGCGTATTGATTTTACTGTATTGTCTCAAGGACACGAAAAAAATGAGAAATGGCTCTCACCAACAATTGCCACCAGTGCGGCACATACAAGTACGCCGCCAACATAGCCTCAAAAGACACAAAAGGAAACTTGATTACTCTTCTAAAATTTTTCAATATTTCTAGGAAGTTATATTTGGTGCTTTTCAAAACATATTGAACGTCGGCCCCTTTGTTTTAGGTTTAAATAGTACGAACATTATACCTTCCTGCCAGCATCCATATCTGCGATAGATTCTGGTGTGCAGACCAGCCAGCATACATATTACCGTTGTGAGAAGTGTAGCGTCTCTGTGTTTTTTGTCTCAGCTATGAATAAAGACACTTGAATACATAAATAGACACACATACTTCCCCTCGGAAGCATGACAACGACAGTGATGCACACTATATAGATGTGGCATATGTTCTTATGGCAATCAGATGAAAGTTCTACTCGTCCCATTCTATCTCCATCCACTTGGAACCCACCCATACAAAACTCCACGACGCAAAAGATCGAAAATTTGAAGACTATATCCACACTCGACAAACCACTACATCTCGAAATGCATCCTAAAAATTTCCTCATATTCTTCTTCGTGGCCGTTTGCCACTCGGCAGTATCAAAATTTCAGAGAGGAAAGTTTGACACCAAGAATAATGATGCCCGCTCAGTATCAGTCTTAAATGCCGCTAAGAGCCAGCCATCTCTGGTCAGCAATGGCCTATCGACTCAACCAAGTGCGATAGTAACGACATTTAAAACGATTGTTATTACCAGAAACGCAAAAATTGCTGACCACGATTTCAAAATGACACTCGGCTCAGAGGAAGCGGTAGCCACAACCACAACCGTCGGAACCACCTTCAATTCGGTTCAGTCAAAGAAGCGTCGTAACACCTTATACTTAGGGCCACTGGGGGGGATCAAATCTTCAGCTATTTCGACGGAATTTGCTACTCTGGTGATCCCAAATTTTACTACTTTCTCACTACCTATATCCACAATAAGTGCAAATTGATATGGATGCTACGGGATATACGCTTCAATTCACAAATTTTTCTCTTTGGATATGTCAGGCACTGCAAGCATATCGACACCCGCGCTCAATCCCTATGAACATTTGCTAATTTGGTTCTTGGTTCGAAGATGTACTACGGAGCCTAAAGAGAGTGTCTAACGACGAGTGCAATATGTTTTTACATTTGGGATTTATTTTACTGTTTGTGGGGCTGGGGGGGTTTTTTTGCGCCGCTTTTGGATGTAAATCTTATTATTGTTTTTGGGGATATCTATAACGTGGTTTAACACCGAGTGCACCACTTTTACCTCAATTTGCACTTTCTAACTCATATCATTCAACAATCATTAAATCAATCAATTAAAACTATTAAGAATCTAATAATCTAGGATCTATTATACTATTTTGACAAGTTCTTGAATTATGACCAGTCTTTCCACACTTACTACAGCATCGACTAGTAGATGATTCCCCATTAGAATTTCCCCCATTTTGATGCTCGTCGCATTGAATCTGAATATCAACCTCTTGTTGAGATAATATATCTACAGTTTCTTATCCAATAAGTATTTATCCTTGATATAATTAAGTCTTTTTTACACATCGATGTTTACTTAATACCTCATTTGCCTTCTGAAGTATATAGTTTTCTGCATTTAAAAGTGTATTTTCATATACCAATCTCTCTGTACCTTGAGTTAAAACTAGTACAATTTCGAATATAGGTGTAGGGGAGCTTGATTGATAATAAGCCATTCGAGATTTCATTAAAGTTAATTAAGAAAAAGCTTCAATTGGATTGTGAGGAGTTTGAGAGATCCAAAGCTTTAAATCGAAAAAGGGGGAAGTAGGCGTATGAATTCGAATATCTAATTTTGAGAGTATAGCTTGAAGATCAAATGGTATTAGACCTATTCCTCGAAAGCTAGCTTTCATATTCTGAGAGGTGATTGATTATTGATATGCAGCTTTGAAAGTTATAAAGAATTCAACTTTAGTGATATAATTGATATATATCTTGATAAACTCCTCAATTTGAGAACTATATAAACGTTTAAATACACCAAAACATCCAATATCAAATGGTTGAGTTAAATGACTTGAATATAGTGGTAATTTGAGGTATATAATATCATTTGATTTGCAATATAATTGAAAAGATATTGATTCGTGGCTTTCGTACTTATCCAATACTAGCATTCGATATTTGCTCTTTCTTTGATGAATAGTATGTTCATCGAAATGCTTTAATCATTCTAGACCTATCTCATTATTCGTTCATCCATTGAAAATAGGTTTAATGGCCCAATCCACAGGAAAATCAGTTTCGGTATACCAATTGGAAAGATGAACTTGTCCTTGAACTACCAAAAATGAAGGTATAGTTTCACCCTCTTTATTGCTATATATTGGGTTTATTGAGACCAGAAAGAGTATCAGATTGAATTGATTGATCCTCTAGCTAAGCAGTTAAGCTGCGAGTATATATTCAAAAAAAATGAAGGAATAAGGTTAGGTATTCAGCCTTCGGAATTAAAGTGCTTTGAAATCAAAATATTGAAAGCAAACAAACAAACAATATACCAAAAAGGAAAGAATGAATTAAAAGTTGAGTTTTGTTTGCTCCTTATATGCATCATGCAATATATATGCATATGCTGCCAAGATCCCAGGAGGTCAACACTATATATGATTGCTATAGCCCACTCTCGATTGTCTGATTGTATTACCTTGCTTCTGCCATTTCGTTCAGCACTAATTACAATTATTCCAGGGCATATTATACCCATCATAAAGTCAATTTCATCAAAGTTGTAGAAATCGGAATCGACAATACCATATTTCATTCGTATATTCGATATCAATCGAAACCACTCTTCAACAAATTTGGGATCTTCGTAAAGAGCTTTTTGAAAGTTATAAATACAACTAAAACATATCTTTAATTTCGTATAATGCTTTACGAATCGATAAATCCAAAACTTTCCAACCTTCTTCGTCCTCCGCGATTCAAGAATATAATTCGCCATATCTTCTACACCACTTAATTTAGATACAAACCCTCTTTCATCCATATCAATTATATACTAAATTAGCACCTCCTCTTCTAAATCAGTTATTTTATGACTATTTGCTCGAATTTCTATACGAGGGGCTAAATCATTTATTCTACAGAGAAATGTTATATGCATTATATTATATAGCTTGGCAGCCTTTCGAATGCTTAGTTTTTTATCTTTTTGAATAGCTTCAATAGCTAAGAGTATTTGAGCTTCTTTTCTATTTGATTGTATAATAAATGATTGATAAATCGCGTGTTGAAGTTGGAAAGTGCAAATTGAGGTAAAAGTGGTGATATGTGTGACGGAAATCCCTGCTTTCCTCCCACCTTTATTATATAAGAAACCTCAGGTACATTAACCATGTCTACACATGATACGATTACTCGAGATTAGTATGCGATTTAGGTGACCTGAGGATCAGATCCGGACAAGTACTAGGTATCAATGGTTATCGGTAAAGTAAGATCATTGGAGGAATAAATATGACTTCTTTTTGCCTAGCCATTGCGGCTAGGCCATTCATTTGTGTATATATAGAGTAGCTATCCCCATCTACAGGTGCTCTTCACCTGTAGATTCTAAGTTAAATACAATTGCTGGCCTATAAACACCCTTTTGGTCACAATATGGTGCACTCGTGTTACGACGGGCTACACAACTACCAAGACACGTGATCACAAATGATCAATAGTGATCATTAAGGATCACTAAGGATCACGGTATAGGTGATCACTGATGATCATTAAGGATCACTAAGGATCACGGTATAGGTGATCACTGGTGATCATTAAGGATCACTAAGGATCACGATATAGATGATCACTAATGATCATGAAGGATCACTAGTAATCATGGAAGCATGAAGGACTATATAATCAAGATGGATTTCCTTTGTATAGAGCTTCGTGCTCAAGATCAATCATTTAGTATATCCTACTATTAGTTACGAATTGCATTTCATTATTGTCATTACTTAAGTCCCTGCTTGACGCCTAGTTATAAACCACCTCGAGAGCCTAGAGCACTTCCACGTGATCTAGACGGCAAACCTCGTAACATGAATTTATATATAAATTTAGAAAATTTTTAATTTTTCAATAAGAATGATTAAAATTAAATAATAAAATTTTTTATAGATTTTGAGTAGGAGATCTTTTATTAAATATCATAATTTAAAATATTTTATTTTGTGAAATATTAGTATTATTATAATCGTATTACGAGGTTTGCCGTCTAGATCACGTGGAAGTGCTCTAGGCTCTCGAGGTGGTTTATAACTAGGCGTCAAGCAGGGACTTAAAGTAATGACAATAATGCAATTCGTAACTAATAGTAGAATATACTAAATGATTGATCTTGAGCACGAAGCTCTATAATAAGGAAACTCCTTTCAATTATATAGACCTTTGTACTATGTATCCCACTGCCCTTTATCGTCCCATCAAGATGGGAATATTTCTTACCATAGTGGGATTCCTCAGCTCGATGGGAATCCTTGATCGCGTGTTTTCGATCAGATTCGATGTCTGTGCTTGCTTAAGGTGGGGAGACCACATGAGTCAATTGCCATACAGTTTTGTATGTGAATCTACTTGCTTTTCCAAATGGTCCGAGCTCGCATGGACAGATCAGCTGTTACTTCGTAACAATTCAATATAAATCAAAAGTTTAACCTTTTAGATCTCAATGAAATCAATCATAAAACGTCTGAAAATTTTAGAATCAATTAATAATTATCTATCAAATATTCAATTCAAATTTCATTGAAAGATTCATTTATTATAAAGTTATCAATAGATGAAAATGCTGGTTTTTGGTGTAAAAAGGTGGCCGAGATTAGGGGTGGGGTGGCCGGAAAAGGGGGTACTAGACTTACACTACGTATTAGGCAGAAGGGTTTTGGAAATTATATCTTAGATTCTCAATTGACATCTGAGTATCAAAAATTAATTCCAAAACAATGTTCTCTCATCATTAAAGAGCCATCCAAATGCAATCCTTTCTTAATACAGTATTCAGTGTTCAAATCTCCGTACAAATTGCTGAACAGTCACTACACTTGGCCCTAAACAACCAGAAACATCGCCTCCAAGCTTCAAACATGTACACATGCATACTCAGATTGATCAATTGTTTATCCAATGCAATAATTTACCGTTCTTCTTTTCATTGTCGATAAACGCCTTCTCAGTCCCCCCATCAATCTCCATCACATATAATCAGGCTCCTAAAAATCCCATCCCAATCATACCCATAACTCCCCACAGCCCAAAACTAATACCATCGCCTACTCTAGCCCTCATTCCACTTGCTTCAGAACTCTTGGGAGCAACAGTTGTAGCGGTAGGACTACCACTTGACCAACTCACGCTCGACAATGAAGTTAAAGAAGTCGTAGTTCCCAACAACAAACTCGGCTTAATAGTTCCAATAGTGGTGCCGTTACTTGTTATCCCTGATACTGGTGCAGATGTAATAGTAGTACTCATCGCTGAATTTGTCTTTGATACTCTCATACTAGAACTAGATTTCATCACGTTTGAACTTGATGTTGTGTTCGCACCTGCAGCATACGTAAGTAAAGCTGCAGAATTCGTGGCCATTGAAACTGCGCGGAATCTTGAGGTAGCTTCAGCACCGGTCACGGTTGTTATTGCGGTTTTAGCGGAGCCCGGAATTATTTCAGTCGCGAGACATGCCATTGATGCAGAGCCGGAAAGTGCGCATCCTAGAGTCATTGTTCTAGAATATATTAGAAATGTATCCGAGGTGATGAAAAGTAGATAACATACGTGGAACCAGGAAAGGTCATTGCAAATTGAACGGTTGAAGGACCCTGAGTCAGGGGGTATGGTTGTTGGAAGTTACATGATGAGGTATCTGAACCTGCTGGACATGCCATTAAATATGTAGTGGCAACATCTGCAGTCTTGAGATGTTATGTTAGTAGATTCATATATCACAGAGACTAGAAATAACATACTGAGCCAATCGCATATGCTACAACGGGATAATCACCAGCAAACAACACCGTTGAAAATTGAGCACCAACTCCTCGACTGCCGATACAAAAAGCAAAAAAGAGCGCATACAATTGATCAACCTGGAGAAGCATATTTCGATTTACATCATACAGCTTCTTCCAGCTGCAGACCTTTGTGGATATAATAGGAAATGTGGCAGCCGCGCATATCGACAGAGAGAGGAAAGAAGTTATACAAACATGGAGAAGACATCTTTTGAGATGTTAGTGCTTTAGGATTTAAGATTGGAGGATCAAATTAATGGAATTGTGAGATCCTTCTGTGCCTATAGCGTTGAAGTCCAAATATAGGACTACAGCAATGGGCGCTTACATCACGTTACACGAAATTTGAGGTGCGAAATTTAGGCCAATGTGTCCATTCAAGATCTGTGATTGGAGGAGAAAATAACGAACTCAGAAATCACTTTATGGGATAGGATGTATCGATGTGAAAGTATGTGCAGTTTTGCTGCGCTGCGCTTATTTGTAGAACAATCAAGGATTGAAATATTTACGACAGTGTGTCTATGACGCCTCCAAACTTAGAGGTCAATAAATGTAAGGATAGATGATCACAAGCCAATGTTCTTCTGCAGCTTGATTCATTAGTAAGGAATCACAACTTGTGAAAACAATCCGTGACATACTCGGACAACACAAGATATGATGGACAAACGTGATACGCTAAGCGTATACCCTCTGCTTGACGTCATTCATATGATCGTGGCAGTCATAGAAGTCGACCATTAATGACGGAAGATGAATGTTGAAAATGATTCCAATACAATGTACGTGAAGATGATGTATATTCCTGGTCCTTCATCCCCTTAGTGGATCTTGGTAGTCGTGTGAGAAGATCTTATAGGGTGACTAAACTAGTCACTGAGCTCTATGGGACTTGGAACTTCATGTACGAGCTAGGGCACGCAATGGCTCATACAGACATGCTTGCAAGATTAGCGAGATCACTTCTAACGATTTAGTACGATGTCCTGGTCTCATTCTGGTTCCTCGTTGACAAGGTTCCTATGTGAGGTGAGATTTATGTGCCTTTTTGGTGAACCAGACGACTGGATACTGACTCGCAATGTTGAGAAGAGGCTGGTAAAGGCAGGTTCTCTGAGCTAGTGACTTCACTGGAAAACTCAGATGACATCCATTAGATATCTTGTTGTACTTCAGTAGAGGAAGTGGCAAGAATGCTCGCGTGAAAACAAGGAAGAGAGATTCTTGGGACGGAACTCTATTGTTATTCATGCAGGATTGAGTTTCTGTAAGCAGGGTAAGCTGGACGCCTCCACGGTATTCACTACAGATGAAGTGGGATATTTCCAGGAGCAAAAATCACTGACGGATACTGTTCACATTTGGGCGCGGGCACTGTTGCATTAAAAATTGTGGGTATGTTACCACTAGCGTCGAGGAAAACACTAAATTATCCATCTCTAAGACTTTAAATTTGAACTACCGCTAGCGAAGACTTCCCGCGCTTGGCAGTAGGGATCCCCAAACTCTTTTGGCACTTATAAATCCGTGAGAATTTACACTTTGCAAATTCCAATACAATATTTGGCACTTGCCGGTCTCTTTGAATCATTAGACACAGCCCAAAGTGGCAATTAGTTGATGTCAAGCTTGTCGAAAATGGGCTTCAAGTGGACACACGCTAGTTCAAAACGTAAGAGGTTTCCGTATGGAATCTTCAGATGGGATATCCCAAGTTCAGATTTTATAGATGGAACTAGCAGACGGGTCTGCATTGAAGTCCGTGTCCAACCTGACAGATTTCGGAACTATTCACAGGCAATGATCATGAAGCATAAATGCTAGCACAAGTCCATTCATTGGAAAAATCGTGAGCTTCATCAAAATGAATGGTGACGGTAGGAATTAATCAGAAGAGTTTGCAAGCTTTTTTCCTCAGCTTTCTGAACTCAGTTATATAATTCTTGCATTAGGAAAGACCATGGAAAGTATCCGCATGGAATAGTAAGGTCCCGCGAATAGTTCCCGAAGAACAGCAACACCCCGCCTCAGGATCATCCAGAAGCAACAAGGAAAGTTAAGACTAGGGATGGTTGACTTAGACGTTGTTGATGAATAATCATCTAATCCCCTCGGCACTTGCTTAAAATGCCAATCTCTACTAGTATCAGAGAAGTGGACTTCTTTACTCACCTTGGTCTTTTCCGGGAGCTTCATCCTAGCTTTTATGATCATTCACAGTCTGCAAGCAGATGGGTCACAATCGATTGTCCTAGTTTGAAACCTCCATCACTCTGAATTCCTCCAATCTCCGCCATCAAACGGGCGGTCCACCCTTCAAATTATCCAGCAGAGTGTCCATCATCGAGCTATGGAGCTTTTTGCTATCTCAAAATTAAATTTTCTAGGCAAGCCTTCTTCATGGCAAGGCTTTGGGGTGAAAATTGTTTGTTCAATCTTCAAGCATTAATGCTGTATATTTCCCACAGCTGCGAAGTATTCGACCAAAAATCAACCAATCATGCCTTGCAAGCATGAGATTTTTCCAAATGCGACTTCCCCGTTCATATATTCTGAACATTATGAATCTCACGATGTTTAGTGAGAGTAATATGTGGAGGAAGATTGCCTCGGAGGCGATAATAAGTCTCCACGAGGGCACCACACGGGAGTGCTGATCTAGACAGAACTTTTTTTTGAAGCAGATCCACCTTGGCATATACGCTAAGGGTGTCTGGACACCTCTCGTTCCTGTTGACAAATGACGGATTTCATGATGGCTATGAAATCTCTCATTCAACTGGAGCGGATTAAAGTTCCCCATTAATGAAAAAGGTACAAAGACAGATCAAGACTAGGTGCAAGTGTCAAGAGTAAATCAGCCTAATGCCACGGTAGCTCGACGAACCGGTGTCGCGGCACGCCAACGTTCGAGGCTCCTCAGTATCATACTGCATGGTTTTTAGTATTGTCATGATGGCATCAAAAAGAATGTCACAGATTCGAGCAACATTGTGATGGTCATCCGGTGGGATTACAATTACCTCTACGCCCCTCCGTTGTAAATTACTTTTAGCATCGTCATGTCGACTTACTATTTCCTTCCTTCTCTGCATTCCTAATCCATCATACAGTCGGAACTTGCGTCAAGATCTTTGCAAATATTTTACCTAATATGTCACCTGTCCAAAGAAGCTCGCCACCAAACGACCCAGGCAGTCTTTTGGGTTTTAATTTCCCTTTGAAAGCCTGGAGAGAAATTGGTGGTCGTGAAGTCCACCTAGCACGAAACCAACCTCTTATTCTCTCATCCCAGGGTGAAGGAACACAGGAAATTATACTTGATTACGGAAGAAGCGTAGGAGGACTCCCCTTTATCGAGACGGCCAATGTGACTAGTAATGGACGAGCGGCTGTAGTAGATGTTGTGTATAGTGAAACAAGCACGGGAGTTCATAACAGAAAAATTGGTATGGAGGCGCTAATAGATTGTTCGATGGAATGAGTGTTAACTTTCGTTAGGAGATGGACCATTCTTTGGATTCTCTAATGCAATGGACACTTACCGAGCGAAGACCCTTTACTTTACTCCTTCGAATACACACAAATTGATGGTATCCAAACTTCCACAGACTTCTCAACGATACCAAAAAATTACCCTCGTAACTCCAAATTGTTCAGTGGCAATCTCATCGATAGGCTTTCGGCAACTAAGACCACGAACAATAGGAGAGGGCCGTTTCGTGTCATCAAATGAGTTACTCAACAAGATATGGAGAGATGGTGTCAATACTGTTGATCGATGCACAGTTGAGGCTGGAGAAGTACAAGAGACTTGGGAAGTAGCTGAATTCGGAACTAGGATATCAGGACAGCGATGGGCACCTTGTCGTCATGGGACGCGATGGAAAGATAAGAAGATCAAATTTAAGGTGAAAATCGAGTCCGGCGGAGCTAGTTGGGGTATTCATATGGTGGAAAGTGGATTGATCTTCTCCATGGACATCGTGTCAAGGAGGTTATCGGCTTTCGAAGGCGCTTCGGATACTTCACCGTCAATACTAAGAGGAACATGGGACCTTGCCGGAAGTCTAGACTTGTTTGATTGGCTTCGGATTGATATTGAAGCTCGCGGTTCAAGCGTTTTGGTGAAGATCAACTGCAGAAGAGTCGCCCTTCTAAAGCGATTGAGTATATACTCGTCGCCCGGATGCGGGCCGAACACCGGTTCTATTGCTTTCGGTGGTCCTGCACATTATGTTGCAGTATATCGATCGCTAGTGGTGAGAGATGTTAATGACAACATTCTTTACGAGAATGATATGAGAGTCCAAAACAAAGTGCGCGTTTTGGCAGACTTTCATGTCGGGACAAACCAGATACCATGTACAGTGGACAGTGCAAAAGGCCATCGTATATGCTCCGCTGGTGATCTGTTCGTGATGGGGCGATCCATTTACCATTCAACTGGGTATTTAGAGGCGATTCTAGGAAGCCTTTCCTTGCTTTCCAGTCACCAAGAAAGTGATGGTTACCTTGGAAACATAAGCCCAATACAAAAGACATTCTTCGAGAATGAACGAAGTGAGCCTCCAACCTACGCTTTTTACTCCCTCACCCTGAGCTTCCAGCTTTTGGTAGCTGTTAAAGACTATTGGATGTACTCAGGGGATTGCTCTATTGTGGAGATGATATGGGACAAGATGGAAAGATCGATGGATTTCGCAATACTTTATGAAGATAAACGAGGATTGATTATGGCACCACCAAATATGTCAAGTAAGAATTTTCCTCCGAGTACCATTAATAATGCCTAATTGTTAAAACAGGAGATGATATGTCACCCGACATACTGATAGGTGCTTCATCGAAGTTAAATCTTGCATACTACGATGCCCTGATTTCCATGAGCAAGATGTGTGGCATATTCGGAGTAGAGGATCAATATACACCACGTGCATTGGTACTCAAAGAGAAAATACTGAAGAATTTATGGCATGCAAAAACAGGGGTTTTGCGGCTGAGTGACCATTCCCCACCAACGATGATATCCCACGAAGTTAATGCATATGGAAGAATTCTTGGTGTCATACCTCAAACGGAAAGTTTAGATGAGCTCTTGGGGCTTTCAAAAACAGGAGAACTTCCATCTACAATTCGGGATTTGGAAAGTAGAAGATACGTGAATACTGTGAGTCCTTATACTTGTGGAATGGCAGCAGAGGCACTGTTTCAAGCCGGTAAAGGATATGAAGCGGTGGAATTGGTGGAAAGAGTATGGGGTCCTATGTCAGATCCAGAAAATGTAGATTATTCAGGAGGACATTGGAAAGAGATAAAGCCAAATGGGCAGCCAACTTCATCTGCGACTTCATTGATGCAAGCACGATCTACCTGGCCGGTTTCTATTCTTCCGCAATACCTTGCGGGGGTTGAGCCAATCTATCGGGGCTGGTCTCGTTGGAAAGTGCATCCTGTACTTGCAGGACTTACTTTTGTGGATTACCGACTTTCAACGTCAATGGGGGAGATCTCTGTGGCCATTCACATACACGAACCAAGTAGCACAGGAGAGCTTACAGTGTTTGTCCCTAAAGGGACAGTGGCAGACTTGTATCCACCAAAGGGCTGGATTTTCCTAGCATCTAGGAGTATATGTGCGGAATATCTGGAGAAGAAAATCGTTATAGGGCAGGATGAAGAAGTAACTTTACGGCTTTGTTTGTCGCCTCGAAATAGTGACTCGGCGCCGAGCAGACCAAGTTTAAGGGAGCCACCCTGGGAAGATTACGAGCCTGAAACACAAGAGGAAGAACTGAAAGGTCCATGCTGTATAAAACGACTCGGCCGAAAATTCTATAAGTTATGTAGAGAATAAATTTAAGCCTGGGCAAGAAAAAAACTAGTAGTCTGTGCATCATCAATTTTCGTAGGATCGAAGTGGCAACCAGTCAATTATAACAGTATTGAAATAATCACCGAGTGAAAGGCAATGACATACATGGAGATATGAATTCGTATGACAGTGTATATTAAAGCATAATAGAACCTATGCATGGCCACTGGCTCGATTCATTGGACCCCAATTCTCTCGAGGATTTACTTGGTATCTTACTATCTTTTTTGTATCTTTCTCCATTCCCAGCTTTTCGTCAAATACTATCTCGAGTTTCTTTTTAGTGGCGGGCGACGTGTCTTTCTCTTCGGCTTCAACTTCACTAGGCTCGTCCTTGATATTTGACTGCTGCGTAGAAGTGTCCGTTTTGTCTAAGCCCATAATGTACCACCCGGCTGTATTCTTCTTGATAGCACCTTCCTTTGGCGGACATTTTTGTCGCGCCCACTCTCTCATAATCTCCCAAATAACATCCCAAGGAGCATCTGTTTTGATACTGCCACCCTTTGTGTGGCTTCTAGTAACTCTATAGCCGAGGTGGCGTAGAGCTCCTCGGAGTGCATTCTCGTGAGGAGTGACGCAATGAATTACTTTGGCAAGCATTGATGGTATGAAGAAGAATGGATAATGGTCAAGTGCTGCGGGATCATTCTTGCCAGTCTTTGATGAGTCGGTCGGGGAGTCTGGAAGCTCCTTGGTGGGAAGCAAATTCTCTTCGAGGGCCAATGTGAGCATTCCTTCGATTCTAGCTGTTGTATGATATGTATCCTTGGATACGTTGGGAAGGTCATCGAGGATTCTCTGAACAAACTCAGGTTGATGGAGCGGACCACCGTACATAGGTCCAGCGAGGTGAGTTCTCATACCGCAATGGGAGCAGTTCTCACCCGCAGATGGTCCCATGGAGTAGACATGTTTCCAGAAATGACCATTGCCATTTTTGTTGGGCACAAGCTTGTTCTTTCCGACCATCTGAGTTGTCCATGCTCCACAACCAGTATCACAATTATAAACCATCATGGTTTTGCCTGCTAAAAATTTGACATCTGAGGGAGATTTGTATATTCTAACAAATACTCGTGCGTAGAAATCAATAGAGAGGGAGAGAAGGGGCTCCATCGCCAGGCCATATCGAGCGGCGGATGTAGCGATTGAATGCAAAATAAGTCTCAAACCACCTTCATGGCTGTGCTGACCTTTGACAGTGACTCCTCCGTAAAGCGAGTATGCCTTTTCGGGATATCCATTTGAAGCCCATACACCGGCATCAGTACAAGTAACACACAAAAGTCCCCCATCATCTCTGACGGCTTGTACTGCCGCATCCAAAAATGGAGCTGCTGTGCCATAAGGATCCAGATCAATAACATCATATTTTCTGCTGCCACTCCCATCTTTGGAGTCATCACCTATAAGACTATACATATGTGTCAATGCATTTCCAGTGACAGCATTAATCTTGTTTTCTAGCTTATTGTGCTTTACATTGAGTTCGATTGTTTTGGTAGCTGCGGGCAAAAGGTCATTCGCGGTAATGGATGTTGCAAAGGGAATCTCTTGAGCATATCGAAGAGCTCTGAGTCCAGTCGCAGATAATGCATCGAGAATTTTGAATCTAGGATTGATTGGATTCGCAGGTTTTGTGGGTTCGTGTCCGTCTTTGTTTTCTGGTACTTCAACCGTTTCCGTTGTTACATGATTATTCGATCCTCCATTGGCCACTGAGGCTGTCGTATTCGTCCCTCCATTTTGATCCATTACATCTCCTTCTTTGCTCTCCATTTCCTTGTCCTTAATGGTATTCTCTGGTTTTCCGACGGCTAATGGCAGCTCTACAGCTTCTCCTGCACTCTCATATTTGCCTGCCTTCCTCGGTCCATCATTTCCTTCTTCAGCAACCCTCTTTCTTTTTTTCTCCTTCTTGGCAGCATTCTTTTGTCTATCTCGTTCGATTATCTTCCTCTTCTTTTCCAAGATGCTTTCTCCGTATGCCTTGATCGCCAGGACGCTCAAATCTCGATTGAATTGTTGAATTGGGTTATAAAAGACAGATTGTACCTGGTTTTGGCCTTTGGGAGTTGTCTGCGGCACTTTTGATCCTTCTGCGGGTATCAGGATATGTGCGAGGCCTTCCTTAACTGTGGTATATTCTTTTCCATCGTGAAGAATGTGTTGATCGGCAGCGGGCGCGACCGTTATGTCAGGAAGAGTAGCATCCATGGTGGAGGCCGAAAATAATCTATAAATTGAAATTATTTGCCGATTGCTAACAATCTGCGGTATGATGCGACTTCTTTTGAAGTAATTGACAGAAGTAGAAATCGATCGCATAAGTTGTTTCTGTTGTAGTATGAAATAAATTATTATTGAGAACAAAAATGGTGAAGTTCTGCCGGTGATGGGCAGGAAGGCGGTCAACAAGGTTAAAACGCCATTTTCGCTCATCATCAGGGTCTACAGAGGAATGAATGTCTTGATATATAGGGCCTACCGATAGAGTGTTAGCACTATAATAAATTGTAATTTTACTCCTCCTTGAAGATTAATACCCAATTGGATATAAAAAAGTCTACTATTCAAACCTTTATAGTTCCATTCCACTAGGATAGAAATAAGTGCATTTATCATACACTTATTCTTGTAAAATCGCTTAGCCCTGAATAGATGATCTAGGTTCAATTTTATAGGCCTCTTGTAGTGCTAGTATTCTATAAGGTCCTATAACCGCGTGAATGTTCTAGGCGTCCTTAGTACGGAGTACTCCGCAGACTGTAGACTTAGCAAAGACAAACCACGAGCTCCTTTCTCAGCATCAAAAATTGCGTGATGAAAGACACAAAACACACTCCAGCTAGTACTGCAAGTAGCAAGTATTCAGCAATTAAATTCGCGTTACAGCTACACAATATAGAGACGCGAGGGGGGCAGAATCTCGGATTAGTTCGGTAACAAAAGCGGAATTCAAAGGCGGGAGAGGTGCAAAAGTGCTTGTAGAATAACATCTTATTATTGAAACTTCTTGTAAGGCTGTTTTGACGATAACTTTCCAGCTTGAGAGTTACTTCTACTTGATCGATACTCGACTAGTGGAAGATAGTTCGGGTGCAGTTGACCATATATAATAGTCGACATGTGTGTCTTTTTGCAAGCTGCGCTTAGAAAGCTGATCATGACTAGCAGCCATTTTAATCAAACGCAATACAACAGGAAAACAATGGAAAGAAGATCTCGAGCTCGAATTGAGATATTGAATCACGTGGATGCGAGCACACTTGTCGTCCCCATTTTATTGGTCCCAGAATTTCAAAAATAAGCGCCCAACCATGTCCGCTAAACTACTCTCGAGACTAAATGCTTCTTATGCTATGGCTCAGCGCTGAAGAACAGTTACATTGCATATCGCCACCCAATGAATCATGATCATACCAGGAATGAAAATATTCCGAGACACCAACATCACATCTATCCAGGGTCTCCAAATATACGACCCCGGACGCAAGTCGCGTCGGAAGAGTCACAAAGCCTCGTTCCAATGGTAGGGCAGAAGTAGGTGTGCAAGCATCAGAAGTAGGCTATTTGTATATGGGTGCATGCTGACATGTGGAGGGGCATGTCTTCTTTCTCTTCTGTGATTTTCATTCTATTTAATGTGATTGTGATGTTTTTTTTAACTGTATTGCTTGTTAATTCATCTTGCAAAGTTATTCATTGGCAGTAAATTGCGATACTTTTGGAGATAACATTCCTTTCCCCACCAAATACCCCATGGCGCTGTCACTGGCGCGATTGAAGTTTAGAAAGACTCGCTCGAAAACTGCCACAACCGTACTTTCTACCCATTCCAGTATTTCTCCAGCGAGCGATACTAAAGACTCCGAGCCCACCGAAAGGTTTGGTCTTTTCCACTTGAATCCGATTCCGACGGTTCCGAATGAAGAAGAGCCAGTTTATAGACTTGATGTTGTGGCACTGCATGGTATAAAAGGCGATGCATTCAAAACATGGACGGAGAAGAGGGAAGATAATAAGAAGAACTTCTGGTTAAAGGATCAGTTACCAGTTGAGCTCCCAGGTGCGAGGATATTCTCGTATGGGTACGATGCGAATGTGCTGTTTAGTCGGGGAACGGGCACAATAGAAGATTTCGCGAGAACCCTTCTGGTAGATTTGATGAGGGAGAGAAACCATGATTCGAATCAAAAACGTCGCATCATCTTCATTTGTCATAGTATGGGAGGCATTGTCATAAAAAAGGCACTCATCACCGCCGTTGACAATGGTACCTACAGAAACATATTCGACTCCACGTCCGCCATCCTCTTCCTCGCCACTCCGCATATGGGTTCCGACGAAACAAAGCTACCCTTGTCCATCGCCAATGTTGCTAATGGCATTCTTTCAATGAGATTTAGCGGCCGTGTGAGAGATGATTTGATCATGCCTCTAGCGCGAGATTCGCCGGTCTTGAGAGATATACAGCAAAAATTCAAGGAAAGGAAGTTGTATGAAGGGTTGATGATCGCCAGTTTCCAGGAGCAAGTAATTTGTACGGGATTGAAAGGATTGGTTGTTGACAAGGAAAGTGCACTGTTACACATTCCGAATGAACGGGCGGTGCCGATGAATCGTGACCACCGAAATATTTGCAGGTTTAGTGGACCGGAAAGCAAGTCATACCAGAGAGTTTGCGGCATTCTGAAAGAATATGCTGATAAAGCTAATATGAGTAAGCTCTCTGTAAGCGAGAAAATAATGATGTGAAATGCTAATGCATAATTGAATAGCTGTTCAACCAGAACTTACATCAGATGACAAAGGTACGCATTTTGCTTCCCTACTACACATTTATACTCACATACTTAGCTGTGTTGTCCTCCATACACTATCCCGAAATGGAGCAAAGACGCCACAATACAAACGGCGCCTATCCGGGCACCTGTACCTGGATCTTGAAAGAACCTGCCTACCTACGATGGAAAGCTGCCCAGCGTAGCTTGATATGGATAAAAGGCAAACCAGGTGCAGGTAAGTCCACACTTATGGCATATATCCTGTCAAATATTCGCCATTATGATTCCGGCCAGCTAGTTTTGAATTTTTTCTTCCATGGTCGAGGTTCTCCTCTCCAAAAAAGCCCAGAGGGAATGTACAGAGAATTGTTACATCAACTCTACCTCCAGGCATTTCCTATCCGTAAATTGCTTCGAAAGTCTTTCATCCAGAAAAATGCGCCCGGGAAATCAGAGAATGATTGTGTTTGGACTGAAGATGAATTAAAAGAATGGCTCTTCAATGCCATCACACAAATTGCAAAATCACAGCCCGTCGTGTTATATGTCGATGCACTTGATGAAGCTGGCGATGATAATGCGAGGATTCTAATTAACTATTTCGACGATATGAAAAAGAGAGTAACCGCAGATAATGGGTTTCTAAAGATCTGTGTTTCTTGTCGACATTATCCGAATGTCTCTTTAAGTGACGGCTTTGAAGTCAACGTGGAAAATCATAACAAGCCAGATATTACAGTCTTCGTTCATGCGGAGCTGGTTTCAAAAATTCGAAACTGGGACAATGACCCTGTAGCTATTGAGGGTAGGGAGAAAATGGAAGCTGCCATAGTAAAGAAGTCGCTGGGTGTCTTCCAATGGGTCAAGCTTGTGGTTTCGAAAGTTGCCTACGAGTTGAATGAAGGAGCGAGCTTGAAAGATATCCATCTTATGTTGGAAAAGGTACCAAATGATTTAGGTCTCGTCTACAAAGATATTCTCACTAATGTCATTAAAGCTGAATATCGATCCAAGACATTGTTGTTGATGCAATGGGTTGCATTTGCAATTCGACCCTTGAATTTAATCGAGCTACGGCATGCCTTAGCATTAGATGAACCGCTCCAACAGGAAAAACTGAGTTGCCGGGATGTCGAAGGTTTTGTCGAAACTGATGCGAGAATGAAGATCTTGACGAAAAGCCTGTCTGGTGGACTTGTCGAAGTCGTTCTCTACACTTCCGGCGAGTATATGGTACAGTTCATTCATCAGACCGTGGTTGATTTTGTGAGCTCTGAGGGTCTTAAGTTTTTGTTCGCTACCATAGGAGATCCTAGTTCTGATGGATCGCTACGACACAAATCGGAGATTTCGGATGATGAGATCATAGGAAGAAGTCAGGATAGACTGGCAAGGACTTGTACGAACTACTTCAGGTCTGGAGAGCTCGCCCTGCAGGGGAAGTCTGAAGATTTGTCTCCCGACGAAATGGAAGCACAATACAAGACGAAAGCTTTTGGTGTTTACGCTCATGAGTCGTGGTTGAAACATGCAGAGCTGGCTGAGAGGAGGGGTGTATTGCAAGACAGTATTCTACAGGAAATTGAGACTTACGACCTACTGAAAATATGGCTCAATTTTTCTCATGCACCTCCTGAATCGAACTATTTTGGACACGACGCCCCGGATGAAGTGAAGCTCTTACATATGTTTGCGGCTGTAAATCTACAGGGCCCTACTAAAACTCTTCTTGGAAGAGGTGTGTCTGCAATGGCTGCTAATTCATGTAACACAACAGCGATGCATTATGCAGCCGCCAATGGGCATGTTGAACTAGTGCAGATGCTTGTAGAAGCTGGTGCAGGTGCATCTATATATCAATCCGATGATAATTATAACACCCCTGTACAATTAGCCGCTAGAAAAGGGCATGAGAAAGTCGTGAAATTCTTACTCGAGAAGGGCGCCGACATTGATGGAGACTCCGCGGGTGCTAACGCGTTGCAGGCGGCTGCTAGGGCTGGAATGAAAGATATGGTTCTGTTTCTGTTAAAAGCTGGTGCAGCAGTCAACGCGCCGAGTGGAATCAAGGGGGATGCTCTCCAGAGTGCAGCGAGTGAAGGCAGGGTCGAGATCGTCAAACTTTTACTAGAAAACGGTGCAACTTTTCAGGACCACAAGGACTCTCTATTTGGCAATCCGCTTTCGGCGGCAGCTCATAAGGGCAGCCGTGAACTTGTTGAGTGAGTTTTTCCACGAATTACTCAACCGCCTATATTCTGGATAATGGCACTAACAAAAAATAGTTTGTTCTTAGAAATGGGAGTTTCGATCAACATTTCTGGAGGACGGTACGGCACTCCGCTCCAAAGTGCAATAAATGCTCAGCATCTCCGTCCCAACATTGAATTTATACGCTACCTCCTTTCCAAAGGCGCTGAGATCAATGCCCAAGGAGGGCAAGATGGATCTGCTTTACAAGCCGCCGTTAACAGACACGGACGGCGTCTCGAACCACACATGGTAGAAATCACACATTTATTACTGGAAAAGGGAGCAAATGTGAATATTGGGGGTGGGGCAGCTGGAGGAGTGCTTCAAGCAGCTGCGGCCAGTGGTCATGACGAATTAGTACAATTATTCATTGAATATGGTGCCTCAATCGATTCTTCGGAGGGGCTTTATGGAAGTGCTCTCACTAATGCTTGTTACCATGGGCACAAATCTACTGTACAGCTTCTCCTTAGGGCCGGAGCCAAAATGTATTCGGATCAACCACTCGAACACAATACCCCATTGGAGGAAGCCGCCGAGGGTGGTTATACTGAAATCGTCAAGATCTTGCTCGATGCTGGAGCCGATGTTAGTGATACAGGGGCCGACCGGCTTGCTCTTCACTCAGCAGTGAAAGACAAGACGATATTTGAACTTATACTCAATCACGGAGCCAATATTCATGCTTCCGGGGGACGATACGGAAATGTTCTTCAGGCTGCTGCAAAAGGGGGAAACGTGGAAGTTATGGCAATATGTCTAGATTATGGAGTTGACATTAACAAAGACGGCGGAGGATTCGGCAATGCACTTCAGGCCGCCATAATCAGCGGCAGAGAGGCTTTTACATACTTGTTGAATCGAGGGGCAGACCCTTTTCTGGTGGGAGGTAAGTTTGGCACTGCTCTCCAGACTGCTGCATATCAAGGAGCAGTAGAAATAGTAGAAACATTACTGGGCCTGGGTGTAACGGATGCGGAAGGAGGTTTTTGGGGGAGTGCTTTGGAGGCCGCTGAGCATGGGATAGGCAATGCGGCGGACAAAAATGTCATAATAAATCTGCTCGAGGTACAGGGTGGCGGCATCAGATTACCATTTCCCGATAAGAAAAGTTCTAGAGCTCAGGAAGAAAGGTAACCATGTGTTTATTTCGTGGTTTCTTGGATGCGATGAAGCAAATATTTCGCTTAAATTTTACTGTCTTAAAAATTATAGGAAGGTGATCAAGGATAGCTTATTGATAATATTTCAAAACCTCACAGTAAATTCGCAGTGCCCGATGGCGACGTTAGACTGTTAGGTACAACAGCATTTCCGCGGCCATTGTTTGATGTTGTGTACCGTTTCGGCCCATTGAATGGGGGAGGTTCGTAGAGTCTCGATTCAAAATTCACACCATAGATGGTGATCGAATAGTTTCCGTGAAACGGATTCTTAGGTATGCATTATTCATGCACCCATTTACTCGTCAATGACATCCGATTGCTTTTATGGATGGATTGGTGGTTAGCTTATGTGAAACGTGGATGGTATGGGGTATGGTGATAGGTGGCGAGCTTCCTGCAACCAATAGCCATGCATGAATAGACTCAAGCTGCGGCAGTTAGATAGCATTCTTAAATGCCTGGGGAATGGTTTTCTGTTTGCAAATGATCGCCGTTGTATCCATACATTTTTTGGGTATGATTCTCGATAGCAAAGAGGCTTGTATAGCTAGTTTTAGGGCAAAGCCTCTTCGAAGGCTCGTATAAATGGAGTCATCATTCCTCCCTGACTTGTCGAAAGTGCTCTTGTACATCAAATGTAAAGTTTAATTATAGCCCGAACTGCTTGTCTAGCCGGTGGAGCAATATTTATCTACCTATCACTCGGCCTGTATTGACCCACACCGTGGTTAAACTTTGGGTTTGGCATGCTGTTAAGCTCGAAGATTAGCCCCCTTGAAGATTTGATATTAACCAATTATGAATAATTTTATCCTTTCCATTCAACCTAAAGAAGGATGTTCCTGAGCTAATCCACTTCAAAACACGGTCAACTAGACCTAATTTCGTGTAGCTTTTGGCGCAGTAACATCAGCCTAGTAAAAGGGAGATCATCCCCAAACCAACGATTTTCGTTATTTTGCATACTTCTCGACTTAATTTTAATCTTCATTTCACCAAAAAGATAGATATTTTTTCTGTTTCTTTTTTTTTTCCCTTAAATATATTTATTATATATATAGAATCAAATTACCAAAATTTCCCCACAATCTTTTCGATAATACGAAACAAGAAGCTGCAGCAGAAACTCGAGAGTGTTACAGTTTAGGAAATTGTGGTAGACAAGATCCTTTCGCCAAACCTAAAGCTGGGTCGTGTTTAGGGGTCGAAGCGTGTTGTAAAATGAGTGTAAGTCCATGGTTTCACTTTCCTATTCTCAAGAGTTTCAACATCACAACGGGAGATCTCTCATTCTACCATCTCTTGAATTGATACATACATTTGGATTGAACGGTGTCTTGGAATCAACTCAAAAGCAATAAAATTACTCTGGAAGAAGTCGACTAATAATTATGGCACAGTACGGGTTAGTTATTCACCATTCACCATTCACCACCGCACCACTTCACCATCTTGTTGGGTGTCGACAAAACATATTTAACCTGGGATCCGCGAAAAACTCGAACTCCTCACTACATGATTTTTGGTACTAATTAGATTGAAATAGAAATTATGGCGGCGGTGACAACCCGTATGCTCAGCAAGCATCACCAGGTTATCCTCAATCACCTCCATACGATAATGGAGCAGCGATGGGACGAGACTCTTATGGTGGTGAGCATCTTTCAGCACACAATCATTGTCATCCCATTAACATCAGAGCAGGACAAAATCTTGAGATGGCATCCTTAGCACAGAATGGAAGTCAGCCCGGACAACAATATGACCCCAATGCCATTCTCAACAGATGTCGACAGATTGACATTGACATTGATGATAATGCGAGAGGAATTGCAGCCTTGGAATCACTTCGTAGTCGAATCAACGGGGAGGTGGATCAAGGAGGCATCACCAGAGATCTCGAGGACATCTCTTCCCAAACCATGTCGCAGCACCGAAATTTAATTGAAGAACTCCGAAAAATCAAACTCATGCCCGATGCTGGCAGTGACATGAACACAAAACAGATTGGCAGAGTGCAACGAAAACTCAAGAAAACGATGGACGAATTCAACGCAAAGGAGCAACAGATTAAGAACGCCGTCCGAGACCAAATGAGAAGAGAATATCGCATTGTCAACGCGGATGCTACGGAGGAAGAGGTTGCTGCTGCTGTACCGGACTCGGAGCCCCAGCAAATGTTCCAACAAGCTTTGATGACAAGTAACAGACAGGGACAAGCCAATACAACTTTGAATGCTGTCAGGGACCGAAACGCTGCTATCAAAAAGATCGAAAAGGATATTATAGAAATCGCCACATTATTCCAACAGATGGAAGAATTGGTTGTGCAACAAGAAGCTGCTGTGGTTAATATCGAAATGAAGGGTGAAGAAGTTGTAGAGAATCTGGATAAGGGAGTTCAACAAATGGACACGGCAATCGTTAGTGCGAGATCAAGAAATAGAAAGAAGTGGTACTGCTTAGGAATAGTTGGTATGTCTCCCTTGCATTCACTCAGCTCCCTCTTACTTCAAACCCCAAATTACTAACATGAAAACCTCAGTCATCATCGTAGCCATTATCGCAATTGTGTTAGCTGTACACTTCACCAACTCGAGCAAGAACAACAACGATAACAAAACAGCCAAAAGATCCATCCCTACTATTGGAACAGCACGAGTTGTACCAGGCACCGATTTCACTACATCAGACCGATTAGTGGTACCAGGTGCGAGCTTCCTAGAATCAAAGATAGTGGTTCCAGGCCAGCAATGGAGTGAAGACAAAGCAGTAGTACCAGGTGTAGAATTTACACGCGTGGTTAGAAAGTGGAAGAAATTTGTCGCATGAGCTTGATGGGGAAATGTTTGTATAAATGGCCGGCCCAGATGTGCTCTTGATGTTTCTTTTGTCTTTTTTCGCAGGTAAGCACGTTTGTACGGAACTCATAGTAAATGAGTTGTGCATAAGATTTGGGCGTATATGATGATTTTAGTTCAAGAATTCAAGAGAAGGAAAGAAAGAAGGGGGGAAAGGAGATTTTTTACCCTTTCAGTCACACGCACGATAAAAGAGGTGCCTTCGAGACAATTATCATTTCTTTGTGTAGGAATAAAGGGTCTATATGGGAGGAAAAATTATACCATACCTTTTTCTCTAGTTGTAACGCATTGTTGCTTTCATTCGCTTCGTTTGATATAGGGGGAAAGGAGTTTGTTTCTTCTGCTTCTTTTGGGTTTGAGAGGAGAGTAAAGCAAGTCAGTCACAGGGTGATGGATATATAGTATATTTATAGTGTAGTTGTGGATTTTAATATATGGTAACATTTTTTGTAATGAATTTGAGGTTTAATTTGTATGGTTTTGTGTGTATCGGTTGTGGTTCTTATGGAAGATGTATTGTGAGATGGATAGTGTTAATGTTTTGTGATTAGTTTGCTTTACATGTTGTATTGTATTATACTTGGGACAGAGATTCTGTTTTCCCATCTTGCTATGGACCTCTGAGTATTCAATTTAATTACTTCATCTGTACTTACCATTCAGCCGGATATGCTTATTCCTTTCCCCAACTTCTCACATCTATACCTCTACTAACAAACTCAAACTCAAGCTACATCACCCTTCATTAGCCGACTCTTATATTCACTCTACTTTTCAGATTTTTGACCTATTCACTTCATATAGTATCTCGCTTCAGATCTAGAGTCTTTAGTTTGAGTATTCACTCCTCGCTAAGTTTCGATCGTACTATCTAATTACTATCGTCTACTTATTATTAGTAGACACTCTCTTTACTAAATCATTCACCAAATCAATTCTTCGAGTTTCATCTGATGTTGAACTACGACTATTCTATATAATTTCTCCTCCTCCTTCTCCCACCTCAACATTCTCACCCCCTATATATCTCCCCTCCCATCCCATCCCATCCATAAACACAACATCCCCCATCTCATCTCATCTCATCTTCCCCGAGATCAACTTTAAATAATCACAACAATTCTCTTTATATAATCGAATCCTACTCTTCCATCTGGTGATCCCATCCCATCCTATCAGGATGCATTTCCTCCTATCCCATAACATTAATTCTTAGGTGGGTAATCTTGATTCATTATTTATTCAATAGTAAGTCTTATTTACTCACTCAATAATTTATACACTTATTCTTTTGTACATCTGTCACCTTATGTACTATTATTTACTCTAGTGTGATTCCTCTTATGTGGCATTAAGAAGGGTGAAATGAGATGAAGTAAAATGACATGAACTAGGTAATTAAAGATAGAATACATTCCAATACTCCATTCATTCAGATAGTAAGAATACCATGAACCTATCAACATCTCGTCCCAACTCCCATAACATACCCCGTAATTCCTCTCGATATCATATCTGTCTGTCTATCATAATATAATAAATTTGCGCCTATACCATCCCGTGCCTTACCGTGCTGTGTTGCCGTGTCTTGGAATCATTACCTATTTATATACAAATCCATTCCCAATCCGTTTCCTGATTCCATTCCCAAACCATCCTGCATTAAGAATATACATTCATATCCAATGATAATTATCAAGAAGCTTCAAAAGCCTCTCCCTCCCTCTCTCGCTCTTTCTGTCCTTCTGCCAGTGACTCTGCGCCCGGTATTACTATATCTCCTTCATCTCCTTCTCCGTCCATATTACTCACTCCCTGGTCACCATGATCCCATCCCACACCACCAATAACTGTGCGTAGAATATTCATTTGCTTATCGAACCCCTCAAGGATTTTATCCATATCCAGTTCCTCAATTTCTCCATTGGCATCATCCTTTTGGTTCCCTTTCCCCTTCTCCCTACTCCTACTCAAATCCTTATCCTCTTTCAAAATAGGGATACCAACCCCATCAATTCTCAACATCAATGCACCCTCCTTCTCCTTATTCTCTTCACCCTCCTCCCCCGCACTTTCCCATATAGGTGCTTTTCCAATCTCACATCCCATAACCTGCCATTTATCACTCAAACTTTGTGCCCTAACAACTCTATCCCCAGTTGCGTTCATATCAATTATAATAACTCTTTCCTCTCTCAATTTGCCCTTCCCATCCTTGCTTTTCCTAATCGATAATCCCGGTCTAGAACTTGCGTTCGCAGTTCTTAACTCTCCAGAATCTTTGTTCGTCAAAGAATTACTATTCGAAGAATTTGAAACATCCGGCAGGCATCTCAAACAAGCATCTTTCAAATCTTCACTATCCTGATCATCAGAAAATATGTAATGTATTCTGCTAGGATGATGCGTAGTAGGAGTCTTTGGATTTCCATCTTTATCATCACCAAGTACCGTAGAATCCGTTATTAGAGTGAAGAACGGAGCGAAAGAGGATGGTTGTGAGATAGGCATCTGCGAAAGCTCGTCTTGTTCGTTGGAAGGTTGTTGAATATGTATCAATGGATCTGCGACGTGTGGAGAATGACCCCGTAGCTCTGGGAAAGGTTCACCATGTATGTATAGCTCCGCAGCAGTCGGTGAGGCAGACAAACGTTGATCTGGCGAAAGATGTCGAGTGTCTAGAGGAGAAGTAGAATATCTAGTTTCTTGTGGAGAGTTTGATAAATATTGAGGATTTTGGGAAGAAGTAGAAAGGTTTCGAGGAGAAATAGATAGGTGACTTGTATATTCTGGAGCTTGGGAGGATGGGGGATGAAGGGGGTCAGGATCATTCGTAGACATAATGTATGCTTGTCTTCCGCGTTTGTAATTATGAATTTTGTTGGGAAATATGACGGGGAGGCGGGCGTTCGGTAGGTGTTTGGTGTTGTGTACTGGCTAGCAGCTAATTTTGGTATAGCTCTGCATATGTCGTGCAATGTGAACGCGGGGATTTTGGATACACAAGACGAGATCTTTAGTAAACAAGTTATAAGGAAGATTGAAGCTTTAGCTTGTAGATGATAACCTTGTTATCAAAAGGCTTGAGCTCTAGAAATCAATCTTATCTACACGTGACCAGGCTATTTCTTGGATCTACCGTTCTAGATCTCTGCCATTTGCAGTCATTTGCGTAACCAAGATTATTTTACTTTGCATAGATTTGAACTGGCATTTACATGACATATAGATGATATATCTCTATATTCGATATTATATGTTCTAGATTTCATAATTTATGCCTTTTATTACTCCATGCAAATATGCCCATCCACCGATGTTATCTCTAACATTAAAAACAAAACTCTCTGCGCCAATAACCATATTCCCTTGGTATCGCACCATGAAGATACAAATGGCTGTGCAAGTGCATAATGTACAATTTATTTGGTTTATGTATATCCTTCACTGCTAGACTTACCTACAACTTAACCCAAACTTTATTATATCAAAAGAGTAAAGATTCCACCACCAACACCAACCATAATCATCGCAATACCACCAACGAAAACTCTAGCCCATTCAAATGGTCCAGGGCCTGATGATCCTGCAGATTTCTTCCCAGTACTAGTTGATGTTGATGTTGAAGTGAAGCCTGCTTCAGCATTCAATCCTGTGGCAGTTGGATTGTAAGTTGCTTGACCAGTCCCAGTCGCAGTTGCCGTAACACCAATCCTTGGGTTGCCAGAAGCTGTCTGTGTAACAGCTGCTTCATTGGGTGCGCTTGATGCACTTGGTATGGCTGCACCTACGCTTGGGAATGGTACGATGTTGGACCCAGTAGCATTAAAATCGGTTTGCGCGAGTCCAATTCTGTTATTTTCGAGGTCATAAACAACATAGGCTGATCGTAAGAATGTATCCCCGAAAAGCGTAGGGTTCGAACCGGCGGCTTGAATACCGAGTTGACAAGCTGGATCACCATTGCTGTAAGTTGGTGTACGTCCATCACTTGTGGTGAGAGGTAATACGAGTTGTGATACATCAACCTTAATAGTAGGACCATCCACTCCTCCAAATCCGTAGTTTATGCTTCCAGATTTCTGAGCTAGAGAACAGGGAACGACTACTGCGCCAAGTTGTTGAGATACTGTTGCTCCAAGTTCTTCGAAGATGACAGCGGCAACATCATCAGGTAAAAGAGTAATGGTGGTTCCAGAATCGAGGATGGCTGGTTGAGCAAAACTGGGTGCGGTCAACTGATCTGTTCCCGATGAAGATTGAACCGAGAGGGAAGTCCAAGCTACAGTGAAGGATGTTACCGACCCTCCACGGGAGCTTGGATAGACATTGACAGTGACGAGGTCACCAACATATTTTTCCGTATCGATACCGCCGAACAATATTGAGCCAGTGCTTGATTCTACGTTGATATTAGTTTCGTTCTCAGATTTATCTTGTGAAGAAGAGAAAACTTACGTAAATCATCTAACCACAAGCTGTAAGCATTGCTATTTATCAATCCTGAGGAAACCAAGACGTTCGGTAAATTCGGGTACGTAGTACCATTTCCAGTTTGAATATTTGCTTCGGAGCTATTATATCCAATGCCCATGATTCCAATTGAAATAGAAGTGTCTGTAGCAAGACCCATCGTAAAACTTTTGACTGTAGCTCCACCAATCGAGAAGGTATCTTGAAAATAATCTCCAGTCGATCCAGTTCCATCTACGTATGAAATATTGAAAGCGTCTCGATCTACTTCGTGGAAGGTTGTGGAGCTGGAGGAGTCAACTGTATTTTGTTAGCAGTCCTTCTCCATAAACTTGCGCGGAAAGTATAGGAATACATACAGCTCCCACCAGGACATCCTCCATCTCTAGTATCCTCACAAATGGTAGCACTCGCACTTGGTACCCAAACATCAGAACTACCCGTATCGATCTGTAAGCTCAGCTGTTGTGCCGGACTTCCCACTGTAACATTTGCATAGTATAGACCACTCGTCAAAGCATTTCCCAAATCTGCCGTCACTGTATCTGCTCTTTCTGTAACTCGAACAACCTCTCCCATACCTCGACGCTGAAGATATTGCTGACGCTTTTGTAATTGTGCTGCTTCATTGGCATGATTTTTTGCGATTCCCATATGAACTGTATTTGCATTTGCGAAACCCAAAAGCGAAGAGCTCAAGAGCAAAGTTGAGATTATTGTAGATCGGGCCATTGTTGCGGTATTTTAAAATGAAAGCAATAGGAGGGCGGAAGGGGAGGAAGAGGAGGAAGGTGAGGAGGAGGAGGAGGGAGCGGCTGAGGAGAGGAAGAAGGAGGATTTATTAAAGGTAAAGTCGTGACTAGAAAAAGGAAATGAAAGAGAGAGAATCGAAGCTTGGAAAATGAGTGAATCGTATCTCTTGCTTTCGGCGAGTGACTAATGGCGAAGGTGGAGTGTGATAGTATCGTGAATGTACAGTAGTTTCCTTATCCTCCAATTGTTGCTTTATCACTATTGGATCATTGAGAAAAACTAGGTTTAGAGGGTTGCCCTATCCTTCCTTAGCTGCCGAAGTAGCTCTTTTGCTCCGTATGTATATAGTCGAGTCGCTTTGTTCCTTAAACCAAGGCTATTTCGATGGGTCGTTGTATTTGTGCTAATTGGATGGAAAGGAAAGAAAGCTGGATCTTGGGAGATCAGTGTGGTACCCAGTTATTTTCTTGTATATTTAATCTGAAAGCGCGGGTTAAAATTTCAATGGTTAGAAATCTAGATTTCGAGGAAGGATCCGTGCTGTTTAATCGAAATGTGCCATGAACATAAACTCTCATCCTTCTCACTGGTTGCACAATGTATAGCCTCTCTATGTATCGTGTATTATACCATGGGCGCAGAGAGTTTTTGAATATATGTACGGATTTTAGTCAAAAATTAAATATAAATGAACAGACAGGTTTAATCGAGATGAAATCAAGTCGGGGCAAGCGAGCTTTCTCTTCTTTTATTTCATCTGCTCACAACTGTCCACTCAGTCTTAGATATACTAGGTATTTGTAGGGGAACTTCTCAAACTTTCACTCCTTTATTCTCTCCCTCCCCAGCCATCATGAATGATGCAGCGTTCCAGATTCTAATAAGATGCTTTATAAAATGGGAACCAAAGAAAGGTGTCCATATGGCCAAGATTGAGGCTTGTTAAGTCGCTTTCCTGCTTAAAGGAAAATGTAGAGCTTATAACATCCAATCAAATGTGATCTCTACTTCTTGAATCTGACATTCTTTTCGTCCCAATACAGCCAGCTGAACGCGAATTTGACTCTGAATAAAGGTACATTCCGCCACCAGTCACGGTCGTACGCGCAATCATGCAGTCAGCCCATATTGTACCAAGTAATAATAAAGCTGTTGCACTTATCGCAGCAGTTTGACGAGGTGAATTTCGTTCATTCATCCCATACGTTCAAAGTAACAACAAATCCTCAATAGCTCTGAGCTCTCACATTGTCATTTTGCCCCTCCTATATCGCGGATCTATCGGCAAACCGTGCATTATCTTTTCGACAAGACCTTGGAGAAAATATTCCTGCGGGAGGAAATGCTTGGCGAAAGCTTGTATTGTACAACGCGGCGGTAACAAGATCCTTCTGAATTCATCGCATGCATCGCTCCGGGAAGAAAGGTAATATGAGATAATATGGTTATCCGATCCAGTTAGGGGAAGGGGAGAAGGATGAATGAACGAATCTCTGACGGTACATGTTTTGGTTGTTGGTCGCCGGGTTGAGCTGGAGGCTTTGGTGTTTTGTCCTTGTTTTTGACGGGGAATGGTACTCGTAGGGGTTTGTTGGAACATTCGGAGTAAGCAAAAGTTGCCGGGGGGCTATGCAGCGTTGTTATTTTGCGAGCCTGATGATTCATCTGTTCCCTTTGTTCTTTGCTAAAGTCCGGGGATTTGTCAATGAGGTAAATCTTCGGGATAAGTTTAAAAATGTGCTACTGTCCCAATGGCCTACGAGTGGTGGCTGTGTTTAATCTAATTCCTCTGAGTTGTAATATTGCTGCCGTGCACAAAATGCTATTGGTTCCAATTGTTTCCAATGATGCATGGCTAGACAGGAACTCAGCCCTGATGTCATTTTCTTCGAGGTGGAGAGATCGGGCAATGGATAGGAAGTCCATCTCTTCATTATGTTTGATATCACATAGTGATGTTATAGCGGAATCATGAACAAGTAAGTTTGAACAGGAAATATGCAGGCACCGACACAAAAACGAGTGCTGCAACTGGATAAATGTTTGATGAAGATTGATACCCCTTACACCAAAGAGTTGATGCTAACTAGATGTTCTTGAGAACCCATCGAAGATGTATGTTGAAATTCGAGGTCTACGAGGTAGAAGAGAGAATATCATATATATCAATGTACGCATCCCTTTGATTCAGCAGTAGAACTAACCTTTCAGTGTAAATACATGACTCCGCTACCATTCGTGATATGGGTATAAGATAACCTCATATGGCACTTAAACGAGGAACTTTCTTCGGATTTCGATGAGGTCTATAGACTCAGACTCTACTTGGTGGAATCGTTTTGAACCCTTTCCAGGAGAAAGAACGAAGTTTGGCTGTTCGAGCTTCCACATACTCAACACACTCGATATATTCAATATATTCAAAATATTTGAAATATTGATATATTGGAAGTTTACCACATGAACATACAATATAAATATTGTCTAATAGACATCAAAAGCAGATTTAGGGAGTTCGACGGTTTTTCTTCTCGAATTCCAGCCAATGAGGAATATCAAATCATAGAAAATTGAATGTGGAAGTCATGAAGCCTATAAATAAGCATATCAACAAGAATCATACAACTATAGAAGCCAGACGAACGAGGGGGGGGAAATCAGAAATTATATTGGGAAGTTCTTTATGTATGGAGTGTTTTAGAAACCTTGTATTTTAGGCCAGAATAATTCCAATGAGTTCTCAAGCACAAGCACGAACAACTTTCAAGCTTCCCACCTCTCAAGGACAAAAGAGGCCATGGACAAGAGAAAATGTCAATTCGCCCTCCTGTCAAATCATGGTCTTCGACTTTAAGACTACCTAAATCTTCTTTTCCGTAAGCAAATCTTTGGTTTGGTTTGTCAATTGTTGATAATTTTTCGAACCATCAATTGACTCCAACATCACCAGTCCTCGGCCAATCCCCGCAGAGCAACCAAAATACCTTCAACGATGCTCCGACGATCTCTACAAATGGCAAAGCCATGAAAGATCTGCCAAGAAGCCATTCATTCTTCATGATGGTCCTCCATACGCCAATGGTCCTCTTCATGTTGGCCATGCTGTGAATAAACTTCTAAAAGATATCATTTGTCGAACCAAGCTCCAACAAGGCCATCGAGTTGTGTGGGTTCCAGGATGGGATTGTCATGGCCTTCCCATTGAAATCAAGGCTCTTGAGCAACAGCGCGAGAAGAAAGATGGTGAGGGGATTTTAGATGCCATTGGAATACGACGAGCGGCTCGGAACCTTGCAAGCAAAACCGTAAAGGAACATATGAAAGGCTTCCGAGAATGGGGTATTATGGCAGATTGGGAGAAGGCTTGGAAGACAATGGACAAGACATTTGAAACTAAGCAACTAGCAGTTTTCCAAGAAATGGTCAAGAAAGGTCTTATTTTTCGACGTTACAAACCGGTCTATTGGTCACCATCATCGAGAACAGCTCTTGCGGAAGCAGAGCTTGAGTACAATAACGAACATATTTCTACATCAGCCTATATCAAATTCCCTATCACAGATATCCCTGGCGAAGTAAGAGACTTTGTCCCCAATCTGAGTAAACTTTCGGCATTGATTTGGACTACTACCCCTTGGACACTTCCCGCGAATAGAGCCATTGCGTTTCATCAAGACCTGACTTATTCGATTGTCAAATGTGATGATGATCACCTTATCATTGCGAGCTCAAGGCTCTCTGCACTACAGGATTCATGCTTCAAAGACAAAGTCATCGAGGTTGTTCGGCAAGATATCCCTGGTTCTGTCCTCAGAAACCTGACTTATACCAATCAGCTTCGTGGCCAAAACTCTGATGACCAACCTTTGATTCATGCAGATTTTGTTTCTTCTGAATCCGGTACTGGACTGGTTCATTGCGCTCCTGGTCATGGTATGGATGATTATGAGGTCTGCACTCGTCTTGGTATAGAGGCTATTGCCCCCGTTGATGATCTAGGATGCTTTACAGATGCTGCTCTTCCTGACGATCCAAGTGCTCTGTCAGGTAAGTCCGTGCTAAATGATGGGAACATGGAAGTTTTGAAGATTCTTGGAGATCAAGTTCTGTTCATCTCAAAGTATAAGCACAAATATCCATATGATTGGCGAACAAAACTTCCCGTCATTGTCAGAGCCACAGAACAATGGTTTGCAGATGTTGGAGACGTCAAAAGTGTTGCTTTGGAAAGGCTGAATGATGTGACATTCATCCCGCAAACCGGAAAGCAAAGACTGGAAAGCTTCATCAAGTCAAGGAGCGAGTGGTGTATCTCAAGACAACGAGCTTGGGGTGTTCCCATACCCGCATTATACGACGAAAATGGTACAGCTTTATTAACTGACACAAGTGTTGCACATATTCTCTCTGTTATCGAAGAACGAGGAATCGATGCATGGTGGTCAGATCCGGAGAACGATCCGGCATGGATTCCAGCTGGGATGAGCGGTACATACCGACGAGGCAAAGACACCATGGATGTTTGGTTTGATAGTGGTACGAGTTGGACACAGACCGATCAACGTGCCGATGTCTACTCGGAAGGCACTGACCAACATAGAGGTTGGTTTCAATCAAGTTTGTTGACTCACACCGCTATCGCCGATAGTTCAGAAGCACCTTTCAAGACATTGATTACACACGGATTCACTCTCGATCAAAGTGGGAAGAAAATGTCTAAATCAATTGGAAACACAATAGCTCCAAGTCAAATCATGGACGGCTCCCTTCTTCCGCCTGTGAAGATGAAGAAGAAGGGTGGAAATGTTTCTCAGGGATTTGGCGCTGATGCATTACGCTTATGGGTAGCTAGCAGCGACTATACCAAGGATATAGTCATTGGCCAACCAGTTCTTGCATCTGTAAATTCTGCATTATCAAAGTATCGCATCACTTTCAAGATGTTACTGGGATCAATGCATGAAAGTGCGAGGACTTCACCAGTGACTAAGTTAGATAAGATTGCATTGGTTCAATTGAGAGCAGTCATGTCTGAAGTCGAATCGGCTTATAACTCGTACGAATTCCACCGGGCTGTAAGTGCAATTAATCGCTGGATCCACACAGATCTCTCCGCATTTTACCTCGAGGCTAGTAAAGATAGGCTTTACTGTGGTGATGGAGGGGGTGTCTTGGAAGAGATATTCCATGGTCTTCTGAAAATGTTAACTCCAATCACGCCGTGTCTTGTCGAAGAGGTCTGGAACCATTTACCTGCTTGGATGGCCGCTGAAAGCCCAGTTCATCCATTTCATCGAGAATTTCTTGATACTATCATTTCTCCCCGTCGACTTTCTGAGGAAGAGATTCCATCTATTGAGCAAGACATTCCTTGGTTATTAGAAGCACATACTGCCATTAAACTTGCCCAGGAAGAAGCTCGCTCTCAAAAAATCATAGGGTCGTCTCTAGAATCATCTGTATTAATAGATCTGCCTTCAAAAAACCTGAAGGTATTCGAGCGCTATGCAGATGAGCTGGAGAGTATATTTGTTGTATCATCCGTGGAAATTGGCGGTGATGTCAACAGAGGAGACTGGAGGTTTTCTGCACCGTTGTCTCCACCTGGATGGCATGAACCGGGTGGGGAGGGAAAGGTGTGGGTTTTGCCTCCTAAGGACAAGAAATGCCCAAGGTGCTGGAGATATGTGGCTCCAGTGAAAGATGAGCTTTGTGGGAGATGTGAAACTGTTACTGCTATGTAAGGCTTGTTATGTATTAGTACGTCGATAAATTAAAGATACCCACTCCTTTACTACGAATCGCGTTTCATTCATGCAAAACTATCCAAACATTGTCCCTTGAGAGAAGCAGACAACCAATCAAAACGAAATCATTGCAATTTTCTAATGTGTTTGCTTCATTCTCCTTCAACCATATATATGCTCGCAGTATCAACATTTTACGAGCAAATATTGATATCGCTAACGCGAATCTTAACTCTCCATGGATTCAGATTTCCGGCTAGCCTGGCCAGACAGTGTTGGAGTCGAATCCAACTGGCGCCTAGCGCTAATCCTTCGCCAAAGGGTCATTCGGTTTCGCATGGTGCACCGAGCTAATGAACTGGCCTAGGTTTACATAGCCTCGGTCTTTGGTCTTGGGTCTTTGAATTATCAATTTAATTGTCTCGGCCATTAACCTATTGTTTAGAGACATTTTTACCAATAAAATGTGTCCTATAGGGCTAACTTTCAACCTCAAACCTTAACATGAAGACTTTCCTTGGTTTTGGAATCAAAAGTCGGTCTTGTTGACTTTGGTCTTCAGATCTTAAAAAATGACCATTTTGCCTGAGATATTCAAGGCCACGTCTGGTTTGATCTCGTCTTGACAGGGGATTGACTGGCGTGAATACGGACTGAATACGGAGTGGCCGAGCTACGAGAGTTCTAACATTTCTGTTCGTCCGAATATAGATTTATGGATGGATATATTAATGGGAGAAGAGGTTGCACATGGTAGGTATATCTCTACTGCAACTTTTCAAACAACATTCCTTGATCTTTGTACTTTTACGTAACATGGCACGAGATAGTGAGTTCGCTTCCAGCGTAAATGATCGTGGACGTGGAAGAGATGAAGACAGGGGTCGTCGTCGCGAAGATTACGAGCCTTCTTATGTCGGAACAGAAAGACAGTCAGAATACCCAAGGCAGTCAAGACAGTCAGAATATTCTACACAAGCTCCACCGTCTTCGTCAGCGAGTACCAGACGAACATCTTCTCGAAAACCACCACTTTCTACAACAAGCACCAGACGAACCACCTCCCGAAAGCCACCCGCTTCTCGACATGGCGAATCTGTAGCAGGAGGCTTTGTAGATGTATCCAAACCTCCGTCGGAAGTGAGTACTGTTGCAAAGATTGATGGTGGGATGCACAAAAGCGTTAGTGTGGTTGGTAAGGAAATAGAAAGAGCGGACAGGCTCAAAGGCAGGAGAGATGATACCGACGCTCGAGAACAAGCGGTGAGAGACGATCGTGAATGGTTGGCAAAAAACCAAGGTGTTCTTTCCGATGAGCTAAGAAATAAGAGAATCCATGACTTTAGCCAGAGCACATTAGATCGTACTGGGTTCGGTCGTCAACAGTCGTCTCAAGCTCCAACTAGTGTAACAGGAGCCTCCAGTGCATCCCGGGGTACAGAAGGAGGCAGGTCCGGGCGAGCCAGAGGAGAAAGCACGGCGTCGAAAAGTAGAAAGCCCTATCAGGAACCAGAGCCCGTTGTTATGACCGCATCGATTCAACATAGATCTAGAAGGCTGACGATGGAACACACTAGTAGGGGAGACACTACTGTAACACTTGAACAAAGGCACCATTCAACTCAAATCTATTCATCTAGTCATGGTAGGAAAGATGAGAGAGGTTCTTCGAGTTCTCAGCCAATCCGCCCTCGGACTATCAAAGATTCTGTTTCGGGTGTATCACTGAGCAGGAATCAACCAACGTCCATTACGGGTCATTCTACACGCACTCCCTCAGTCTCTCAAGGGAGTATTAGTGGTGAACCAGCCGCGAGAAATCGCGCGCTTGAGTTCCGGCCGAAAGACTCACGATATGATGATAGCAAGTCATCAGCATCTGCTAGTACCGTCAGACCTGGCACGGTTATCAGAGACAGCTTACCCAGCAATTTCCCTGAATTTTCGAATTCCAAATCGGGTGCTAAAACCATCTATTCGAGTTCAAATGCTTCCCTTTCGAGGAAACCTGCAGCCTCACTCGCTGGCACTGATTTAAGATCACAGTATTCGGCAAGACCCGAGAGTTCGCGCAATGGCAGTGTTTTGAATCCAGAATCAGCGCCGGGTTCCGTTCGTCATTCACGACCACCGACAGCTTATCGTGACTACCCAAGTAGTGCTACTAGGTCTGTTTCCCAAGCTGGTAGCCGGAAGTCTCGGGATCCCCACGATGATCGTTATGATAGAGATCGTTAGAATACTGTTTCTGCATATCTAATATCACAAAGTAGGCGTATGTAGTGTCCAAACTTGAGCATTTTGATCTCATCTGGTAAGTACTTTTTATTGTTTTTCTTTAGACATCTTCCAGGTGTATGATTTGAAATGCAGTCGGTACTTTACATTACCTAAGCGGATATGGAGTCCGGAGTTTAGTTGTTAGCGTTTGGTAGTAAATCGAGTTATTGCTATTTTGCCTTTTGGTTATCGTTCCATGTTTTAAGTATCGATTTATTTGCAATTCCAGACTTTATTTGCCTGAAACTAGGAGTACATCAGTGTGAATACTGTAATAGTTCAGTTGAGGGGTCTCAGGGTGCCGTCTGTCGATTACCAATCTCGGAATCTATTAGGCAAATTTTCATGTGGTCTGGGTCTATATTTGAGTAATCTGATAAATGCGTTTAGAATTAATATGATTGGTCAGAATTTGGGGTGTGAGGAGACGAAGCCCCTCTCAAACAATGCTGAGAGGAGGGGAGTGTGTTTCAAGGGTTGTGGGTAGTACTCACGTGTCATATAGTGTTTTCCGAAAGAATGGTAGTGAAGAGTGGGAATCTGAAGAGCCTCACAGCATCGCCAGCGGAGCATGCAGGGTCGCATCATACGTAGCCATGCGGCTCCAAAGTGCACAAATTTTCTTATATATTCCATCCTGCATAAACTAAACACCGTAACTTCTAATGAATAAATCATAACACGCAATGCGATTAATCAACGCCGAAACTCTCGAATTCAAAGAATTCCAAGGCGAAGATATCCCAGAGTATGCAATTCTATCGCACACATGGGATGGCCAGGAAGTCACGTTTCGCGACTGGGAATTTGATAGGAAAGGTGCAAAAAAGAAAAACGGATATACTAAGATTGTGGAGACGTGTCGACTGGCGCTGGAGGAAGGATTGGACTACGCGTGGGTTGATACGTGTTGTATTGATAAGAGTAGTAGTGCGGAGTTGTCGGAGGCTATTAATTCTATGTTTGAGTGGTATGCGAGAGCGAAGGTTTGTTTTGCGTTTCTTTCGGATGTGATGGTGAAGGGGAAGAGAGTGGGTGGTCAAATGGACAGGAAGTTGAGAAAAAGCATTTCTAAGAGTAGATGGTTTACGAGGGGTTGGACGTTACAGGAGTTACTGGCTCCTAGTGCCGTTGTGTTCTACTCAAACGATTGGATTAGACTGGGATATAAATCGTCGACTCTTACCGCGCTGATCAGTGATATAACTGGTATCGATACTTCGTACCTCTTGGGTCGTAGTATTATTGACGCAAGCGTTTCTCTAAGGATGTTTTGGTTATCACAACGAAAGACGACTAGGGTGGAGGATATGGCATATTGTATGCTCGGAATGTTTGGTATCAATATGCCCTTGCTATATGGAGAGGGCGCGAAAGCGTTCGTACGGCTTCAAGAGGAGATCATCAAGGTATCTGTTGACCACACGATATTTTGCTGGTCCTGGACCAATACCGTCTCACCCGCTTGGACAAGTCTCATCGCGCCATCACCAGACACATTCAAGTATTCAAAAGATTTCCGCAGAGCAAGCGCGGACGAGCAAGCTTCTCCTTATTCAATGACCAACGTGGGGCTCTCCATCCGTCTACCGATTATCCAAGCATGGTCTTACAATTTCATCGTTTTGATGGTTCGTCATCGTAGTTCGAATTCCCAGTACCACCAATGGCGGGTCTGTATCCCCATACAAAGTCTTCTCCGACCATCCACTTCCGATTTCATCAGCACCTACATGAGAATACCATACCCGCCTGATCCAATATTTATGCCAATGTATTGGGCCTCGGCAGAAATAAACATGTTTGTCGTATCGAGAATGATCTCTATGATTCGCGACGAACCTTTGCTTCCATACGAATCTGAACCTCGCAGTCTACTAATCACGATAGGAGAAGGTCTTCCCAGTCCAACCCCCCTCACCAGAGCTCATATCAATGAAGATGGGGAAGAATTTGATGTTAGACTCGCGAAAACCATTCCTATTTTTCATGCGGAAACATTTCCGCAAGGTTTATTTGATGAGACTAGAAGTGTATTTAGACTCACTCATCGGGTTGAAAATGGCTGGAATGGGTTATTAGCGTTAGGTAACAGGGGCTTTGGATGTGTGATTTTTATCAGTTGCAAGATTGATGCGGCGAAGAAAACAAGATGGTTTTGTCATATTCTTCCTTTGGTTCTCTGGAGAGAAGATGAAGCGGAGAGACGGGAACTGTTAAAATTCTTGGAAAGTCAGGTCACAAGTATAGGACAAAATGAAATAAGAGCGGCGATTTGCCCGGAGGTCGGGGGATACTTTGGTATTGATGAGGACGAGGACGACACCTCCGGGGATGATATAGATAGGCAGAATGAAAGCAAGGTTGTGGCTGCGAGGTTGGAAATTGGATTAAAAAGGAAGCGAATTATGGAGCTTTCGAAAGACATTCGAAAACAATTATGTGCTTGATTGTTTAAGAATCCTTGAGGTATTAGGTCAAGTCCTTGACATCTATGGATATGAAGCTTCTTTGACATGCTCAACAGCTAACGTCAGGAATCTCGAGAAATTGATTCAGGTATGACAATCTCTTCTCATTAATAAAGCTTTATCTATACAGATACTAAATCAAATACCCTACTTTTTGATCACCCCCTCTTTGGACCACTTTCTTTATAAAAGATTACAAAAATCAATGTCTAATTTTATTTATTTATGAATAAATTTCCTTGGAATTTCAAAAATATATATTTATTATTTTTATAGTAAAAAATAATGATCTTTGATATGAAAGTATGATTAAAAGGAGAGACGGCCGAAAAGTAAAGTACTGGACTTAATGTTTCATTATTGTTTATTTTATTTTTGTTTAAAACACTATTATTCTTTTCTTTATCATCGTTAAAGTAAAATGATAGTCGATGTTCTATACAAAGGCCTCCATCTACACCATTTTATACGCCACTCATGCTCAATAAATTCGTCTGTGATCGAGGGCATTTTGTAATTCCAGTTCATTTTCTCATTCATCCTCATCCGGTCCATCGTATCCCTTAACAAACTCATATTGACCATCGAAGGACGTTCATTATCACTGATACATCACACCTCACTGATGTCGCTCATTTCACCATCGCTGGTTAGTGGCGCTATCCCGGTGCTTTCATCATCCCTGAGCCAATCCACCTGACCAGCATCCGCTTCTTTCGCTATCAACCACCCCTTAAGTACAAAGTTCCTAAGAAAAGTCAGGACTAAGGTCACAACGAAGGACCTAAGGGATGCAGAACTCAATCCAGCTTCCCAAATAGTCCATTGTGTTACCCTTTCCATTCGCTGCCAGCCTCTTAACACACTGCTCAAACTCCTCGAAATTTATTTTTCCTAGTCCACCCCTCTCCTTGCCCTCCTGCTCCACACCTTCAATTGCCCACAACTTATATAATACCTCGTCACTTGGTCTCTTTTCTTCCTTTGCCAAATCTTGTTTCTTGACCTGCAAGGACCTTGAAATCGACGATTCAAGACTTGACTGACACTCTCCGGTCGGTCTATCCAAAACCACATTATCAGAAACGGAATTGGGTCTGAATTGAGGGAGTGTAGGATCTTTGTGCTCAGACAATTGGGAGCTAGTAGTACTGGTAGCCTCATCACGCTCTTGTTCTTTCTCTTTGAGATGTACATCAATATAGAACGAAAGAGTCGGTGGCAAGAGAGACTGCAAAGCATTGAGAAGTTCACGCTGTTGATCCAGGCTGAGATTTTCTTTATCAACGTAATATCTCCATGCCCTCAACGGATCGTCCATATAATAGGGAGCATGTTGAAATTCAAGTACTGCCATTTCAAGGTCAAATTCGCGGCGTGAGACACCTGATAATACACAGTCAGGAACGGTCGCCAAACTGGGCACGGCATCGGCACCACCGGGCTGCTCCACTTCGTAACCTGTAGCCGCTAGGAGTTCATCTAATTGCCTTTCTCGTACATCCTCAATTTCTACCTCAGGAATATCAGGCCAGACGGGCCGTGGATTAAGATCAATATTAGTGATATTTGTTCTCTCGATGATACCACCACCCATGTTCTCAGGGTTAACTAGTTTCTCTTCTTCGAATTTCTTAGCCCTAGCCCACCTTGTGAAGTCTTCGGTATTGAAAAGATGTCGATATTTATCACGTTCTTCCTTTGTTTCTAAGACCGCCACCGCCAAATCTTCTTTAGCCCGAAACAATGGATCTAGGAGTTCATTATAAGCTTGCTGCGTGACTTGGTACAAAATCTCCTTCCCCACGTCCTTTTCCGCATCGGATATCTCTATGCCACCCCAACGTTCAGGCACGCTTCGCGAAGATGTTGAAGGGTTTGAGCGCGTATCAAAATCATCCATGTCCTCGGCAAATCGTACCTTGGAGGAAGATCGAGAATGAATAGTCGGCCTTTGCTGAAATTGAGACTTGGAGGATTCTCCATCAGCACTATTTGTGGGAAGATCTTCTTCGTCGTTCCAGTCAGCAGGCGGTGATGCTCCTTCTTCTTCATCGGTGTAAAATTGTCTTCGCTTCCATCGCTCATGCAATAAGTATCGCGATTTGTGTCTTTTCAAAGTGTGCTTTATAATGAATGGGCGGGCACTCTCTGGAATGTTTGATAATGTATATTCAGGTCCGCAAACTGCTTGGACGTCTTCGTCGGTGATATTCAAATCACGTCGACGGCGTTCGAAGGATATGGTCGCTGCTTCAGCGGGGGCCAAAAACGGATTTTCAGTGACGTGAGACTCATCGAGTAGAACGGGGTCGTCCGAATCCCACTCCGCATCGCTGGCTTCCAGTTGTTGTCGGGTAATTTGCTCAATATAATCATCAAGGGTATCTTCTTCATTGGGGTAGTCCATCAAAAATCGCCAGTAGCTTTGTGTCCTCTCAACCGGTCGCTTTGCAGTAGTCGAAATCGAACTAAAATTGATAATAGTATCAGCTCGACTTGAAGTGTCATTAGCACTTGGCCTCATCACACCCCTTCCATCATGTATCTCCAGCTCTCCGTCACGGATACGTTTGCCCTCGCCAGCACGCAACTCTACTGATGGATTTGGCCCTGAACCTGCTTGAAACAATTGGCCGAGAGCGTTACGACCACTAAGGTGTGCATGTGCTTCTGAGCTCATCATCTGCTGTTCGTCAAGACCTTCTAACATATCTCTATGCATTTGGCGATATAAAACGTAGTAAGAGCGGAACATCCGTAGGAAATCTTTCCTATCGACGTAGCCATCATCATCTATATCGTAACCTGCAAAAATCACATGCCATTTATCCTTCTGCTTGCGGTATGCCTGACCTCTGAGAAATTCCGAAAATGAGATGAGATCATCTCTGTTACTATCATAGAAGGCAAACATCCTGTCGAATATAAGACTTGGGGCATGATGTCTGTAACCACCACTGGGCACTAAGCACCGGTCAAATGTTCTCCTATCCATGGCTAGGCGTATATCGTCAGGGTCTTCTGGCCAAGGTGTGTTCGCCATGAAATTCCATTGTTCAAAGTATGCTTCCAATTCCGGTCTCTCAAACCCCGTCTCGCGAGAATATTTCGCGATCAATTCCTTGGGCAAGATCTTGACTCGGTCTATGTTATCAGGCTCTCCAGTATACCATACAGGTTGTACTTGCCTTGGACCGAACGATGGTGCTGGTATCCTAACTTTGTAGAATATATGCGTCTTGGTATGTATGCCCTGTGCTTCGCATGATTCACAAAGATCAAAGTCTGCACAGTTTGCACATCTGTATCGAATTCCTCGAATAGGAACTACTGAACAACCATTACAGCCACATCCCCTGTGTACATATGCGTTTCGCCTCGTAGCATCTTCGGAAACACGAAACAGAAGTTGAACAATATTTTGCCCGTTTCGTTCATCTTCTGCAGTTGGTGCTCTTCCTGTCTGGCCGGAATCATATCCCGGCCCATCATCCACCACTGTATCTCCATCTGTCAAAGGTCTGGCTACAACATTCGCATCCTCGTCTTCACCTGGTGGAATAGGTCGTAGCTGAGCAGTTATAGACTCGTTGCTTGTTTCTGTGCGTCGCCGTCGATGGACCGCATTGCTTCGACGTAGTCTGCTACCACCAGTATTGTCTCGTGTATCAGTGACTTGTGTGCTATAAAGATAGTATATTCCATATGCAGCGGCACAAGTTGTGATGGCCAATACCGCTCCCCTACTCCTCGACAGTGTATTCGAGGCTGTAGTGTGTGAGGCTGACATTGCTGCAGAGTTGTTGTATTAGACTTTGGATCGTCAAACTACTGCTGAATGTCTAGGTTGAAGCAACCAGAATCGCAAGAATACATGGTGGCATCTGCGATGCTAAATTTAAAAGTTTCCCTGGCGTTGTGCTATGATGGTTGTAATAAGTTCAACAAACAGAACTGTTTTTGCTTGATGAATTCTAGACGCGACAGAAGCGGATTCGCCTTGTGTCGTGGAGCTTGTCAAGACTATGAATTTATTCAGCCTTCTTCCTTATCGCTCCCGCTTATCATCACGTGACAATCATTTCCTATCCTATTCACGCAGCCATGTGTCTCGGGCAACAACATAAGGTAATATTGTACGGTGGCTCAGGTCTACAAGTAAGCTACGAATTGAAAAACACTAGCTACACGCTTCATCTGCACAAAAGTCACAAGTCATTATGACAGGAAAGTAGCTAACATATAGAAGTATTTTATAATCATTGCATCAATATATTGAAAGGTTGGATATCCTACACTCCATAACACCAATAGTTGACCCGTTATCCCAAATCTTTTTAATCCTATCCTGTGACTCCCTTAACGACACCAATAAAATGCTAAAAACATGCATCTAGCACAAGCCCTTGATAATTCTCAGCCATTCCCCCCTTATCCGGCTGTCCTTGGACTCCGCCTTCTCCCTGTACTCTGCGCAAATACCTCAGACCCCGGTATCGTATTTTCCCTTCCCTCTAGAGCAATCACACTTGATTTTTTCGACAATCTTCGCTTCGGTATCTTACCAGTTGCTTGCTTCTTGAAAGGAGGGGTTGACCCATCTGAATCAAGGGATTTGACCGAGCCGTTTGACATTAAGCTTGAGCTTAGACTTTGAATCTCTGAGTTCAGTGACCCGGCGTTTATGTTCGCGTCGATCTCCCTAAGTCCAGTTGGCTTGTTTTCTGGTTCTGCGATGGGAACAAAAGCTACCTCATCATCTACAGTAGTAGGCGAAGAGTCATTGTAAACCACTGGGATAACAACTTTGCTTGGTGATGCAATGACTTCTGGCCGACGAAGAGCTGCTAAGAGTGTTTCATGCGCTTCAGTCCGTGGTAAATACGTTGGATAATGATACTGAACCTTCTGAGGAGTCTCTCCTGTTGGCTCGTACTCCTGTATCGCCGAGCTATCAATTAAAACGCGAAGATTTGCAAGTGGTTGTCGAAGGTTGTCATCTAATGGAGTAAGGTTCTCGGCTAAGGCTGTTGTCTTTGAGGTCATCTCATCCCCGAGATCTTTAACACGTTCATACGTTGATGCGAAATGGGTACCAATGTTGTCATACGAAGATTTGACCTTAGTCGATAGACCTTGGAGGGATTGTGCATGGAGATTGTGATGTTCCGCATTTTGCGCTCGTGCACGAGTGACAAAGTCATCCAGTGCTTGCATTTGAGTGCTGATATCCTTCATTTGTTCATCGACAATACGAACGGTCTCATCATGTACAGACCGGGTTGTAGCTTGAAGAGATGTGTTGTGCTTATTCGCAGCCATCCAGTCATCCTTCAACTTGACCTTCAAGGTTTCTCGAGATCTCAAGACTTCCTCAACGAGTTTCTCTTCCTTTTCATTCCATGCATCCATACCTTGACTATACTGGGCCTGAGTTGATGCGAATGTCTCGTTCGACGATTGAATATCCGTTCGAATGGCTTCGATTTTGTCACCAAGACGTGCATCCTGAGCTTCACCTTGAGCCATTATCAAACTCGAGATCTGCGAAAAAAGGTTTTGACGATCCTCGGCGGCTTGCTTCCGTTCTTCTTGAAGTACTCCATCAAGTTTCGAGTTGATGGCCGTATTTGATTGCATTGCGGCTTCACTGGCGGTATGAAGTTGCTGTCTCAATTCATTTGCCTCTGCCTTCTGTGCATTGACGTGTTTGAGGAGGTCTTCAAATATCGACTTAAAATCTCGACCGAGAGAGCTATATGATCCATGAAGTTGAGTGTGAAATGCACCCAGCTCGCTAATAACTTCTGCAGAAATTCTTTCTGCTGCAACCGAAAGTCCTTGGAGACCTTCTCCAACTCGGATCTTGACATCTTCCCGAAGAGTTTTGATCTCTTCAAGAACTACGTTCATCTCTTCCTTGACCGAGTCGGTCTGCTCAGACACTTCCTTCCCGGAGTTTTCAAAAGCAACAACATTCTCTTCTAAGAATGCTTGTGTTGCCGCTAATTTTTCCAGTTCGCCGTCGACGAATGACTGCATTCGGCTTGAGACTGCAGCCATGAGTTCCTGTTGCTGAGCTCGGAACTCTTCGACCCGTGATTCCACGAGATTCGTTACCTCAGAGACATGAGCCTTCGACAGTCCCCAAGCATTTCGATTCAGGTCCTGGAGCGCCGACTTTCGCCTGTTTTTATCATGAAGACCGCCCACATCGTTTACTGTGCGTCCCAATGTGGAAAGAAGCTCACTACCGACAACACTGAGTTGTTCTTCAGTGTGCTGGTGAGCTTTTCGAAGCACAGATTCTTCCTCCAAACTTCGGCGAGTGTTTTCAAGCACAGATTCGGTTTGCTCTAGAACTCCTTTTGTTTCGTCTAAGACGGATTCTGCGGCCTCAGCCTTTTTCTTCATGGTCATGAAGTTCGAAGTCAAGGAGTACAATTCCTGGACTTTGTTTCGAAGATTCGTTTCCATAGTTTCGATTTTCGCTGCTTGTTCTTCGCTGAGTATCCTCCGTGACTCACTTTCGACTGTGATCTCCTCATAATTCTCATTGGTCAAATAGACTCCATTTCGTTGCCTGGCCGCAATGAGTTCACCCTTGAGCTTTTCAATTTCATATGTGAAATCTTTGAGAAGTGTTTTTTTGTTCACCATTTGGTTGACTTGAGGTTTGTTGCGAATGTTCTTGGCTCGAAAAGCATAATCTAAAGTCGAGATTGTCTCTTCCAAGTTGCTCTTAGCAGGGGAGACCGTAGCAATGATGCATGTTTTCGTCCGACCACCCAATGAATCTTGAAGAAGACGTGTGAGTTTCGATTCCCGGTAGGGAATATGGACATCTCGTGAGCTTCGATCTACCAGAGCGTTGATGACACGGCCAAGAGTCAATAAACTCTTATTGATCAAGCCAGCTTCAGCAGCTCTCTTGTTCTCGGCACCACTACGTTGAATATTTTCACTTCCTGCCAAATCGACCAAGTTCAGCTTGCCGGCGCTAACATAATCCTCCCCATTTTCTGCTGTTCTCTTGATGTAGGCCGTTACTGTAAAGACTGTATGACTCCTACTACTAAGGTCGTTGCATTTGGTCGATGCAACCTGTCTTTTGAAAGATCCATCCTGCAGGATCTTGACACCATCCCTAGCGGATTTGATATGTGATTCCTCCATGCCCTGGACAATTGTACTAGAACTTCCCTTTTTGCTGGTATCGTCGTAGATCTTCAACTTTATGTTATCATCGACCGATATCAAATCGCGCAGTTCTTCGTTATAGAGTTCGATGAATGAACATTTCACAGAGGATTCCGCATCGTCTAATTCGAGTTTGTTGAACAAAGCATGAAGAGCGCGAGGTATAATTCCAGCATTATCTGAAAGGATTCCGAGATGATCACTCATATCTCCGGACATTGTATATGTTTTTCCAGTACCTGTTTGACCATATGCGAATATCGTACAATTATATCCCGCGAGCATCTAAAATTGTCAGCAAAGCCATATAAATAATAGGATTGAACTTTACCTCATCAAGAATTGGAGTTACGACATCATCAAAAATCATTGCTTGGTCTGCAGCAGATGAAAATACTTTGTCGAAATGGTAACTCTTGTTGCTGAGCGCGCTGGGCCCCATAGACAAATCAAGATTCTTGCCCTTTACTCCCTCCGTTGAGAGAACAACTCCACTGTTTTCTCTGACTTCGCGCTCATTTCGACCTCTACAACGTACCACGACGTTGATATTTGTCTCCCCACCTCCGTCATGTTCAAAATCTCTTTCCTTCCTCTTCGTTCCTGTGGTAGATGTCGCAACTGATATGACTGATCCTGTTGGGGATACTGCGCCAGACCTCGACGATGGTGGTGGCATTGCTGAGCTTGCTCTTGAAGTGGAAGGTCTTGGTCCTGCTAAAGAGCTTGAAGGTCTTGGTGGAGGTCGCATACTGTTTATCCTTTTATTGACAGCCGGCGCTGCTCGAGGTATTCCTGCCATTCTTTGGATGATTGCGTTTATGGAACAAAATGTATTATACCCCGCGAGGGAAAGAACTTCTGTAGGGTGCTATTTTGATGTTTTATTTATTTGTTTGGATACACAGAATCAATTGATCGAGTTATAGATAACCGCGAACAACAATTTACGTGTAATAGCAGCAAGCATATAGATGGCTTAATGCTGATCGTAGAATTTCGAATATGAAACTATTTTACCTATACAGACCTCGGGATATAATGTCGTCGTATTTGTTTTTGCCGTAAATGAATGTTGGTGTTCTTTTCTTTAATCAACATTTCATTTCTCCCACCACATCTGTTGTCCAGGAAACCAAAACTAATCCCACTCTCTAACCTTACTCCATTCAAGCTTTGCATCACGAGCTTTCAAGGCCCGAGCCCCACTAACATGGCATCACTCTGGGACCGTCTTACTCCTCATTCGCAATTATTCAAGCAATATCCAAATAACTCCAATACACCTGCACCAGTACCATCACCATTATTTGTTGGTAGTTCAAATACAAATGTAGCAGATATGTCCCTATTCAGTGCTCAAGTCCATCCTGGACGAGCTCTGGGCTTTCTAGGTATACTAATAAATGCAATATATCCCTTCTAAACATCGGAGACTGACAGTATATCCTCAGTCCTAGGAGCTTCGCTTCACGAAATCATCACACGAATAAAAGCCGAACCACAACGATTTCCTAAACTCGACTTGACCTATGAGCCTACAGCCCCTGTTGATGAACCTGTTATCCTCAGTCTACCCTCTAACGGAATCCGTCTCCGCTTTGATGGACCCCAGCAACGTCTGCGACTTATAGAAGTGTTGGATTTTACGAAGAACAAACTTACATATAATGATCGAGAGGTTTTAAGATCTGGTGGAACTGCTTCGCCAAATAACGCTGGGACTGGACATCTTAATGGACCAACCTTTCGACATATTTATAAAAGTTTAATTGGGCCTACGTTTCCTGGAGAATACATCAAGCCCGAAGCTGGAGATGAGACTGGAATGGGCCTATATGTGTTATCATATCCCGGAGTCGCTTTCTCATTCCCTATTCATAAATCATCTTGGTCACCCGGAAAAGATGTCGTTTCGTTACTCTCATCATCCGCTAGCCAACCTGCTTCTTCTATGGCGATATTCTCGGGAGAATCTTGGCCCGAGGCACGAGATAATTTGTTTACGCAGACACTTGAACCTCTCAAAACATTCACACCATTAACAAAGGGTCGAGAACAGGTTGCAGATGAAATTAGCCTCGTTAGACTTTATGGTGGAGGCAAACTTGAGTTCGTTCGTCGTTTTAGCAACACCCCTTTTTGGATTCTTCTAGGCGAAACAACTCCTCAAGAGCTTGTAGCTGAACTTGGACCACCTGATGCTATATATCGAAAGAACGATCAAAAGATGTCAATCCATAAGGCTCGAACCGCGAGTAGCACTGGTAGGCGTCCAGCTCCAACCGATCTACGAGATGATTCTACCGATACCGACCAATCTTCAGCTCACACTGCGACGGATGATTCTGATGATGATAGTGGTGAAGGAGAAGTAGCAGGAAATGTTACTGGGGAATGCTTCTACAATTATTTTTACCACGGTTTTGATGTCTTGGTCTCTACTCCAACTTCACCGTCACAACTTCCACCATCTAAAGCTCGTTCTCAACAGGAAAACAGTCGGATCATTCCTGTGGATGCAACTGCTCGTCTAGTAGCTACAAAAGTGATATTACATGGTAACGTTCCAGGCTCATATCCCTTCAATCGCCATCGCCGCTGTCGCTGGGAGATCGAATATTTATCCCCAAAACCAAAATCTAAAATAATGGCCATAAACTCCGAAACCCCTTTTGCATCAGTCGAAAGTAGTCTTTATAACGAATGGAAAAGCATTTACACCAACGTAGAAGAAGCAAAGCAAAGGCAACGCGGTATGGTACTGAATCGTGATTGGGGGGATAGTCCAGGTAGTAGTTGTGAACTGCTCGGTGGTTGGGAAGATAGTGTAGGTGAGAAACGAAATGCAGGAAAGGATGACGAGAAGGGCCTGGGTAATACCACGCTGTTTGGATTTCCGGGATTGGTATTTGAAGTATTGAAGAATGGAACTGTTAGTGGTGTTACGGTGTTTTGATTCGAGGGGTAATTGGAGCTTTTAATGGGTGATTGGATATCAATTATTTTGTGCTAGGTCGGGTGTTTTTGGGGTACACATTCTTTAGACTGTGTGCGTAGATAGGTTGGCTATTGGATGGGTGAAGTATAGGCACTAAGGAGTTCACAATATTTGATGATATCAAGACATAGGGCTATAGCATTGACATTCTGAATATTAATTTTATCCTACTGAGAGACTGGAAGGTTGCCTACCTGCTGCTGTGTTCCCTTCTCTGTCATCTCAAATAAAGGCTATCCAATGACAGCAAAAATACTTGAGTCGTATGTATGTATCTATGTATATGTAAAAATCCTTAGCTTAGCACGTCTTTATATCCATAGGGAGGTCTCCAGACGCAAACAATATATATTACTACTATTACTATATGTATTTATATAATCAAAGAAAAAGAACCACTATGTAATTATACATTACGCTTCCCACTCATCACATCACCATCGCCACTCCAACCAACCTCCCCTGCTACAGTAGCTAGTCACCTAGAAGCACTACCCGTAAACGTAATATTCTAGAGGACTCACCACCGGCCTATCCTTCGAACATCGCTATGGAGGACCTTCATCGCATCACTCGCATCAGGTCCTACGCCTAAAGACATCTCAATATCATGCATGGTTGACAATAAAGTGCTAAATCTGAGTTAATGGGACTTGCTCAATTGATACAAAATGATACAAAATAGATTTGCGTTGATTTTTCTACCGATGATAGGAAGAAAACAAGATATAGCCATGTAGAATGATCGATCTCCTTGCTTCGGAGCTAAGACGGGACTTGAGATTTTCAGGTTGCTTTGATGGAATCGCGAGGCTTTAATACCTCGTTTCAAGACGCATCTCTACAACTTAAGACGGCCATCTCGTCCATCTCATCAAACTGCATTTTGAGAACCATCGACTAATTCTCTTCTTTTATGGCCCTGCATAACTCGGACTGTCATGCCTCTGTGATGTTGTAGTAATAAACCGCAATAATCATCATCGGCTTCACAGTTTTTGGAAGCTGCTTTTCCATTTGGTACATTCAGATCAGTCATCGTATATGGTTTGATGATGACTCTCTGAATCGCCACGAATAAGTTGGAACGCTCCGTGAGTAATCACCACCGAGTCAACCAGACCAAACAACCCTCCTCAAGAGAAATGCACCCTCCCCCCCCCCCCACCAATTATCCATCATTGTACAAGCAAGCGAACTTCAGGTAACTTCAAATAACTTGGTGGCACTGCTATCAGTACTCGCATACTCTGACAAAGTGGTATAGCAGGTGTTCTCAGAACATCCACACATATAGATATAGACGACACTTGACTTTGGTCGACAGATTTCCAAAAATCAGTGTGCTTCTATTGCAAACTAAACCTTATCACTTGAAGAAGCTCTACCCGAACGTCCTGTGCGCCACTACAAACAGTGAAGAATTCTCTGTAGTAGTCCAAAGTACACTTGATGCAGACCAGACGATTCCCAAAAGGAAAGCTTCCCATGTCTACAGTCCTAAACTTCCTGGAAAGAGCGCATCAAATTTACAACACTTGGACTTTGAAGAGACGAAATTTGCTTGTAGGAAGACGAACAGGCTTGCAGGGCGAAGCACCGTTCCCCACCGCAAAAGGTAGTGAGTTCTTGTGAATAGAGAGATGCTACTTCTCCAGCTGCAAACACCATCGTGCCTAGGGAATAATTACAGGGAGAATCTCATACCTCACTTCAGGTCTGAGATATATAGACCTAGAGTCATTATCAAAGTCGGAGATCTCTCTCTCTTATGTTCATAGACTTGAAAATTAGTGTAACATCCAACTATTACGGTCACGGCCTTGAAGCATGCAAACAAATGAATGTTCTATATATCTTCACTTAAAATGTTCGTAGCGATGGTAGGGGAATTCCTTAGGGGGAATAGGCTTACGGTTAAGTAATCTTGAGCACCGTTTTATCCTCGGTCGGCTAAACTACAGCGAGGCTGAAGCCTAATTACGAACTTTGAGCCTTACTGAATGAAAGTTCCTCATCAACACAACATTCACAACACAAGAGTGACAAGACAACACACGAATTCATATTTCATGGCCCCAATCCGTAGATATCTACGTATTAGCAAATTCTCGGTGCTTGAATGCCGCATTTATGTTGATAATCCAGTTTTGGCAGAAAGTTGGCTCCTAAATTCAAGAAATCCAATCTTGCCCCGAATCATCGAAAAGGTTCGTCCCCTGGTTTTACCAAAGTTGCGCGAAGAGCAGGAAAGGAGTAAGTCGAAGGGAAAGAAGAAGAGCGTGAAAGATGTTGTCACCGATGGTTAGTGAAACAATTGGGGATGCTTTCTATAGCACAACAGCCATTAACAATTAGTCGCAGAGGACTTCGAGGTATCCATATTCCTGACGGAGACTAGCACGCGGCATTCTATTCTGTTTAAACAAAAACACTTTCGAGACACAAACAAAAAAGCTCTGCAGTCTAATTCTGACAAACTTACCGGCAATGCGAATGATGCGCCAATCGAAGTAGCTGATGGTCCAGCTATTGTGCGAGAGGAAAGTGAAGAATCTATTTCCTTGCAAGACATACCTGAAGCAGCAGATGACTCCGATTTGTTCATCAGTGAAGATGAAGGGCCTCACGGAGCAAAACGATCGAGAGATGCACGAGAATCCACAGACTCCAATTTCAGTCCTCTATCCAAACGTCGAAAAGATGGAGGTACATCTGGGGATGAGGATGACAAGAAGAAAATGGCAATGGACACATCGTACGATGGTTTCTCAGTGAATGGTCGAGTGCTATGCCTGGTAGTCAAGAGGAAGGATAAGAAGGGCAAAGCTTCCCCCGCGAATGGAGGTCAAGCAATGTTGGAGGATTGGATCACGTCTACGCAGATACCCCCACAGCTAGAAGATGTTTAACTTCAAGAGTCCGAAAGTATATTTGATTGTATGGATATACATTTTTTAATAGCTTCAGGCATCTACCCTTAAGAATTGGGTTTGCAAGCCACATCAGAGGGAGCTACCGAGCTGCTGGTTTGGGACATGTCACAAACCCCATACTGCTTTAGCGAAACCTACACAACAACAACAAGAAGCTTTGTTGAGGATGATGGAGTCCATTTAATGGACGTCCCATTAAACTTTTCTTTCCTGAAATAACCTGCCTGATTAGAAGAGCACAGAAACTCTAAATATCCATCTGTCCACTTCGGAGTTGTGGCCTAAATTGGGGAAAAGTTGACGAGAAGTGCCAAGAGAATTCATTATCAAACCCCTGAACTCAAGGTCTCTGCTTCGAATATAAACTCTATTTTATCACTTCGTCAGCATCTGGTATGGTCGCGGCGCATATTTTCACCATGTCATTTGCAAAGCTCGTGGGGTACTAAGTGTGCTTTGCAAGAGAAACTCGTTAGGCTACCATATCCTAACTATCAATGCAGGCTCCCGTCTTCTTCCACAATCGGCTTGAATCCGTGTGGCACCCACACAGTCCAACTTGTACCATATCAAGCTCAAGCTTAAGCTTTTTTTCGGCTAGCCGTCGGCCATGAACTCCTGTGTGCGCAAAGAAGTCTACGTGCAAGGAGTGAATTAGAATACCACAGAGAATCAGCATCGTTCAATATTTCGATCTCGATGGCACAGTTTGCCGGAATATCATAATACTATTTAGCGACAATAATCACTATCCAGCATTTCCAAGAAGGGCCAATCCCAATTTCTTTGCTCAGCCCAATACATGTGCCAAGTTACAGCGTGAATATCGATTGCTAAGCAAGACTTAAACACTAGCCCATGGATACATTGATACCCAAAGTTGTTGACTTACAGGCATCGGACTTTTGCCCTTTAATGTCCTTCGAAATGCCGTGCCAACTCCAAGTCGGCAGCTGCTTGAAGCTTCAAACTTTCTTTTATAGCATCGAGTTTCATAGCATGTGGAATCGTGCTCACTTTGTTCCTGCGTTTACTCCATGTGGTCCAAGCCTTGGTGTCCACTTCCTTCCCGTCCGCCCTTCCGTCTTCCTCTCAGACTACACGTACGTCATTGGAACGTGCGCGGACAGGACAAATAATTTGAATTTACGAGCCGTTATTTTCGATAGGTACGAAAGTATAGTCGGGTTTAAATTGAACTTTTTATTGGTGCCTCAGTAAAGCCACTTATGTGAAAGGACGGGCTTTTTGTACTAGTTTACATATCAACCTTTTCTACAGTAAGATGGCAAAAGTCTTATCTCCCCGAATATTTTGTTGTACTCTCTGGAAGGATCATGGCGTCAAAGTTGAAAATCCTATTAAAGGAATATACTGAAAATCATCGGCCGTGCTACTCCTTAATGGTCGCCTGGAATGACGTTTGCTTTCTAGAGACGGTCTCGGCCGTTGGCTTCCTCCCCGAAGCGTAATTGAGCCTCTGAGGTTAACTTTTAGGCCACGCCAAATGATAGTGAAACGCACCAAGGATTTTTGGAAAAAGTATAAATGGATTTATACTTCCCCAATGTTCATGAACCGAGGTTTTTATATCGGCCGATAATGTAATAGATGCCTGGGCTCTGCTAACTTTTTTCCATGTCCAATGAAAATTACCCCATGAGTTAGCTCTTTCGAACTTGCCACTGGGGATTTTCCGCATCACACACGACCATACCTTCTGTCCAAGGTAATTGGTTCGCATATATTGTACGTGTATCAATGCTCGGACTTTATCAATCTAGATGGTGCCTATTGTTCTTTGAAGCTATACCCATAGCTCGAGTTATTCTTGGATACAGCTGTTCCCAATACATTGCTTGGACTCTCGACTGTGTCACAGACGGCGGGGTTCAAGTGGAGATCCGTACTGTGTATTTATGCTCGGCGAGGTGGAAACGTTTTATTGATATACTAGCACCAAAACATCGGCGATGTGGATTGATGATATCGAGAAGTTCTTTGAATTTAGCGAGATCTTTCTTTAGTGTCAATCTGATTCCTGATGAAATTGTTAGTTTTTATCGTTTATGGCCGTGCGAGCTCGTGCTAGAGTCTTTGTGTCGTTGAATATTCCTTGGTTTTTTGAAACTTTGTCACCGTCATCGTCGTCGCTATTGCTGATTGCTAGACCGTGCCTTCTTCATTTATTCCAAGGGGGAAAAGTATCGATTGCCATTTAATTTTATCTATCTTGCCTCATTAGGCAAAACCACTTCATTCTACTAGGGCTTGAAAAGGCGGAATATAGATTATGTGAATGTGCAGATACATTATGATTAGTTACTATATGCATCTATATTCCTCACTAGAACCCTTGACCGCCTCCAGTAGCTTCATCGATATCTCAGCCTCGCTCACCGAAGTCCTCGGTATCTAATTAAGTAATACGCCCTTGATAAAGTTGTACTCTGTCCTTGAAGTGATTTAGCCTTGGATGTGCTACTCCTTTTAATATTCAATACTTTTGGTATGATAAGACAGGATAGGATAGGTTTGTAGAAGTTTAGACGGACTATTTATTTATCTATTGGCACAGAAAGATTTCTTGGGAAGGGATTGTGAGTATATTTATCAATGAGGGGTTAGGGTATCTTGGTATAATTGGTGTGGAGGGGTTTTGAGGGGTGAGCTTAGGGGGTTGGTGGTGTTGGTGCTGGTGCTGGTGGATAGCTGGATTTTGTTAGTGAGTCATTGTGGTGGGTGGGATGTAATGTTAATTAGGGGTTGGATGAGGTGCGGTGTGATGTGATGATGGTAAATATAAAATAGAATGGATTAGGAGATTAACATTATAAACTTATGTGCTAGGTGATGAAAGAAGAGGATACTGATTACCTGATGAGGAGACTGGAAAAAAGTGGGAATTATATGATGTTTTGGATTGTAATGTTAATGAAATATATTAACGGGTGATGAATATTTAGATCTTCGAGGTGATATATCAGGACATACTTTTAGTACTTCAAGTATTCGATATTAATTAATGTTTTTTTATTATACAAAACGATACGTATACTCAAATCTGGAATTCTATTCCCTTTCTCTCTACCCTTTGAAATTATATCCTATCCTATTTACTTTCTCATTTGTGAAAATTATAGATTTCGATTGTTTTTAGTTTTCTATTGGGTGTGTTTTGTTTATATGTGGTGTTTGTGTATGTAGCTGTATATTCAGGATATAAGGATATGAGAAAGAAGAAACTTTGATATTTTGATATTTTGTTGAGATTTGAATGAGAAGGGGGAAAGGAGAGCGGGATATGAATATGAATATGAATATGAATATGAATATGAGTTATGGTAATGAGCTATGGTAATGTGGTGATGACGAGGTATAGGATGGTGAATCATGGTATTGAGTATAAGTATGAAATGAGTGTATAATTTAACAAGGAAAAGTATATTCTGAAAAGAAGTACTTGTTTCTCACGCAAAGAAGAAACGAGGGGAAGCGAGGGAAGGGGGGAGAGAATCTTTCAATCACCCAAAAGAAGAAGAAAAGAAGAAACAAGGAGTATCCCCTCCTAACTGCTAGACTGATACCACGTGACTTAAATATACATTCTTAAATCCTCACATCGTATGATCATATTCATAAGCTTTACTTACTCAAAGTCTATTGTTATCTATTTTATTTCAGCCTTCTTGTGAATTTTACTTCGGATACACATCCCATATGAATACTACCACTATAAGTTTATTTGCATACTACAGTATAAACAACAGATACGTGAGACATTCTATTACCGAGGAAGAAGTTTCGCATACATACCAGGTGCATTGAAATAAATATAAATAAATACAAAGATAAATATAAAAATAAAAATAAGACGGCGTCACGACAGGCGCTTATTTTATCTTTACTGGGCGGGTAAGATGTAAGACTACTAGATAAGACGGGGTAAAATACTAGGGGAGGTTTTCTTCCTGGCGCTTAGAAGGAACTCGCAATTTTTAGATTTCTGACTGTGGGTTTTGAGAGATGGGGTAGTTGATAATTGATATGTATTTTTTATTTTAATTCAAGAAAAGTAATAAATAAATAAAAAACAAAAAAAAATCCATCGACTCCAATTGACAAGAAACTCCGAAACTCAAAGTCTTTTAGTCTTTTTTTCGGAATATTTGATGATAGGAAAGTCCGAAAGATATGATTAGGAATCCTCAACCTCAGATAGAAACTCGAAAAAGAAAACAAAAACCTTGAAATGACGACTTTTATTTACATACGAAGTTACGAACGAAGTTGCGAACGGAGTATAAACTCCTTTCTGTATGCGAGCCTAAATTAGTAACAATTTACAAATGACTCACTCTTCTTCATGTGAATATTGAGGTTACGTATTTTTCTTCATGTATATGAAGTGTATGAAGTATTCTCCGAAGCAGAAAAATTTTAATTGAAGATCGATTGATTTGTTTGATGAGAAATCAAACATTTCTTTTAAATTCTTTACATCATACATGTAATATAGAATGACAATGACATGACATGTGAGGAACCCGTCGTCCGTGATATCCGTTCGTAAAACTTGGATGCGGGTATGTATGCTAGTTTTTTGATATTGGCAAGACCAAGAAAAAGAGAGAGAGAGGGAAGAATTAGTTGTGATTGGTTTTTTCTTTTCAGAACTACTGAAAATAGAACCGAATTCCGCCAATGTAAAAATATCTCCGTATGCACTTGCGATTTAAATAATCTTATGTGGTTTTCGTTTGAGGACGCCTTGGATATACTCAGTATTGAAAACTTCATTTCCCTGTCTCATAGAAGTCAAAACCAAATCACGAACTCACCGCCTTCGCATCCCTTTTCTAACTCAAGGGATATCCCTTCCCAAGAATCCTCAGCGAGTTTCTAGAAAATTAGTTTTAGAATTTGAGAAACTAAGCGACGTGTCGTTAAGTTTGGAGAAAGGAGAATGGGACAAGCAGTATCCTAGTTTTCCACGTGGAAGAAGTTGACAGATTGTTCCTTCATTCTTCTAGTCGCGGATCCATCGTACCATTTTTCTAATGACTGGAACGTACCTTGCATAGCTAACGTACGGAGTTTGTAATTTCCCAAAGTCTGAGGTGTCTGGCAGCTGACGGTGCGGTGTAGGAGTTTATCGGGAGGAGCGGTGGGTGAGCTTGGCAGAGGGAACTAGGAGGTGAGTTATTTTTTAATCTTTTTTTTAGAACTTTCTAAGCTGTGACTAGTTGTTTGGAAGGATCGATTTTGTTCCTTTAGATGGATTCAAAGTCCGACGGGCCATATCTGAGGCCTACGGGCTACCGCTCACTATCTTACCCGTGTTGCGTTGCGTTGCGTGTTGCCTACGCCTATAACCACAGGCATACGTCTCAACCACATCAGCGATTCGTAAGCCGAATTCCCAGATCTTCAGTGGCAAATTAGGAGTTTCAACGCCATCATTCAAAACCTCAAGCCCCGAAAACGAAAAAGGAAGTTGGAAAGAAAAAGAAAAAAGAACTTGCATATCTGTGAACATTCGGAAACTTCCTGAGAACCCCAGATCCTTGATTACGCCTTTTCCGAGTTTCCCATGATTTTGAATACCGATAATTTTCGGCGTCGATCAAAAGCCGAAAGTTAATCCCTCAGCCCTGAACCCTCGCCTTACTATAAACAAAAATCCGGCGGAGACGAGTTTTTGAGGGTAAAAGTATAGCATGGTTTGGAATCTTGGATGGATGTAACTTGTAAGTTCAAAGTTGTAATAAGTAAGCTTTCATAGAAATCCATACAAAGTAATATTCCTTGATCTCGATATTCCCTGCACACAGTCCCGTCAAAGGAGCAAAAACCTTCTAGAAGAAATTTGGAAGGATTTTTGTTGAGAACTCCACCATGCACCACATATTCTGAAGGCGTCAAGGAAGTTTGAAAAAAAGTAAAAAAATCAAGTATGCAAAACATCAATCAGGGACCTGCGTTCGTATCTATGAACCTCAGAAGTACCGTTTAACTGCACGGAGTAAAAGGCAAAAATGTAATTTATGATAAAATCCATGTGGAGATCATTTCAACATTTGAGTGGCTGAGTACTTTTTCGTTCCTTATGTGCAGCGGGACCACCAGTGAGTGAGTGGACTCTTGTAAGGCGGTCAAGTAGGTGGAAATGAAAATGATGATATAAAATTACATACATGATAACAACATTCTCCAGCTCCACCATGTGAAATTTTACCATTATTCGGCGTTCGCTCATTGAATTGATTGGTCTTATCATTCATCCATGCTTCTCTTCAAGAGTGGATCATATGGATCTCCCTCATCTGCCCCTCAGTAAAAAGGGAGTTATTAGTTCGTTTGCCACCCGTGACTGCACGTATTTTTTTGATACGGTATGTACATGCGAAGAAACTCCTTTATTTCGCTACTGTTACCTCACACCGACCGTTATTGGTAAATGATATCTCGACCAATGATAAGGAAGAAAGGAAAATAAACGAGATCTGAAGTTAATTGAGCTCGTGCGAAACATGAAACGAGTTCGCGGTTGTGTTTGCTTTTTTGTGCCCAATAATTGTGGGTGCTGTTGCTTATGCATGACAGTTTAGAGCATTCGCTTATCACCCTTCATTTCGCACTCACATAATGTATGTAGTACTTACTGTAGTGACACAGCTCATACATTTTCCCGTGCGTTTGAAATTCACCTCATGTCTCCTGGAAATTTCCGGAATGGGGTTTCAGATGAGTTTGACGCGGTACATACTTCACCACGAAGAGGTCACGGTCACGTTTTGGCTTTGACGAATATCGCATCATCTTAAATTACTGTACTGTATGTTGTCTGTTGTGTTCGCTAATGTGCCGACGGGATGATGGTGTGCGAGATTGAGAAATTTGTTACGGAGTACCAGTACACTTACTTGCATGCGGAGGTAAGGTAAGGTATGGATCAGGGAAGAGTGACGTGACTGCAATTGCCCTGATTATGATTGATTTTCCATGTATGCGTGCCAGGGCCATACGCAGGTACAAGACATGATGAGAAAGTGGATCATGACCCTGATTTTCAGATATCTACAATTTTCTAGAATTTTTCAATGGGTTGATCCGCTAATTCATCTGAGAGGAATGGTGATTGGATACATTTTGCGAGGTTGTTTCGTGATTCGCTGTTTTGTAGTCATGGCATGTAGGTTTGAAGTGCTTGATATGTGGGGATGATCAGTACGGAGTGGCCGAAATGGAATGTTTTGTGAAGATTATTTTTCTTGTGAAGATTCTTGATCCTGGATCTTGGAACTTGAATGTTGAAGATAGAATCTTATACAAAGTATGCTTGTGCCTGTGCTTATGCTTCTTCAATTTGTGAAAATAGTGCAAAAGGGGTTCAGGGGTTCAATAGAGCGAACTTCGGGAAGAAGTTCAGATGGCAGATTTGTTGGCGCCGAAGCTTAAGATTTGTTTTGAAGTTTCGGCCACGAGGAGACGGACTTTCCCGATTTTATCTTCGGTTTATACTGAATTCCCATAGCAAGCTTTCATCAAACTTAAAGTTACATGATGAGGACAAGTATCATGCAGAAGCGCCGTGGATAGGCACATGAAGGACAGTGCGTTATCAAAACGTTAAGCTATTGAATCCAAGATCTTGGGATTGGCATATTCCGGTCCAAGCTGAAAGATTGGAAATTCAGACTGGTGGTAACCCGATCGACAACACACCCTCTCCTCTCCATCTCGAATTTTCCATGGGATGCCAACGACGTCAATATGCTAAAGCGTAGCGGCCGAAGTCGAAAAAGCTTGATAGCAAGTGGACATGAAAAGTCCGAGAGCAAGAAAAAAAAAATGTATGCAAGCTTAACGATTTTTGACCTCTTCGTCGACATCACGGAGGTTATTCAATAGTGGACGAACCATTCATGAACTATATTTGGAGGTATTGAAGCTTGGCATGAATAATAATCATGAAATGATATCAAACTCACCGCCTTGAAGAGATCTATTGAAAAAAATATTCTCCTAGGGCCAAATCTAGCGCTGGAACAAGACAGGCCATGTAGTGACGTTTCCTTGGGGAAATGTTGGACATATAGATATCACCATCATTAAACATAGCGGTATAGCGGTGAAGGGATTCCATCCTCTTCCTCATTGGGCGCCAGTGGATAGGGAAATGAAAAAAAAGCTTGTCGACAGCGCTCCGCTGTTGCATCACGATGTACTGATTTTGAAACTCTATTCTCCGCATCGGAACATCTCACGGGAGATTTTCGAAGTTGGAAAGAAAATTCTTCGTATCGACAGGCACAGGTCTGATCATGGAGGTATCATTGCTGAATGATTTTGATACTTGCCCCCCCAAATGGGTAAAGATAAACCCCATTTGAAGACATTCATTACCCGAATATACCGACCCGTTCTATAAAAATGATGCGAACAAGTCGAAATAAAATGAACCCTTGTTGTACTCCAGGGCTCATTTTCGGTTATCGAGAAATTTTGTTGAGATGAAAGGGAGGAGAATGATCTCCTCTTTTCGAAAAAGCCGTCAAAATCGCGAAATTAATGTCCGAGAGCTCAGATAGTGACAGGTGCCATGGGAACGATGCAAGCAAAGAGAAAATCCTCAATTTGCGCGACAAACGCTGGTGGGCACTGAGCATTGAGCATAAAAGAAAAAAAGCGATCCTCATTTTATCTCCGCAAGCTCTGCAAGACTATCCCCATTGAGAACGGGAGTATCCTCATTAAGAAACGGGCAAGACCTCTTTTAGGCAAGCCATCTGGTAGGAATATCGAAAAGGATTAGCAGATATATGATTTCAATAACCTCAAAACTTCATCTCCACTTGCGACCTTGATGCTGGGAGAGGAGTCAAGAGTCAGAGGAGCGCAAGATCGGAGGAGACAACATCCGTTTCTGCCGCTTCGGTACTCGCAGGTAGTTTTGAACTATGGGGTGAGTGTGCAAGGGGATATTCTTTTCAATTTGCGCGACAAACGCAGGGGCTGGGGTTACATTGATTTTTATGTGACTCGCCTCAGCCTTGTGTCAGGGGGTTGTCTACTTTTCTACTTTCTAGCGAGAAAAAATAAGATCGTAAGTTTCTTTTGCCAATCCACTCTCTATTTGTCCAGGTGACTTGCGATCCTAGACTTGGCATTTTAAGTTTATGGGCCCTATGGAGATGGGATATCAATTATGAAATTTTCACATGAAAAAGTTGATTACGAGAAATTAGATGCTAGATACTAGATAGATATCTTGGGTTCGTATTTTTCTTATCAAGAAACGAACTCGAAGGTTGGAGTTGGAATACGTAGCCAGCCAGCAACAGCTTAGACCATTCCCTGATCATAACTATTGAAAATCAAGCCCTATGTCTTTCGTATCCCGAAATGTCGGAGTCCTTGGTTATTGCTCAGCCACTTTTGCATGATGGTTTCCAAACCACAATGAGATGAACTCGGTCACGCATCTCAGTCGTTGCGGGAGTATTCGGAATCATGGGCTGGAGAAACAATTAACATCTAACTCATCGTTCGACCAACATGCTCTCTGCATTCATACTCAGGTACCACAAGCCTCCCGAGAACGGGTGATGAGATTGTGGACGGGAAGGGCAAAAGAAAATCTATCAATTCCACGTTTTGAGCATGGATAAATGTCGGAATACGAAATGTACGCGCAGCAGTATTTAGCCAGATCTACTTGTGCATGCATGCTTAGATATTTCGAGGTAAATAGCCATGATGCATATTTAGAATTTGCTGCGCGGTACTGTTGTTGGAATGAGGTTGGATTGATGCATGCACATAGCTTTTTGATTGAAAATCATGAAAATGTATGGATGGTATTAACTATCAACCAATCATTTCCTAGGGTTTAAGCATTTTGTTTAACAAATGATAAATCTTTGCGGGTATGCATGCATTACTATCTGAATTTAGATATCGTGTACTATATTCATGATCGATCATCGAAGACAGCGGTTCGAGAAAAGGGGGCCAAAACGCAAATTAAGCTAATTGAGATGCGTCGTTCGTGTGTTTGTTTGGGACGCGGACAGCGAACTAAACTACGACCTTGAACCGTTGAAGTTTCCCGTTTCAACCACGTACCTCGATGTTGGTACCTACAGAGGCTCATGATTGATCAAAGTACGAATGACGCTTACAATCAAGAGTTTTAGTTAGTATATAGTATAGTATGGTATAGTACGATATGGTGCAGTGAGATCGGGTAAAGATACGGGAGGAAGTGCGAGGGGAAACAAGGGCTATAGCCAATTTTGCGTCGGCATGCGATCTCACCAGGAACGGAAACACTCCAACACCCCACATTTGATATCATCATGGGCCATGGCATAGCATGGCATGGCTTGACCTACAGACTACCAAAAGAACCAGGTATGAAATTGGTCATTGGCTATTGCGGTTGATATTGAGTGATGAGGGATGAGGGAGGGATGAGTGGTGGGTGATCATATGATGAATTTCGTGACTGATAATCCGTAGCAGCCTTGAAAAGCCTTGGAACTTGCTTGGAAAGATACAAGCTGAGGCGTAGCGTCCTACGTACTAATGGTATCAAGCGTCAGCACGGAAAAAGGTACACGAACTTACAAGGCTGGGTGATTGCTTAGTTTTAGTAGGCTGAGAACCTGGAGATACTTTTTCATTGGGTGTTGCCTACAACTTTATGGAATACAGTCAGCACTATGCCGATCCCAACCCAGCAAAACTCGTGGGAACTATTAATGAATTCGGTGTTGATTGACAATCAAGAAATGAACAACAAATGATGGCGAAAATACAAACAAAATCCCCGGCTAAACTTTTCGATGATGTGATCCTTTCCTTTCCATCATTCATTCCTCATTTACCCGAATCATCAGAGAGGTATTTTATTAGATGTATTGCTCAATGCTCAACACTCGATATCAAATTCCCCATTTTAGTCCAAATTTCAAGCCGCCCCTCATTCAAAAATCCTCAGCCTGATCACTTCCTAGAATTGTGGATTAGATAGATAAATAGATAGAAATAATAATAAATATCGAGGAAATGATTCCGCGCTTTCTTTTCTGCCATTTGAACCAAACTATTTTCGGCAGTGGGTAGTTCACTCGTAGTTTACCCCTGTAACCGCCTGCTCTGTTACCAAAATAGTATTAATGAAGTAATCAAATAAAATGACTACTCCATCTCCCTTGATCATAGATCATCTAAAATAAATACTTATGCTTTCATAGAAGGAGATATACTCAGGTCCGGAGTAAATAGATACGACCACGTAAACATCAATCGTATACAACTCGCCAGCCACGACTCGGTAGTGTGCAGTGTATGTAAATGAACCTTAGAAATCACTCTCTTTTTCTTATCAATGTTAGAATTTTCCTTCAAGTCACAGGAGCTACCTATACCAGAAGTCACCAAGCACCGAAAGTTAAATTTTTTCTCGGGTTCTACACCTTCACAAACTTTTAGTCTTGAGATGTGATTCTGATAAAAAACCCCCCTAGACCAGATGTTAATGAACTAAATGCATCTTGCCGAGATAGATGATAATAAAATAAAGCCAACAAGCTGAAGCTCCCCCCTGTTCAATGCATCAACAATTCCATGGCTTGTACATGGCTTGTACAAGGCTTCAAACTAAAATTATTCTACATACCAAGCTTTCCCTTTCTTAGAAACATCTTATTCACATCCTGGCATGCATCAAGAAAAAAAAATGATTCTCCACAATTAATCGTCCAAGACGACTTTGAGACCATTGTACCTGGCACCTACGCAAGTGCAGCCCAAAATGAAACACGATAGCGTGGGATGCTTGTAACGCCCTGGCAGTAACTTTGACCAGGTCAGGTCCAAACCTTCCGATGCTGATCCAAAGTCATTGAGCAAGGCAATACAGTATGGACAAATTTCCCCAGGTAGGTTGAACCTGGTCTGGTCTGATTGTTGTGTGCGAAAACACATAAAGATCCAGGACCCCAACTTGCAGTTAATCAGTATCACAATAACTTCCATCCAGCGCTACCACCAGTCTCAAGTTACATCTATCTACCATAGAAGCATCTTCTTATATTGGAATAAACATTAATCATCCTACATCCAATCGCCACTACTCCAGATATATAACTATCCTCCTCCTCCCACCTCGAGACGATCATCATCATCAACTTCAATCATCATCTGAAGCATCTTCTCTCCACACAACCACAACAATCAGTTCATCCTACCTCCATCAACATGCCTGCTCAACATCGCCCAACAAACCTTCCTCCTTGCCCAGGACCACCACCCAACCGTCCTCTCCCTCCCCTTCCATCCAAGTAAACTTCAGTCTTTCGACAAGGAAAGACATCTACTGAAGTTTAAGGGGACACGGACTTTACTTGCTCACTCACCACAAAGCGAACCACAAGTCGGATGAAATGACCTCCACAGTGAGCGAGCCGCCGGGCCCGCGTTTGAGAGTTCCAATTGCAAGATTGCACTATTAAATGTTACATGCATACACACATACATTGCATATCAATCATTCCATACCCGCCCTCACCATACTTACGCCTTACGAAAACATACCATTGAACCTTCGTTTCTTCGGCACGCTAAAAGCCTAAATGGTAACCAGTCGAACTGGGCAATTTACTACCCCTCCACCAGCTATTCTCTTCGGCGCTTCTAAAGCTTCTTGCATATTTCCAAGAACTTGCATCACATCCCGAGTATATGGTTCCATGACGAACGGGTCGGACCAATACCGATAGGATTTTCCGAACGGCGCAGCGAGTTACGCATACCTACACATACATACATTATTTACAATACTCACGCATTCACAACTACCTACGACGACAACATTCATTCTCTTCTCGCACCATAGCGGAGATTCGAGCAGGCTCGACCTTTGACTTGCTTGCACGTTTATCTCGATACCCTCTTTTACTCATACTCATCATCTCTTTTCTTTGATGATTTGAGAGTTCCAACATTTTTCTTGTACCAATACAATACTCAATGTTACCGCGGCGATCGGTTTCATTCGTTTTTTTTTCATTCATACATACATATGGTGTTCTAATATTTTTCTTATGCATGTATCAATATCTATCAATAACAATATTTGGCGTTTTTTCTCCCCGGGAAAGGATATCTATCTGATCGGGATGATTGGAATGGGATAGGATGGGATATGATGAACGGGTTACCTCTCTCTACATGGGACGGACCTGGGGAGTTTTAAGGATTTGGTAGCATCACCACCCTATGGAATGGGAAAGATTGCGATTTGTATTTTTTTGGGTGGGGGGTAATGGTTGTTATGTGAGGGGGAAGCTTTATTAGCTTGCTATGATGAGATTTGATGATGAGAGAAAGAAAGAATATATCATACTTTAATCTACCGTACCTGAGTGTCTTCTTTGCTTGTGATTTTTATTGTGATTGTGATTGTGAATATCTAGTATGATTGCGATTATTCCTATGATGCTTTTTTAGTAGATAATTCGACTCATTATTGTTTGGTTGAGGATATTTCAATCAGAGATTGATACTTGAAGTCAAACTCATACATACATACCTAATACCTATCCACAAATCACCACAACAAAAAGCACCCCATAAATACAAAACCACGCATAAATAAAAATAAAAATGAAAAACATCTCGGTCGTTCATAATACATTTTATACATTTTATACATTTTATACATTTCATATAATACATATGATACATACATACTCGTATAGAGATATCACTGATTCGCGATTATATTTTTCGATACCTTGAGTGGTCAGTCGGAGATAGCGGGACAGGGGAATTAGGATTAGGATTAGGATTTTTTCCATGTGAATATTTTCCTTTTAACCTAGCTAACATTATGGGTAGTTCGGAAGGTTGATGAGGTTGTAAGGTTGTATGGTTATGAGGTAATGATATGTATGTACCTAGTAAGTAAGTAAGTAAGTATGGATGCTAGGAAGTAAGAATGTAAATACCTACGGAGATAACATCCGGAAAATGAAACGATATGATATGATATGATATTCGACTACTGTACCTAGGTATTGATGTGATGTGCGAGTGATCAATCAGTCAGTCAGTCAGTGATAATCATTCATGATCAGTGATAATCATGAGAACCTAGAAAGCACACATACAAACAGAGAGACAGACCGGCCGGGAAAGAAAGAAAGGAAAACGCTCATCTGACGTCTCTGATCCCCTCTCCAAATAGATGATAATAATAATAATAATAATAATAATAATAATAATAAATAAATAAATAAATAGTAAAGTTTTATCTATTCACTATTATCAAAAATTTCCCATGATGACGATATCCAGTACCTAGTGTAGCTATGTATGAGCTATTGGATGGATTGATTGATTGATTGAAAATCCATGTCCGCATGGTACTGTACTGTACTGTACGGTTACTGTATATGTATGGATGGTTATGGACGGATGATTATATATATCAAACCACTATCAATCAAATAGTTCATCATTGTCACTCATCGTCATCATGTCTTGCGTGCTCGGTCGCTCGGTCGCTCGCTCATGATGAAATGATCATCTAGGTGGTAGGTTAATCCCGTGCAGTTCAGACAGTTCCTGCATATCCATCCATCCAAAGAAGAAAGATGATGACGAGGAGATTGCATCTGTAATTTTGATCAACATGACCTAGGTATTCTAGAAGCATTTTACTGGAATGATTTTCATTTAGTGAGGTATGTACCTAGGTATGGAAGGAAGGTAAAATCATACGGAGTATTGGATGGCTGATCATGAATATCTTCCCGTTGTGTGTACTGTATGTACTGTATGTGTATCGGTGGTTGGGGGCGGGGTTAGCTGGCTGGCTTGGGGTGATTTATCCTGCCTGCCTGCGTGTTGAACAGCAGATTATGACAAACTACATCGATATCCATCCATCCATACATACATGATATCGAGCAGACAAAGGCAAGTCGGCAAGCAGGGGCAGATAGATAGACGGACGGCAGATAGAGACAGGCAGGCTCAAAATTGTGCATCTGTTGATATGTACCTGGTACATACATACATACATACTCTGTATAATACCTATAGCAAGGGAATAAAGAAAATTCTCCAAAAGTTAATATTGATTCAAGAAAGAAAGAAAGAGGGAAAAAAGCCCTGGTAGTCGGTGAGTGAATAACAACCCCTTGACCTGACTGAGTGACCCCTCCCATACACCCATAGTTTCTATACATCCATCCATACAAAAACCCTACCCTACTTAATTAAGCATTTACTCCTAGAACATCCATCAACCGTACCTACATCATCGACTCCATCACATCCATCCATCCATCCGTCTTGTCTCATAAGGATGAAATCGAACGATCTACAATAATGATGATGATGTATGATGAGTGGTTGGTGCTGCCCACCCACCCATTGACTCGAATCTCTAATTCAATAATTCCTCGACGATCTTTTATTCGCGCCCCCTTCTTCGATTTTGGGTAATGCTCGGATGGATTTACATTTACATTTACATTTACATGTATGTATGTATTATGTGTAGGTATGGATAGATAGATGGATGAATAGATTTTCAACGGGATGTTTTGGAAAGTATGTTAGATTAATTATGATGCAAGGGATGGATTATCTTTGATATTCTTTCTGTAGGCTGTACTGTAGGGAGAGGAGGGTACTCTAATAAGAGGAGTCTAGCTAGCTAGCTAGCTAGCTAGAAGTTACTAAACCTTACCCGTTGTGTGGAGTATGAAATTATATTGAAATGCTGTAGGAGGAAATTTGATGTTTCTGTTTATTTTTTTTTGGTGTGAGATCTGATTTTTGATATTACATATTACGACATGATTTTATGGTAAGTAGGCTCAACAGCGGGAATTTAACAAACAGACAAACAGACAAACAAACGGATAAAGACGGGTGCGTGGGTGGGTATAGAAATTCGATAAATTGAGGAAAGAAAAGTAGATGATTATATTATGTCTCACCTTATTGTTGTGTAACATAACCAGCTGATGCGTACATGGAGAGCTATGACTGAGTGACTATTCTGAGTTGAACATCCAATTGATGTAAGACTATCTACCTACCTACATCCCTAGTAAATATCTCAATTATATGGAGAAACTACGCAGTGTATAGTTACGGGTATATAGTAGGTAGTATATCAACCATACTAGGGCTTACGAAGGATTCTATGGCGTTTATTGAATGAGGGGAAGAAGGCTTAGCATTATCATTATCATTCTTGGTCTTGGTCTTTCAAAAAGAGTATAGAGTGTGATAGGCTACAGAATGACTGATAGGATCATGACAGAAATCCGGTGGTGTGGGTAAAGGTAGTTGGTTTTGATTTAAATGGCTAGATTGATGTCTTCTCTCTCCCCCTCTCTCTATGTATCAATGTGGCACGGGAACACGGCGAGACGGATGCGACGTAGATGGTGTATATCATTCATTTATGTTGTGTTGCGTTGGGGGTTATTTTTTGGTGTATGTGTAATGAGGGAGGTAAGCATAATATTCCGATAGGTGTTTTTGATTAGAAGGGTGTGGTGTTATGTGTTGTGATATATGTGGTTAGGTATTTTGGATATGTGGTGATGTTGTTATGTGGTGATGTTGTTATGTGGTGATATAGTGATATTCTGATTTAGGTGATCGCCGGGCAGCTGAGAATGAGGAGAGAAATGAGGGGAAAAGGATGAAATATAAATTGTATCACGTGCACACGGGTAATTAATTTACTCAGGAACGCCAGGAACACGAACACGGGAAGCGGGAAAGGGAGCAGTAAAGGGGACTTGGCAACAGTGGATTGAATGACTGAATGAATGAATGCACGCATGCATGAATTGCTTATCGATTAAAATAAATTATCATCTCCTCACATAAATATCTTTCTAGATGAATCAATCCAACCACAACAGCAATAACGGTAACAAACGATGACTTTAACGCCAATACCCATTTCATTCTAGACTCTTTACTCTTCCTCTTCACCGTTTACAATATACGCGCATATGCATATGTACCGTTTGATTCATATCAAAATTACTTGCATCTCTTCACCGCAAGTAAACCTAGTAAGTATCTAGAAGGAGTAGTAGTAGTAAATACGGAAATAAGAAATAAATAAATAAAAATAAAAACAAACCTCAACACACAGATACATAATTTAATCACTTTGGACCACTTGCAGATTTCGATACAATAATAATTACAATAATAATTACAATAATAATTTAATAGTCAAGATTATCCAATAGTCGATAATAAATAGTCAGTGAGTGGTCAGTCGACCCATATATTATTGTTCTATTTTAGTTCTAGCGCACTTCAATTCTAAAATGTAAATTCTTACCCCACACATCGAATCATGCTCAAACCATCAAATCATCAAATCATACCATTTTGTACCACACCATGCCCATACCACAATATCGCAATACCACAATACCACAATACCACCATACTACCATACCATACCACCATACAATACCACACCACACCACACCACACTCACCACATCCATCTACCGCGATACTCTCGCATAACTCGCATTAAATCATAATCATCAATCATGGTCCTTGAACTTCATATTTGGGGTCCATCATTCGGTCTCCCGTCTATTGATGCACAATGCTTAGCTACCATTGCATATATGCAACAAGTTATCCCACGTGGTCAATGGTTTCTCGTTGCTAGTAGCAATCCAACCCTCAGTCCCACAAGTACGTGACACACAAGATGCATCCTTTTACTATCCTTGATGTTTGAATGAGGAAAAGTTCAATTATTGATAAATTCTACAGATGAATTACCTGCTTTGAGAGATAGGGAGAATGGGGATTGGGTGGGAGGGTATAGAAATATCATCAATTTTATTACAGAATATTCATCTGGGAAATGGGATATGGATGCCAGTTTACGAGGGCAAGAAAAGGCCGATTGTACAGCGTGAGTAATGAGGAAAACGGATGAAGAGTTTCTTATTCGCTGTGATGAAACTTATTGATTGCTCGGTTAGGTATTCTGCATTTATCCAAATGCATGGACAACCATTGCTAGATCTCTCACTTTATGTTTCCTCACAGAATTATACCGAAATCACACGTCCAATTTTCAACACCATACAATCTTTCCCCTTACCATATCTCACACCACCTCATCTTCGAACCGAAGCCAAGAAAAGAACTGAATATCTAGGTCTATCTTCTCTGGATATCGATACCGAAGATGGTGATAAATCAAGAGATTCAAGTATTATCCCCGAATCTCTTAGGAGGGGTAAACAAACCGTCTCAAGTTTACTTGCTGCATCACCTGAAACCAATGCTCAAATCAGACTTGATGCATTAGCGACTGATTTCTTCGAATCAATCCAAGAATTAAAAGGAAAGAAAAGATATCTCGTTTCAGACTCCCAAATCTCAAGTCTAGATTGTTTGGCCTTGGGTTTCATATCACTTATGTTATATCCGGAGTTACCACAACCATGGCTTTCAAGAACCATGAGAAGAAAGTTTCCGCTTCTGGTCAAGTGGGTGCAAGAGCTGAAAGATGAGATGTGGCATGCTGTGGTTACGCTGGATGATGCAATGCTTACCCAAAGTTCTGCAAATGCTGTACAACAGAACAAAATTTTACCGTGGCAAGCGCCCGAATCTTGTGGTATCCTAAATGTCGGAGGTATTTTTTGGACTAGTCTTGCAGATTCGTTACCGGTTGTAGGACAGCGGAGAAAAGATAATCGTATGCATCGATATAGTGGTGAAGCGGGAAAGGACTCGAGTAGTAGTAGTGGTAGTAATATCTGGACATATATTACCACGGCAGGAAGTTTAGTCGCTGCTTTTGGACTAGTGGCAGGTTATGCACTACATGAGGGTTTAATACAGATACCTGAACATTGGCCTGGCAAGAAGGAAAATGAAAATGAGAATGGGAGTAAGAGTGGAAATACACAAAGTTTGAATGATCTGGGAGAAGCGGGTCAAACACTTTTTGCTTTTGCGGATCACATGGATGAGAGTTTTCAGAGAGAGAGACAAAGAGAGTTGGAGGGGAGTAATAAGTCGATTGTTGAGGTTGATGTTGATGTTGGGAAAGATGGGATTGTGAGGTAGTGTAGTGCTTGTTATTGTTATTGGTAAATAAGACTTACTTTATATGATTGAGATTTAGAGTTTAGCCTACACCTCGATCAAAGGCAACACCATAATTACCCAGTAATTCGATATCATATTCGAGCGAATCAGGCAGAGTTTACCTACAAATATTGCGAGGGGCTATATCGGGGTGTTGTTGAAAGGTTATATTGATTATAATTTTATAATATTTATCCTCAAACCTATCTCTATAGCAGTTTCTTTTTTGAAATATAATTATTCACTATTATTATTATTATTTTGGGTGACTAGTTATTTGTATTAAAAAAAATACCGCTCCAAATTATATGAATCACATAAAAGAGAAGAAGAGCTTGTCATACTGTATTCCACGAGCTCCAGGATGGACAAAAGTGTAATCGATATCACTTCCTCGCAGCCACCCATTCTTCAACCCATTTATGCATTCATTCCACTTTAACAGCATCTAGCTTTCGCATGGCAGGGCTTGCTTCGAGAGCCTTCTCCATCACCATAGGCTGCACTGACACTTTCTCAGTATCCGCGTGTATCGCCCACAAACCTTCAAAAAAATCAGGTAATTTAACAGCCTGGTTCGCCGCCACATCCTCATCCTCATAATCTGCCTCGCTGCTCGCTCGCAAACTAGCCAGCCATGTCGCCGGTGACACTACTTGAAGCGGCTGTATTGCCACAATAGCAGACAACAACGTGCTCCAAGACACCAGCTGCGGATTCCGCACATTGAACACCGTCGCCGCGTTATGGGCTGTCTGTGTCGTTGCAGCCGTAGCCAGCTCAACTAGTATATCGCTCAACAAGTCCACCGGCACAAAATCGACATTGTTAAACCCCGGACCAAGGCTATCGGGAATTTGTCCCAAGTGCAAGGAACTGAGCACTAAACTTGGTAGCCACTCCCGCGGATTCCATATTCCAGGGCTGTGCACCGGACCGGCAACGTGACCCACGCGCATCACAGTCGTAGGTACTTTGTTTCCGAGATGCCGACCACCAGCGTCGACAAGCAGCTCTGCAAGGAATTTGGCGCGGCCGTAGCCAAAAGGTGCAGGTGTATCGAGGCTTTCGAGGATTTGCTCGGGAGCTGCTCCGTATCTATGTCCCTCCACAGCGGCTATGGATGATATGAAAATGAACCGTACTGTGGGAGAATTAGCAGAAGCAGCTAGAGTGAACAAGTTCACCAACGTGGCAAGCTGTGGACGAAACGCAGATAATACCAGGTTAAAATTGACGGGCCATGCTGCGTGGAAAATGAGGTTGACCTCTGAACGAAGCGAGTCGTATAAAGTACTATCTAGACCTAGGAATGGTGACTCGACATTGACTGATAAAAGTAATACGTTTGTCAAGTTGGCTTGTAGGGAATCCAGCTGCAACAAAATTCTTGTATTGTGTGTCTCTCCCGCCGTCTTCGCCACGATTCAAGCAAAATATGCGTGCAATTCTATCGCGGCTAAGTAGTGTTTGCAATAAATGAGTACCTATGATGCCTGTAGACCCGGTCAAGAGGACATTGATTTGCTCAGATGCCTGCTTGGGATGCTCAGATGTCTCTTTAGATACTGGTATATGATGTATGAGCTTGCGATATGTAGCAAGTAAACCTTCCATAGACCCACGTTCACTTTGAACAGTTTCGTTAGGTGTAAGAATGGCGGCTACCAGTTGGGATACGGTGGGGTTTTGATAGACAGTCGAAAGGGCAAAATCAGGATGGTAAAAGATACGTCGTAAGGCACGCGTAAGCTGGAGACCTTGGAGTGAATCCATACCACGGTCGAAGAGATTGTCATCATTGTCGAGACTTGGCCAATCTGTTACAGCAAGGGTTTGTTGCCGGACAAGATGCGTAGTTCCGTCAAGACCTGTTGGAGCGACATGTTGCCTTGTATCGCTAGCCAAATCATCGTTGTTAATCGACAACACATCTGCGTCCTTGTAAAGCTTCTCGATCTCTTTGGTGTACTGGCTGATATTAGCACCATGCATAAAAGTTCCCTTGGGAGCACGAATTGGGCGGCGGCCCATGGGAATGACGAGAACGAAAGATTTCTCAACACGTGCATGAGCTGGAGCAGTACGGTTACTCTCTTCAATACTCGGCCATATTCGCTCTATAAGAGCAGCCCGGTTTGCTGTTGTAAGAGGTAAATCCGAAACTGGCTCAATCAGGAGAGCGGCCTGGAACTTTTGTGCTCCGACGACAAGTGCGCCGCTTACTTCAGGGTTGCTAGCCATAATATGCTGTTCCATCGAAATGGGGTTTGTCTTTTCGCCATTCAGGAAAACAATAATATCATCTGACCGAGCACGCCAACACCACAGATCTGGGATACTAGGATGCGGTTCAAACAAATCCTTAGTGCGATATTCTTCAAGCTGCTGCATTCCTGGGACGGTGAAGCATGGCTGCATATCGGCGAGGGCCTTCTTACGTTGGATCCCCAACTCATAGATGCCGCTGGTCGTCTTGTCAAAAATAGCGCCAATGCATGGATGAAATTTTACGTATCGCCACAAAGTCCGGCCTAATGCCGATGGAAGTAATTGAGGGACAATTCCGGTCTCGGTAGCTCCCCACAGACAACGAAGATATATTCTGGAGGCAACACGATCACCTAGGTCTTGAGGGAGGTCGCCGCCAATGTAAATGATCGTTTTGAGATTAATAGCGCAGTAGTCAAGCAGTTCCTCATTCTAAAACGTTTTCCATCAGCCAAGACTCAGGAAGAAAGGTTATTACATACATGCGCCAATTCAGCCACCACAGAAGGTACGAGTATTGCTACATCAGCCGGTGATTGCTTCAGGGCATCTACGACACCCTGGACAGTGGGTATAGGTGATGCTACCGTGGCAATGACAACATTTCCATATGGAATAGCACCAACCAAGAGTTGTACGAGGAGAGCGCCCTTACAAAAGTTATTAGCTTCAGTCTTATAATCAACTTAGAATGACATACATGGAATGGTGGTAGCGTTACAATGACACGCTTACCACTGATCAAGCTGTTTACAGAAGGAATTTCACCGGGTGTCTGGCAGCTATTAGCATTTAAGACCTGTGTGCATGTTTCATGTGTCCAAATAGTAGGCTTGGGTAATCCTGTGCTCCCGGATGTATGCCTAGAAATTTCGTTAGCTGTGAAGAAGAACTAGAACGCATAGCAAGCCTTACATTACGACCATATGGGTCCGTCGCAGCTCTTGAAAGGTCTTGTTCAATGTGTAAGCCGGATACTGCTTGATAAGAAGCTCTTCAACCGACGGCACCGTAAAATGATGTAGTGGTTTGACGGCATCAAGAATAGCATTAGCAGGCGGTGGAACGGGGTTTGATGTAATCAAAGTGCGGCATTTTAGTCGATCAAATAAAGCACGGTGAGCGGCTGGGCTGTTTCGAGGTGAAGTTACAAATATCTAAGAAGCATACGCATGTCAGTACATTTAACCAAGATAGAGACAATAGCAAGCATACGAACCGTATAACCAGCTTTATTGGCAGCAAGGACTAACGCCGATTAGCGTACATCATTCGCACCAACATATGCCAAAACCTCGGCGTGAGCGCCATAGCTACCAGGACCATTGAGCTGTTCCACAAGTAACCAAGCCAGACAATTAATGATGTTAGCCAGCTGTGCGTAGGTAATGGTGATTACACTGGAGCTGGTCACCCATTCGCCATACTTGACATCTGGCCTATCCCGAGCCAATCGGTCGACGACATGAGGCAACAAAGCATCTTGCCATTGCGCAACGCTCTCATGGTTAGCTGCCATCACGTAAAAGTGGCTTCGAAACTGAGCCTTGGAAGGTTGGGAAAAGATTTCGAGAGATATTGAAAACGAGTAGGAATTTTACTACAACGCCTTGATTTGTCGTACTTTTCAAGAAGTGAAAGTGGTGGACTGCGTTGGTTTTATGTTGCCTGTCACTATGGGCTTGGTTTGATTGGAAGGCAGTGCGGACATGTATTGCCTGTAAGACTCGCTGGTTTAAGAGTCATATGCATGTTACTGCTTCAACGAACCTATTACTGCATCACCCCCACTTGACCAATATGCAAGGTTGGTGCTTAGCTGCGGCGTAGGTTCCTAAAACTCGTGATTATTTTACCTTGTGCATGTGTCTGCAAAAGCGGCCTCCATTCTACTAAGAGTGATTGATACTCGAAGTGCATAGGGTAAGAGGACAAAAATCAAGGAGAATAAATATGCCTAAAGCAAATCACTTTTCCGCAATGTCTGCAATCAGATATCGTTTTTTACCACAAGATGCCACGCTTAACGAGGATAATCACTTACGCTACCTCTTGAAAATACATCTCTAAGTACGCCGATGATTACTCGCCACGAGCTAGTATGCCGATACTTTCCAAGTGACGCCGGATGGCCTCGTCCAAGAGTTTGGCAGAACTTGAACCATACCATTGAAGGCAAACTTATCCGCGGCGTTCCTCTAGGCGAAACTTGTTACGGTTCCCAATTGAACATCTTGGAGTGCTCGAAAATCCGAAACGATTGGACATCACTATCACCATAGGAGGTGGAAGAATGCCCGAAGTGTATTTGATAAGTACACTGATACTCATCAAGCGAAGCAGATTCGGTCAATATCATGTCTCGCTATTGGATGAACAACTCCTGCAGCCTATTCTTCGGGCCTCAGGGCTCTTGTACTTTAGGAAACCTTGCATCATATGCCCTTAATTTCCGTGGATGCTACCCAAGTCAACGAACGTGATGGTTCTATATTGAATCTCGGTCAAAAATCATTAGTCGCTATCGAGTTGCGAAACTGGATTACTCGCGAATTTGAAGCACCTCTACAATCTTCTGAGATTATGACAGATCAGTGTATACATAGCCTTGCGCGAAAGGTAGCCCCATGCTCACGTATAGCTTTATCTGGTTCCAGTGCGGAAGGCACCAGTGATAGCGAAGAAACAGATGACAGCATTAGAAAATTATCAGTGACAGGCATCCTAACGCCACCTAAATCAGTAAACTCGAGTGTCAAGCACGTCCTCCCCAGACTACCGCCACTTCCATTGCCTGCACTTGAAGACATCCTGAAAATGTTTGGGAATCCCGACGCGCCGTTGATACTGTTCACAAGCATCTTGAGACCACAGAAGCACTGCGAGCGTTACTCAATGCACAGGGACCTCACTGTATCAACGAATTCAAGAGGTTGGACCTGAGGTCATAGCTGATGCTTACGAACGTCAGATGTACTTGGAGCGTCGAGAACCACTTCCCGAAAATGGACCATTTACTTTCATCCACCCCATAAATGCACCACAAAGGTCGCAAGCATGGCGCGCTGCAGTTATAACTTCAGCTGCCGTCGAATTTGCGAGATGCTTATCCAACGATTAGATTGCACCCGACACGCTTCATGGCGAGACTCTCACATCTGAAGGGCGCAACTGGCTATTTTACGCCACGCGTCTTCCCGGTATTAGTGTGGATAGCATGAAGCACTACTCTCCCAATCATACCGTTGCCGTTCTCTGGCGCCGTCACGTTTTCGAACTGAAGTCTCAAAGTGCTGATCAACCAATAAATGCTCAAGAAGTTTATGCTGCCTATCGCGAAATTCGTAAAACAACAGAGGAATTAAGAGAATTGAAGAGGGATTGTTGAAGGAAGCGGCTGGCTCGTGCACGCACGCTGCCTGATGCGGCGGCCGCGAGACTCCGGGGGTGAAGCACCACGACTAAGTGTTACGGCGGTACTCAGTTATGACTAAGCCCCGTATCACATGACTGATCAGGGGGTCACGCGGTCCCACTCGTCCCACTGATTTATATCGAGGGGAACGGTGGGATATACAGTACGACGATCTATATAATCAAGATGGATTCCCTTTGTATAGAGCTTCATGCTCAAGATCAATCATTTAGTATACTCTATTATTAGTTACGAATTGCATCATTGTCATTACTTAAGTCCCTGCTTGACGCTTAGTTATAAACCACCTCGAGAGCCTAGAGCACTTCCACGTGATCTAGACGGCAAACCTCGTAACATAGGATTAGTGTCATGGGATGAAAAGGAATCACGTGATAAGGAGCCCTAGGAGCCCTCAAAGCTCCTAGGGCTCCCTTTATCGATCATTATATATTCAGAGTAGTTTCATAGTTTAGGAGCTTCGTGCTCAACTTAGTTATCAATTAGTTTACCTACATCCTACTTGATCTAGTAACGAATTCACTTCCAAGTGAATACCAGTGATAAAGCCTTAACCTACAACTATGTTACAACGGCTATCTTCTATGCCGCGTCACATGACTAAACCAAGGTAACGTGATTAAAGTCACGTTATGGACCGCTGAGGAACGCTGGCTGTCCAGGAACGCTGGCTGTCCAGGACCGCTGCGCGGTCCTGACTAGCCATAGGCATGAAGGTCTATATAATCAAGATGGATTCCCTTTGTATAGAGCTTCGTGCTCAAGATCAATCATTTAGTATACTCTACTATTAGTTACGAATTGTATATCATTATTGTCATTACTTAAGTCCCTGCTTGACGCCTAGTTATAAACCACCTCGAGAGCCTGGAGCACTTCCACGTGATCTAGACGGCAAACCTCGTAACAAACTACCAACCAGACGAAACCTCAGGCAGCCGCTGCCTCCAGTACAGTATCGTTATATAAACCCTAGTGTAGTACAGGACAAATAGTTT